CTAGATCGTACCCTTTCTTCCGCTCCAAGGCCGACCGGCTAGATGCAAGTATCGGCCACATTATTGGACCATACGATGATGTGACACTTGATCTTCCCAACGATCAAACCGTCGTTTACGAGCCGTTCTGGTTCCGAACCTTCCGTCTTCTGAGGGTCGAAATTACTGTAGGCCCTGAGCCCATCGAGCTGGTATCATTCAATGCTACTCAGGTCAACTACCCCATGGCGGTCAAAGCCAGCTGGAAGGAGCCCGGCGATACACACAGCGAGCAGATCTGGAATGTCTCCATCCGCACAATGCGAAACTGCATGTTCGATGGCTACTCTGACTGCCCGTTCTACGAGCAATTACAGTAAGCCTTACAAACTCCCAAATTCATACCCCAGCTAACAACCCAGATACTCCGGCGACAGCCGCTCCGTCGGTCTATTCCACTACCTTCTCTCAGGCGACGACCGATTAATGCGCCAAGCGATTACAAATTTCGCCGCCTCAGTCACAACCGAGGGCCTCACACAGTCCCGATTCCCCTCACATGTGCCGCAACTTATAGCCGGGTTCTCTCTGTATTGGATTCTGCAGGTCTGCGACCACCACCTGTATTTCGGCGATACCCGTTTCGCGCGAGCCTTTATCCCACGCATCGACGGCATCCTCGATTTCTTCGATGCCCATGTCGACGAGCTGGGTCTCGTTAGCGGACTGCCTGAAGTCGTCTGGCAATACGTTGACTGGGTGACAACCTGGGGTGCCACGGACGATCATCCTGACAAAGGGGTTCCAACCTCCGGTAGGCAATCCAATAGACATACTTATTTCAGTATGTTGTATGCGTGGGGTCTGCAGAAAGTTGCGGGTCTGGTGCGTGATGTTGGTCGGCCAGGGCATGCTGCTGAGTATGAAGCGAGGGCGACATCGCTACTATCGGCTATCCGGACTCATTGCTATGATGGGCAATTCTTTACCGACTCGACGGCTGATGTTGCCGATGAGCTTTCGTATTCTCAGCACTGTCAGGTCTTTGCTGTTATCTGTGGAGCGGCGAAGGCCGAAGAATATGTACGGATCTTGACTGAATCCTTTACAAATGACCGCTTCTCGAAATGTTCGTATATGATGCGGTTCTATGCTTTCCGGGCACTTGCCTTGGCTGGCGAAGATCTGTATGAGTTGTTTTGGGAACGGATGTGGGCTCCGTGGCGCGGGATGCTGGAAAATAATCTTTCGACTTGGGAGGAGGATGATGTAAGAAAGAGGTCTGATTGTCATGCTTGGGGGAGTGTGCCAATTTATGAGTACTGTACTGAGCTGGCGGGTGTTCAACCGGTCGCTGCTGGCTCGTCGAAGATATCTTTCAGGCCCAGGCTTCGGTTGACTGAGACATTGGAAGCGAAGGTGGCGGTGGGTAAGAATAATTTAGCCACGATCTCGTGGAAGATTTCTGGGGATGAGAAGATTGTGGAGCTTAGGCTTGAGAAGGCGGTTGAGGTTGTGAGTCGATTGCCGGGGGGTAAGGAGGAAGAACACGGGGCTGTGGATCATCTCAGCTTTGCTTTCAAAAATTAAATCCAAACAATTTCTCTTCAGCATTGAACAAAGTAGACAACTCTTTATTTTCGGGGTACGGTTAGTTTATTGTACCTCGCACTTTGGGGCGAGAAAGTAAACCAGAAATAGAAATGATAAAGTGCAAGATCTCTGGATTCGAAAATTTAGAATACAGAGAAATTATCTATGACAATCTGGATACAAGAGACAGGTAAACTTAAGGGGAAATGGAATAATGGCGGTCCGCAGGGATTCGGGTGGTAAGCTGTATATTCAGGCCAGTTGACAATGTGGTATTGGAATATAGGTGCTATACGGAGCAAATTATCGTGCCTAATAACGGAATCCTGCATCACACCATATACATAGTTCAATCTGGATGTAACTGAACTTCCCAGTCTTAAATAGCCCATAATGTACTATTTTATCTTTGTCTCCCATCTTCGCTTACACTAAGCTGCAACCATCTCATGGTCCTCGCGCCGCTCATTCGAGCGCATCTGCACTTCAGTAATATATCCCTTGAACTTCCGAAGATTGACCTTCTTCTCGAACCTTGAAATCAAAGCATGTTAGTCTATTCAAAGGATATAAGATTGAAGTTTAGTTCATACATCTCATCAATCTCAGCCGGTGTTCGGCGTGTCACTTCTGGAAGAATGAACCAAGCGATAAATACCGCAATTGTTCCTGTACCCGCAAAGCTGTGAGAGATATTTTGTCAGTATTTTGCAATGGGAAACTGGACTTAAACAAGACGACAGAAGACTGACAAGAAACCAGTTTTGACACCCCACTGTGAAACAGGTGCATTGTTGATCATCAAAGGCGTGCAGAAACTAAACATGATAGCGACCAAGTTTGAGGATGCAAGAGCCCAACCGGCTGTCTTTGCACGCAATCGTTGCTGGGGAATCTCGGCAGCGTAGGCATAGCCAATAGCGGACGCACCAGTGGTGGACAAAGTTGCCAAACAAGCGAAGAAGATCTAGGTCTTTGGTTAGTAAGTTGCCAACAATGTGCTGGACGCTTAAAGACGTACTAGAAGTGAACTCGTTGATGGCTTGGTATAATCGAAGCAACCGATGATTCCGAGGCACAAAACCGACACAGCTGTAACTGCATAGGGGTAGATTGTCAAAGGACGACGACCAAGCTTGTCCGTGGTGAGGGCAGTCATCATCATCGATATTAACTGGACACAAGATAGAATAACAGTTACCATGAATGGATCTTTACTGCCAGCATATTGGACTAGGGCAATATTAGCAGCGTGTTAGAGGAAATGAAAATATTACTACTTACAGAAATATGTCGCGTAGGTGTTAAACACGGACAAACCGACAAGCTGTTGGGCAATTTTGGGCCAAGCAGCAATAAAGAAACGAAGGCGATTGCGGCCCTGGAAAACAGCCCATGTTCCCTCTTCGGAGTTACGCTCTGCGACGATACGCTCCTCTGAAATTGTGGCATTCATGATTTCCTGGAAAGAATGTCAGAACTTCGTTCGGATTGATCGACGGGGAATAACGACGCACAATCTGCTCATCAACGCTGTATCTCTCAATATTGCCATTGCACCTAGTCAGTATCTTGGCTGCCTTGTCGATCTTTCCTTTGCTCACAAGCCACCAGGGTGATTCTGGGAGGAAGGCAAATATGACTCCAATGATGCCAACCATAGCCCACTGACCGAACGTGACTGTTAGTAATGATTTTGACAACAGAATTTTAACGAGAGACACCACGAACCTGTGTATAGATGGGAACCCGGAACTCATATGGGTCCTTTGCGCTGAGTTCCTGGAGTGCAACTGAGGCGAAGATTTGACCAACCACAAACCAGCTAGAAATAATTAGCAAAAACACTCCAGAGTTGCCATGATATTAACTAACAAACTGTACGCATTGATATAGAAACCTCGCAGCTGGGTCGGAGCGATTTCGGACAAGTAGAGAGGCAAGGTGGATTGCAGCATACCAACACCCATTCCAGAGAAGAGCTTCGCTGCAAGCCAGTGATCCCATCTTGTTGCAAAGGATTCAATAAACACACTGACAACAATGACGAGCCAGATTATATAGAACGCGACTTTCCGACCGAACCTTTCCGTGGCATATTGGAGGAGCTGGAGAATAGTTAGCCACTTGACAGGTCATGTAGATCCGAAAACGTACGATTTGACCGATAGTTTGACCGGCCGATTGAACACCTCCCCATGCGGAGATGTATTTGCCTGCGATGATCGATGTGCCCGGGGAAGCCATCTGTCGAATGAACCCTTTGTTGGACACAATACCGCCATTTAGATTAATTTCTGTGTTCAGATCAGTATAATTCAAAGCTAACAGGTTCTAAATTAGTTAGCTTACGGTAACCATCCATCGATGCGCTAAACGCCGCAGTCATAGCAATCAGCGACACGGTCTTGAACCGTCGCACACACTGCCAGATACTAAGGTCGTCTTCACGAGATCGCATGATAGGACCCATGCTCTTGGTAGGCATGGCATCTCCGTGGTCGGAAGAAGCATCTTCGATATTTTCAGCGTTGGCCTTGGAAACATCCATCGTAAAAATAAGGAGGGAAAGTATGCGCCCAAGGAAAACCAAATCGCAAGGTCTTATTAAGTGAAGACGAGTAGATGGTAATCTTTATATTTTTAGCTATTTGACCGAGCCTGGAATGCTAACAAGCATTCGTTTGCTAGCTCTATGAGAGTCGAGTTCCACGCGGGGGAATCCGGGGTCATGGAGCTCAGCTACGTAGACTACTCTGAAACCAAACTCCACTCAAAAATCAGATTGTGTAAGGCTGAGCTCGCATAAATGGTTCATTTGCCGACTCGCTAGTACATAGGTTCTCATAGGTTGTCTTAACCACGAGTGGCTGATTTAGCTTATAAAAAAGCACCCTAGTCAGTGTCCAAATGAACGGCAATTGCTTCGCTCTGAATTATACCGAAGCTATGAGCTAGTGGCTGCCTATTATTTATGAGGAGACTAATATTACTTGAATAGTGTGATGAAAATAAGCTTTGGAGGAGCTCATTATGGTCTCGGGGTTGAGACTTGCATCCACAGATGTACGATGGTGTTGTCCGTTATTGCAACCCTCGAGGAATTACCTTAGAACGATATGTGTTTTTTTAGAAGCTCTGTTTTCTGATTTTACGACTTTGCAGAGTATAAAGTGAGTGTTTGAAGGGCAATATTTATCGAATTGATGTAAGGGCCTCTAGCACATAAAGTCCCACTAGCCCTAACTAGAGAATCCCCGGTGGGGTCCACGAGTGGTGCCTATAGGTGGAGATTCGGCCCCCGTCCACATGCCATCCACCCTAGCAGGCTCTCCCTTTTGACCCCCATAATAATGTCTACCTCAATCTTCCGATCGTTCGGGGGAATATCTCCCCGAGCTCCATTCTAGGAACCTAAGACCGAGGAATTACAGGTAAACCAGAAGAGCTTCGGAAGCGGCAACAGTGAAGGTTGCTTTTCCACCGGAGACAGTGACTGTCTCCACGGTGCCTGTACCCTGAATAGTGCAAGTGCCATTGACAAATGTTTGGCCTGCAACGGTTGGGTTCTCACCCCAATCGACCCGAGACGTAGCGTAAGGGGCAGTCAGCCGCTTAGCAGTGACGCTGGCAGATGAAAGCCCAGACAGGGTGTATGTTTGCGATGGGCGCGTTCCGCTGGTTGAGATATAGTAGTCAGAATTGTAGAGAAGAACCCGGACAGGAACACCAGTCTTGTAAATGGCGTAGGCTGCGTATGCTGTGTCTTGGCTATCCAGAGACGCAATCTGGTCGGCGTTGGCGAGTGCCATAGTGGCGAAATAAGCACCGTAGTAAGGGGAGCCTATGTTATAGCGGCCCCACCAGCAGTATTGGCCTTGGGAGTTAGATTGTAGTGCATTTGGGAATTGTTCGATAACTTACAGTTTCCAACGGTACCCTGGTGGAAGTAGAGGGCATCTGTGCCCATGAGAACGGTCTGCATCACGTAGTCCAAAATCCAAAGAGCAGCACCAAAAGTCGGGCTGATACCACCGCCGCCTTGGGTTGCTGGATATTTGTTAGCATTTCCATCAGGTGACACTAGGGATTAACGTACCGGAGTTGGTCTCGCCGAAGATATGCGGCTTGCCTTTACCAACAGCAGCAGAGATCTCAGCAGCATAAGGCTCGATCTGAGTGGCAATATTGCTGTGGCCCATAAGCGCGGCCAGGTTGTAGGAGCCAGATGACTGAGGATAGTTGTGAGAGCAATAATCCTTCACATATCTTTCCGCATCACCTTCTTTTGCGGTAAGACTAACGAGACTCATAGGTGAAGTGCCGAAGTAGACACCTGCTGAGATGATATCAGCTGCAGAGAGATTTCCACAAACGGCATCCTGCCAGTTGACTTGGGATGATTCGTCTGCTGCAGCTGTCCAGGATGCACCATTGGCAATAGGATCGCTATCAACAAAAACTGGACGCCAAATTAATGTTTGAAGAGCCAAGCATAAGCGACCAAAAACCTACAATTGGGCTCATTTCCCAGTTCAATGGAGTATAAGTTATCCATTTTGGTCTGGGCGAGAAGCGCGGCCGAAATTGTGTTGGAGATATCATCCAAACGGCGATTCAGTCCAATAATGACTTCGCCAGCATAATTTGCAGCCAAATCAATAAAGGATGGTCCGTAAGTCAGAGTCTCGGGCGCAGCGCCTGTGTTGGCCACTGTATAAGTGACAGGCTCGGTCGATAAGCTATCATATGTCGCACGGTCTCTGGGTACTTTTAGCAACGTATGTTGACCCATAACAAGGAGATACACACTGAGTCGTGCCTCCTATCCTCATAGGGGGCCATGTTCCTGTCAGATCCTTCAGGTTCTGGAGACATGTTATTGTCGATTCGACGTCTTGAATGTACTCGGGAAACGCAAAGAATTCCAGCCTTCACATGAGTAAGTACATCAGTTCATCCACCAAAGACTTAGACAGCGACTCACGATACACCAACAGGGGCTGCAGAGAGCTGCGCACTGGAATTTGAAGGCGGAGAGGTGGGAACATCAAAGCTTAGACCCAAAGTCGAAGCCGCGAGGCCAAGCAGCGAGGCCGAAATGGGGAGAAAAGTCATGACTGGAAATATCTTGGATCGATACTGGATCAGTTGTGTCAGAAGCCTGAAGGAATTTCGGGCAAGGTAAAGCTCTCAAGTATACATAGGCTATAATGCAATCCGGTCTCGGTCTCTACAAGGAAGCAACCCAGGGAACCCCACAATTCAGTCACTAATTGCACGTTCTGGTTATTATATTCTAGGCCAAATGACAGTTTATCAAACTTTAATCATCCGATTTGTTCCTATACTGGAAAGGTAGGTGTCTAGTGACATGGCGGTTCAAACTTTGAGCCAACCATATACAGGGGTCGGCTATTGACGGGCTACATTAACCCGAGACCTACATATGAGGTCTTCGTCGCATGGTTCTTTGAGGTCAGAATTTCCTAGCCACATTTGATAAGCTCGTCTATCGCTTTGAGACATGGGATCGTCACTCAAACTGATTTACGGCGATGATCAGAAGCCTGACAGGAACGAGGGGGGTGAACATTAACATAGAAAGATTGTTCTATCATGGAATGAGGGGTCAAGGGAAGAGTTGTGTCTTGTAGCATGCTTCTGGAGTGAGGATTACTCTTCGCTGGATAATCTGGAGGTTCGTCTGTAGAGTTAAGCTGACCTTTCATGCCCAATATTAAATCAATAATGGAATTCACTTGTTATGTCTAAATCAACTTCCCTATACCCCGTTAGAGGTTCTAGAGGACTATACGGTGTCTTGTTAATTAGGAATGATATTAGACAGTTTGTATAGAGGATATAAAATATAAGAGAGATTGAGCCCACTTCTAGGGGCTTAAAATGAATTCACTCGCAAAACTATATGCTGCTTCCGAGGGAGATATCCTTTCATCTGTGCGGCCATCCTTCGATAGGGCCGAAGCCATGTATCTGGAGCCTCACGTGACGGTGATACAGAGGGCTTCATTTCCAACAAGGTGCTGAAGGACCATGAGGTGATGAAGGACGATAAGGTGCTGAAGGACTATGGCCCAAATACAGTGGTCGTTCTTTAGTGAAGCCAGTGACTTCGCCCTTAGATTCTTCAATGTCCTTCCTTTTGCCATCAAAATCCAAACCGTGTTCTCCATATGCTGTGATAATCTTCTCCTTGATCAGGTCCGCGGTATTTGGAAGACCGTTGCTCATATCGCACTGAATCACCACCCCTGTATAAAGAACCAAGCCATACTTGCGTATGATCCGATGGAATTCATCGCAGATGTTCTTCTGAGAGCTCCCTTGGAATAATATCGGCTCTTCAGTAGACCAATACACCCGTGCTGTTGTAAACTCTGTGAAACGAAGGGTGAGCAACAGCTCGAAGACCCTTTCCATCCGAATACCATCATATCCGGATTCTTGCATCTTTTTATCCGCCTACGTATAGCATATTAGCAACCCCAGACCGCGAAACCAGAGTCTGGTGTAGGTTGGAAACCAACCGAGAGACTGGAGCTTCCGGCAAAATCACCCATCATTGCGTGGCAAACATGGAGAAGTCCAATATCCGAGGCGGGAGGCTGTTGGACTAGCATTTTGCGCCAGCTTGCGTCCTTTCGTAGAAAGTGAGCCATAGTTGAGCTGTTTTTAGTCATGATCAGGTCGGAAAAATCGAATTGATAGTAACTCCATCGGTTCTTCGCAGGAAAGATAGAAGGAAAAGTCTCCGCTAAGAGCGGGTTCGGTATCGCTTCTCCCATCCCCCATTCAGAGTCCTTGATCGGAGTGAAGAAAAGTGCCTTTTGGATTGAGGGAGACTTGCTGATCAGGTTCGCCCAGCTGTGACACACTCGTTGAGCAGATGTGAGAAGCGTGCGCATGTCCATCCGAGCTAGGATCATATCCAGAATTTCTGCAGTATCCAGGACTTTTTCCATTGCCGGTTTTGTGGACCTAGATTGCGACTGGATAGTAGTTCCATAACTTAGACATACTTGAACGCCACTTGCCATCCTTCCTGGTTGGGATCTCGGCTTCTCTTTTTGACAACGCCCTTCGACTTGGCCTGTCTGTGATTTTTCTTTCGCAATAGACGGTTTGGGGGCCATTTGTGAACTTAAGTAGGGAACTTCTGTACTGAAATGTCCCACTCTGTGCTGTGAAATACATACCCGGTCATACTCAGTGACCCTGAGCGTCCTCATAAAGGGAGAATTGCGATAACCTATAATCCAGTACATAGAGATATGCTCCGGATTTCAGACATGGCTTTGCCTTTATATGTGCTCACACATTCTGTTTGATTAAGATCCAGCACAAGACGATTGAAATCAGGCAGTAATTTCATCGGAAACACATTGGCATCACCGCCCTCAAGCCAACCTCGTCACTAACACAAAATCCAAAGCTTTGCTCAAGGGATGAATCCAAGGCACAATGTGGCCATTTTCAACATACCCAGAGAAGACAGCGGGTGATGTAGCCGGAAAGACGTTCGACTACATCATTGTCGGTGGTGCGTCTCACTTCCCCCTGAGCAAAAGGCATCACATCAACTAACCCAAAATCTTTACTTAGGCGGTACGGCTGGATGCCTGATTGCGCATCGCCTTTCCGCTTCCCCAAACGTCTCAGTCTTAGTTTTGGATAAGGGTCGCGTCAACGCTGGGATTCTCTCGCGGGTCCCACTACTTGGCATCCTGCAGAGCGGGGTCGTCCGCTACCACGCCGAACCCAACGCGAACTTGCGAGGGCGGCATGTCCAACTTCTGGCTGGCGAAATGCTGGGTGGTACCAGTCGCGCGCACTCCATGGTATGGAGTCCAGGCGGCCGCCCCGAATTCGACGGCTGGGCGCGTGACCTGGAGTTGGACGAATGGAGCTGGGAGAAGGTAGCGCCTGCTTTTGAGCGGGTTGAGAAGGCTATTCAACGCAAGGGAGCGGGTGATCTTGGACTGATGCCGTATGTAGATGCGGCGATGGCAAGAGTAGGATTGGGTGATGGAGGGGGAAAGCGAGGCACTCAGAGATATACCCGCAGCGAAGTCTCAGTCGATGCAGATGGGAACAGGGTCTCTGCGTTGACGGCGTGGCTGAATACCTCGGTTGTGAAAGAGAGGAAGGGGCGACTGACGGTTTGTACAGGCGTGACAGCGACCAAGCTCGAATTTTCGGATGACATAACGACGGTTACAGGCGTATGGATTAATTCTGGACGGGGTACAGACATTTTGGTCAAGGCTCAGCAGGAGGTGATTCTCTGTAGCGGCGTATTCGGCACGCCACAGCTGCTCATGCAAAGGTTGGTCGCACTTTCCAGATAGGCTCACCTCGTCATACTAAGCGCGAACAGTGGCATCGGCCCCAAGGAAAGTTTGTCCGCTCATAAAATTCCAGTCCTGCACGATCTCCCCGCAGTGGGTGCACATTTGACCACCCACATCCTTGTACCAGTCATGACGGAGCTCCCACTCAAGCACACACTGCATATTATTCAAACGGTGGCTATCGTATGGCACTTTTTGCTGTGGCTCTTCTCTGGGACTGGTGTGCTCGCCTCTAACGGTCAATGGGGCGCGGCATTTTTGCACTCGGATTCACTCAACGAGGCAACAATGACAGTAGTCCCTCCTGAAGACGATGAGAAGGAAGTGACCGATCTTGAAATCTTGATTACCCCACTCAGCACACTGATCGAGCACGGCGTTCCTGGAGTGCCCTGCATGACTTGGTACGCGGCTCTTGTACAGCCCCACACCACAGGGCGGGTCGAGCTCTCGTCTAGCTCTGATACGAAAGCGCCCCTGAAAATTACCCTCCCGTTGCTGATCGACGCCCACGACAGCGCGCGCATGCGTAAAGCGGTCCGGTTCGCTATGCGGTTGGCAGACGAGTTTGCGGGACCAGGGGTCGGATATCCACACCCGGCACCGTTAACGATGGCTCCCGGGATGGGTTTGGAGTATTTAGATGGTCTTATGGACAAGAAAAAGAGCAAGAGTGACAAGAGAAAGCTTACAAAGTCGTTGCCACCACAGAAGGACGCTTGGAGAACTGTCACTGATATGGACATTGACGAGTATATAAAGAGGTTGGTGACGGGGAGCTATGATCCTGCTGGCACATGTCGGATGGGTCTTACAGAGGAGGAGGGTGTAGTAGATCAGAGCCTGAAGGTATTTGGAGTGCGCAATTTGCGAATTGCAGATGCAAGTGTGCTTCCCCGGTGTGGGGGCGCCTCGATTTCGGGGTCCATTTATATGATTGGGGAGCGGTGCGCTGAGTTCGCCATGCAGCAGGATGGTTTTCCTTCCTAGATGTGCTGCAATACACTGTCTCATACAATTTTTGAATAGACATGGCCAAGCATTTATTCTCAATGGGTTTCACTCCGATGGATAAGCCTGGGTATGAAGAGCATATAACTATTTTCTGTTCTGACTCCGAAGAGGATGCTGCCATTGTTGCTTAGCGAAACAAGCACCTAGGGGAATAGAAGGTCAACCTTGCTGCTAAGTCTATGATTACCCTAGACATCACGCCTTGGGGTATGTGCTCCTGAAGCTATCTGCCTTTGTTTGTGGAGTTATGGCTAAATTTGTACGTAGATGACGAAACGGGCCTTGATGAGCTTAAGGGCCTTGTGCAAGGTGGCTCTAAATTTGTTTATATTGGCTCTGGTATTACGAAGTTCCAAATAAATCTAATGGTCGAGGACAATAGGGTATTTCTAGATGAGTTCTACGCTCAGATTGAAGAAGATGAAGATCATGTCCAGTCTACCGATGTGGCTGCCATGCAATAGCTATGATTGAAGATGGCGCATGACATGTGATCGAACACCTGCAGTGCCAATAAGGTCAACTGCAGGGGTTAGGACTACTTGGCGAGAGCATGGTATATCGTTATTTTGACACGGAGTTAATGCCGGATTTATGCCCGGATTTAAGGGCACCTCACGGAATAAATGCTTCAGCCTGTTCTCCAAGGCCGTTTGAAAGCTTATCTCGTTGGTAACAGCTTTACTTTTTACTCCCAAATTCTGAAATTCCAAGCTGTGCAATGGCGGCCAAACAGAAAGTACTCCTCCTTGGAGCTACCGGCGAGACTGGCGCTTCCATACTGAAAGGTCTACAGGAATCTGGTAACTTCGTGAGTGCAATGACTGTCCAGCACAATTTCATATGACTGACCCTATTTCTATCCCTTTCGTAGGATATTGAAGTATTGGTGCGACCAGCTTCCATGAATAAACCATCTGTCCAGAAGATCCAAGAACAAGGCATCAAGACTTGGGGCATCGATCTCGATGAGTCGAGCGATCTCATGTCTGCACTGTCTGGTGTTGATGTTCTCATTAGCGCTATTGGACCTCAGGACGTAATGCAGCAAAAAAAGCTACTTCAAGCCGCAAAATCGGCAGGTATCAAGCGAATAGTTCCATGCGCTTTCATTACGGTCGCACCCCCACATGGCGCTATGTTGCTTCGTGACGAGGTACGAGCAGCGAAAACTAATGGATGTGAACTGGGCTTAACTGACCAATAACATAGAAAGAAGAGGTTTACAATGACATCAAACTACTTGGTATCCCTTATACTATCATAGATGTCGGGTTTTGGTATCAGATCTCATTCCCCTCCCTCCCGTCTGGCAAAGTGGACTATGCATCGGTGACGCCAAACAACATTATCCATGACGACGGCACAGCCCCCAATATTCTTACCGACCTACGTGATATCGGCCGATTTGTCGCGCGCATAATATGCGATGATCGAACTCTGAACAAATATGTCTACACATTTGGGGATATTCTGAGCGAGAACGAAATTTATCGTATTGCCGAGGAGCTCTCTGGAGAGAAAGTCGCATCGACTCCGGTAGGCTGATTTCCTTTGGAGATATCACCTTTGCAAGGGCATATTTTATTGACTGCACTTCCAGATGTCAACTGAGCAGATCGAAAATGGCGTCGCACAGGCCAAAGCTGCTCTCTCCCAAGATCCTCAGGATCCGATGAAGCGTACTTTCCTTTACCTCTCCGAATATCAGCATAGTAAGTATGTGCGCAAGGACAATAGGCCTGAGTGCGCGGACTATCTGGGCTATCTGAATGCCAGAAGCCTCTATCCAGACTTCACACCCATTTCCTTCCGAGAATTCTTTGTGGAGGTACTCGGCGGGAAGGTGAGAAAGGTGTATGCTAGTTCATAAATCTACTTTGATGCAATGACCTATCACATGATTGTTGAATTCACAGAAAGGTCGAATTAAATCCAACTTATGAATGAATATTCTTGGGCAATTGCGCTCTATCTGAATTGTGAAGACTAGCGAGCTTGTCCATGAAGCAAAATTGTCAAATCATGCGTTGCCCATTGAAGATTTTAAGTCCGCCATTCGAGCTATGATTGTTGTTTTCTGGAGGTCCAAGTGGATAGTCTTTCCAGGAGAGCTCCTATTCTAGTAGGTTCTTGCCTATCTAGAGCAATCGCATCGAGCGGAGTCTGTTGTGCCACAACTAGTAAAAGGCCACCCGTAGATCATTTGGGTGTCAGCTTAACAAATAAACTGGACTTATCCCAAAGAAGATAGGAATCTTGATTTACCCAGTCCTCGCTACGTACATCCAATTCCATGTTGAAATTGAACAGTACGCGGGTTAGGATGAGACGCATCTCGGCGTTTGCCAAACTAAAGAGCAGAGCAGATTTTTATTAGTAGAACTTTTTGGTTAGATTAACGAAAAGGAAACACGTACTTGCGTCCAATGCAATTCCGTGGCCCGAAGCTGAACGGCTGCAGCACATTTTTGCTGTCATCGAAAAATCGAGGATCTCCAAGGAAACGTTCGGGAATGAAGGATTCAGGGTCCGTAAAGTTACTAGATGAGTGGAAAGCAGCGAGCTGGGGTACTGATACAATGGTCTGTTTGAACCGAAAATCATATTAGACGACTGTGACCTTTGAATCCTAGTAGAACAATGACTCGGATTAACTTACTCCTCCTGGCACCCAATGTCCAGCAATCGTGTCACCATGTCCGCTCACAATTCGGGGAAATGGGCTTGGAGCTGGTGGGTAGAGGCGCAATGCTTCAGTGAGCACCGCGTGAAGGTATCGAAGTTGATTGCAACTGGCCACAGTGATCTCGTCTTCAGTCTGGAAGGAGCTCCGGATTTCCCTCACCAGGGTTTTCAAAACACGCTCATTCTTTAAAAGAAAAAATGTGACCCCTGAGAGTAAAGTGGCCGTGGTTTCCGACCCGGCAATAATCAATGTGCTTCCGTTCGTAACCATCTCGTCGAAAGTCAACCCTCGGTCGGTATCCTTATGTTTGAGAATATGACTGAAGAAATCAACCCGATCATTTGACTTGGATAACCGACTTTTCACTTTCTCCTTTGTGAGCTCCATGTGCCAGTTCCGCTGCGTGACAATACGCGCAGGTGTGATAAGACCAAGGAGGAACTTCGATGCGGGAAAGCGTTTAACAATATTGCTATAAGAGGCATATCGAATATTGCTAAAGATCATCGAGATCCATTCATGGTAGGCGGAGCTCTGTAGGCAGTTGAATGGCTCACCAAATGCCATATCGCCAATGATGTCGAAAGTGGTAAAGTTATACCAAGCAACCATATCAAGAGGGGTGCTCCCATTATTGGCGTTCTGGTGCAGACGTTGTATTAGCAGGTCCACGTAACCCTTTATAATAGGCTCTTGGGCCTTTAAAGAGCTTTCAGAGAAGGCATAGGACAGTGTACGGCGGAAACGGGAGTGGTCTTCATCGTTCGACTGGATGATGCTGGGAACCCCCTTCGCTGTGGGTGGATAGACGCGACTATCCTTAGGATTTTGCCCGTGACCGGGTCGACTGCCATAGATGGTCTTCCAGGCTTCGCCATTGACAAAGGAGAGCTCATCGGGAGCAATGCGAACCACATCGCCGTATTTTTTGTGCAACAGCTTGGGATTTTGTGCAACCCGTCCATCCAAGACGGCTTGTAGGTAGGGAATTCTCGTAGCTGCGCAAGAAATTGGACCGGGAAATTTCGCCAGAGGGTGGAAGAAGATGTTGTAGGTGACTGTTATCGAGAAATATAGAACGCTCTGGTCACCAAAAGCTGATTAATGAACTGAGTTACCCAGCTTGATAATATGAGGGAACACTTACAAACACCAAAGCCAGTGCGAGGATAGATCCAGCAGCCATCAAAGGCGAACTGAATGCCCCTGAATGTCCTACTGTTTCCACAAATATCGTCATGGCGATCCCCTGTAGTGAAGGGCTTCCTGAAGACTGAAGAGTGAATAGCTGAAATACTGCCTTATTTAGCTTCCAGAGTATTGAGCTTTAATATGAGCATAACTCTTATGCATCTCAACTAACGATTAAACAATAAAACATTTGGATATCTAGATGCCGGACACCCAGACATTCCACAACCCTAGAGCAATATTATTGTATGACATGTCTAGAAAAAAGCTTAGACTATACTTGTATATTGTACATAACCGGTCAGTGTATGCCAGTTATGCTGATCGGCGTTGATCGACCATCCAATGACAGCGTAAGGGGAATACGTTGAGCCGCCCTGACCTTCCGCGATAGGCAAGTAACCCCTAGACAACCAAGGGAGTTACGGCCATGAAGGTATGAATCAAGGCATAATAATATTCAAAAGATTTGGCAATTTAAAGAGGCACAGGCCAGGAAGATATTCTCATTCTACTCCAACGATCGTTTCTTGTGCATCGGAGAAATTGATCAATTTTTCATATCAAGAGGAAATGATCAGCAATGCTGCATGACTCCTGGCAGTCTACGGAGTACCAAATGCCGATTGAGCACCTCATTCGTGGAGAGACCCAGTCCGTATGCATCAATTCCCCACGTCCATGCTGAATACAGCCTGGTAGCTTGGCAACCCCACAGAACTTAGGTAAAATTGAGAAGCAGAAAATCAGCTCATAAATTATGCATTATAGCGTCGGTTTCAGTTGTACAAACAGCGCAGGTTGAATTTGGACTCGCCTGCCCTCGACTGGTCTGGATGTTGAGGCCACGGAGTGCAATCTCCATTGGCCTCACTATCCATTCATGTGCAAACAATCTTTAATATCTAAAATTACATACATCTATAAACACGTCATATTAATACCTCATGGACAATCTTCCATATTCGAATTATCCTCTGGGGTTGCAGATTTTTTTCTGTCGCGTTTGGTTATGGTTCGAATGACGAACATTGTCGCAATGCCAACTCCCAGGCCAGCAAGGCCAATACCCATATAGCTTGCACCGCGATAACCTCGGAATGTGTCCGTGCCACCGCGGTTGACTTGAGTTTCGACAGTGCCAGCAAGGCCAAGCCCAATCGAGATGGAATAGTTCACAATCGTGTTGACGAGTGAGGCAGCAAGTCCTTGATGCTCCCGTGGCATGCTATTGCTGAGGATAATTGTCCCTGATGGAAAGGACATGTCCCTAATAGAATATTAGCTCATTGAAAACACATGCCTAGGCACTCAGCAGCCAATGGGGGACTATATACTTACATGCCCCATGGGGTCAACACAGAAATGACAAATGCTTGGGCCCAGTATGTTTGGTGAACAGGGAGTGTGGCCAGAAGGATTTGGCCACCTGTAAATGCAAACATAGCCGCCAACATGATCGCACTGGGAGACACTCGAGCCAGAATGAAGCCAGTTGTAACTGCAGCGATTGCGCCAGAAACAGCCGCCGGTGCGAACTTTGCCAGCGCCAAAAGGGGTGCATCTCCCTTGATGACCTGCATAAATTGGAAGAAATAGAAAACCACAACTCCGAAGCTAGACCAACCAGCAGCGATACAACCTAGTACCCACGCAACCTCCTCAGTGAAAACATCTCGAGGCAGTAAGGGACATGTTGCGTGGAACTCGACCCACAAGAATAGGGCCAGACATAGGAAACCGACAATCAAAAGAACGTAGACATAGACGGTCGGCCAGCCGACGGTTGGTCCTTGATTCCAGGAGAAATTAATCAGAATGAGGGCGGCGACGCCGAGCGAGCCCCCTAGTATATCACATTTGACCCACCATGGGATTTGAACTGATACTTTCGGGGGTTGTGAATCGGGAATAGCGAGGAACCCGAGGACCGAGAATGCTATGCAAACGATTCCCATTATCCAATATGCCCATGGCCACCAGGCGCGTTCTGCTAGTAGAGCTGAGAAGGCACCCCCAATAATAAAGCCTCCTGGTGCAGTCGCGCCAAAGATACTAAACACCATATCCTTTCGCGGGCCAGCGGGGTATGTGCGTCCCAGAATAGCCAGTGCGTTTGGTAGCAAAAAGGCCGGTCCAATTCCTTGAAATGCACGGCAAATATCGAAAAATATCTGGTTCGACCATACCGAGAACCCTCCAAGGATAGACCATAGTCCAAACCAAGCGAAGCCCCCGATAAACATGAGTTTATGCCCATAAAGGTCCCCTAGTCTTCCTGCAACCAGAATGAAGGTACCAACTGTCAAGCTGTACGCCGCTGCGTACCAACTTAACTGGCCGGGATTGGTGACGTGAAAGCTATCACCGATGATATGAAGGGGAACAATAGCAATGGCAAGGCCTGCCTGTGTCATGAATTGAGCAGCACACACCACGGCGATGAATATGACCTCATGCAGGAAGCTTTTTGGTATTTCCATCGCTGATTGGTTGGTAATCGCCCGAGCGAGATCTCCCGGGTGGAAGTTCGAATATTCGGCATCGGGGCTATAGCCAGAAGGCTCATTTGAAGAACTTTTCTGGAATTCTTCTCGTTCGTCGGGCATCTTCGCACGTAAGGTCTAGCTGCTGAGCTCACGGTGTTGGAGGGTTGCAAAAATCTGCTGAACAGTGCGGGTGGGTCGGCTCGGGATCGGAGATATCGGAGATCGGGATTATAGTACCTTAAGGCACAAAATTCACGGCTCTCCAGCAACATCGCTCAGTTATGGTTATCCATAAATACTTAGGAAATGGCAGGTAAGCAATAATTCTACCCTTGAAGCCTCAGCGACCAAACGAACTCCGGTCGCTGGATGAACCTGTTTCTTGTCCCACTGTGATGTCGAAAATATTGTTACTAGGTTCATCTCATCTCATATGCAATGATGAAGCCTTTGCAACTTTCGAAACAACTCGAGGCTTCTCTCCCAACTCTTAAACCTGTCGATGTCCCAATTCTGACTGTCATCCCTAATGCGCTCGTTAAAATCAAGTTCTGGCCTTGCTACCAATCAAGATACTCCAGAAGAAATGCAAATATTGACCCGTGTCTTTGGACAAAACTTTTTTCATCGGCAAACCGAATCTTCAATGAATATGCTTTCGTTATTTTTGTAGTCCGGTTTAAAATCTGCAGACTCTTCAATTCCCTTTGATATTATTTCGTGTCACAATGAACCAACGACACGGTGATCATTTCGGGATCGGATCGGAACCCGACCTCGGAACAGCCCGGTCCGACGCAGCGGTATAGGCGCCAACTGCCAAAACCTTATTTCCAGTAAATGTTGATGCCTTGATGCCTAGCTTTGACCTGGCGGCCTGAATTAAAAACGGCAGAAGAATTAAAATACCTGAATTACCATGACAAGTCCCTTAATAATCAATGTAGCCTGATTTTGCTGGTGTTTGCAAGTGTCAAAAATGAAGCTTTTCATCACCCGGTCCGGTTCCGCCTCAAAAGAACCACATGGTCACGGTGAACCTAGAGCGCATGACGACAAATAGAGCTGATACACTGTGCGGCGCAACTTTTCACGCCGAAGATGCCTGAAGCTCTCGATACTCCTTTAATGCAGAAAGATTATAATAAGGCACATGGTAGATGGAGAACGGAAGTACTTCCGGCGACCCAACCGCCGTATCAGCGGCTTCGCCATATCTTTCCACGGAATGGAACATCCCCGGGTCCACGATGAGAAGATCCATCAGAGCCAGCGCCTGTGCCAGTCCCCACGTGTTCCCTATCGTCTGAAGACACAGTATTACCCACCGCCGCTGTGGATGAGTCGGTCCTTCCACCATGCCAGCAATGAATAGGGGCCAGAGCATCATGAGGCCGCCCAGGTAGCTCTCTGGTGGGAGTATAGGCGCTTCTGGAAGCACCTCCAAGTTACACGCACCCAGATGGAATGGGCCACTGCGGCAGATGTCGGCACCTAGGCGACGGATGGTTGAACGTAGAGACTTGCAGTACAAACGAAAGTCTTTGGATAAATAGGTAGGCGAGCTATTTGATAGCTTGTGGACTTGTGATAATATAAGCTCGCTGACAATAATGCGTGCGTAACGGTAGTGCTTCCAGCAATTGGCCACCCAGATGTCTGGATAGATGTGGTATTCGTCGTTGTAGGGTCGAATTCCGTGACAGCGGCGTTCAAAAGAACGGTCCAGTGGCATCAATTTATGGCTACTATATGAAAGGCCCGGTGGCAGAGCGGCTAACCAGGCGAGAAGGTCTGCTTCGATGGCACAAGCCGCACTGAGGATCTCTTGGGGATCGTTCAAGGCTTGCGTGTGAATACTTGCACGTAGATTCGACAACTTGCTAATGATTAAGATAATCTCAGTGCCAAACGCATCATTGATCGCGGGGGTTATGTCGAGCGTTGGACATTCCAGTAGCGAGCTGGGTACGTGCACATCGCGCTGGAGACAACTGATGATCTATGTACGAGTTAGCATTCTCTTCATGGTTCTAGTGGTTGTCTCTCACACACGATCTGATATCTCACATGCAGGAAATGCCTGATTCCTACGTCGCTTTGCAATTGAGCAGCCCCCCGGTGTTGTAGTAGAGCTGTCGCTCCACAAATATGATTCATCCAACCCTCGATGCCCTGCGGAGCTCTTGACATGATGATCTACTAATGTGGGCATTTGAATCATTTTCTTAGGGTTGGGTGGAAATGCTCACTTCATATAAAGCTAAAAGGATAACCGCACCAAGGGTCTGGTCCGTCTTAGCCTGGTCGGGGTTGGCGAGCGCTTGATTGACTAACTTGAGCGCAGATCCATATTCTTGAAGTGCGGCGCGCCTCAGTGATGCGACTCTTCGAACACGCGAGAGCATGGCGCTGGCAACTGCTACGATGCTGCATTGTATAGCTCGTTGGCCTAGTGACTCACTAGAATCCATGAGAAAGTTTGTCCAAGTGTCGATTCCTAGAAAACTACCGGAAATGGTGTGCGACTGGAGGAAAAAGCAAATAGCCTCCTGCTTCGAAACTGTCGTGTTGAGATGTGTCTCTACAGGACTCTGCCTGGCCTCGCGCATACAAAGTTTGTACCTAGGATCGGAACCGAAACCAAAATCTGGGCCTTTCAAACTTTTACATGAGTATATGGTCACTGGGGATACGTAACATCGTTTTGGGAGAACAGAACGCGCCGACCGGGACGACATTCGGGGTATAAATGAGGACGACGGGGTGGAAGCTGCAGAGGAAGACTGAGAAGACCGCGCCTTCCGCGCAACAGATTCGGTCTCATCGCGGAACATCAGCGACAGCTCATCGCGGTATCCAAGGCATTTTCTGTTAGTTCGAGTACACTTCCCGCAGACCGGTCGGGCCTGGTCGCATCTGATCTTGCGCGAGCGACAGTTCCCACAACCTGTACTAGGTTTACCACCATATACCATGGTGTAAACTCTCTCAATGGAATGAGCAGTTTCAATGAGATATTAATGATGACGCAGTAGTCAGAATCAAAAAAGTTAAAAGAATCAAGAATAAGGGAAGCCGAAGGGGTGAAGACGCCTCAGAAGCTTAGCCCCCACGACATTAGGCTGAGATTTGGTATCTAACCCGTATAGGCCAAAGAGTGACACTGCGTAAGCGTCCATAAGCAGACAGCTAAGCCCTTTTCAAAAAGCTTGGACTCTTCCGTCAAAGCTTAAGTTTGGCCATTTTTAGTGGCATTCACATCCTATATATAGTTGGGATGCCGTTTGTGGGATGCTATGTCAAGTTGGAAAACGTGTAGCCGAACAGTACAAGAAATAATATGCAATTAATGAAATATTCGCCGTGGTAATATCACAAACTGAGCTGACAGCGTGAGCTAAACCCAAAATGGACACAGTTGCGAGGGCCAATCAGATGAGAGCTTGCATATATTAGGACCCAAAGGCCCCCATATCTCATCCCTTCTACTTTTAAAGTCACGGGCTGGTTACTAGACTCAGCCAGAGCCATGTTTGGAGGCTGAATCTGGGGACTCTGTGGATGCTGCATGGTTGGTGGAGAACCAAGCTTCCTGAGGCTTATTGGCTCGCAGTGTATCCTGTAAATGTCTTATTGTGATGCCTGGAAGTATGCGTTCTGTTGGGGTAGAATAAAGAGATATTATTGAGAATAAATGTAGTCTGAACCGGTATAAAAGGGCTAAGAGCTCGCAGTGCCATTTTTGTTTTTCACCTCCATCACGTATCTCGTTCATCATCCCAATCATCATGAAACTGGCTTTGGCAGCTCTTCTGCCGGCCTTTGCAGCTGCAGTATTATACTCCCCTTCTGTGGCAATTGATGCTGGCACAGTTCAGGGTGGAAGATGTGAAGATGGACAAAATGCAGTGTTCTACAAGGCAATTCCCTTTGCTGAGCCACCTACCAAAGAACTACGCTTCGAACCCCCAAAAGCCTACAAGAGGCAATTCCCTCGGGGCAGACTGAACGCAACCACTGCGGCCGCAACCTGCATTCAATTCTCGGATGACTTTACCCCGAAAAGATTGAATGCATCTGCGCATTCATCCGAAGACTGGTAAGTCGTAAGATTGGCCATCGGACCTCTCAGCTATCTCATCATTAACACACCTGTTTTACAGTCTTTACTTGAACATTTGGGCACCGTCCAATGCCACCAAAGGCTCGAAGCTTCCAGTGAAGATCTGGGTCTACGGTGGCTCGGAAACAGAGGGCTCTATCTCGGACCCCTTATATGATGGCTGTAACACTGCAGAGGCAGGATCTATTCTTGTCTCAATCAACTACAGACTTGGTCCCCTTGGATTCATGGCCCTTGAGACTGCCGGAATTTACGGCAACCAGGGAATTCAAGACCTCCTTCTCGGACTAGAGTGGGTTCACGATAACATCGCTGCCTTTGGTGGAGATCCGGTATGACAATTTGCATCAAATCACAATAGAAACACTAGAAAGAAAAACTAACATGCGTGTTCTAATTCAGAAAAAGGTGCTTCTCTTCGGCCAATCAGCCGGTGCTGAGAACGTATACATCATCGGTTCTCTTCCCCAAGCGCCTTCTTTGATCAATAGTATCATCTCGGAATCCGGGGGTGGGAGGAGGCTTGTTTCAAATTCCACACAGCAAAAAGTCGGCGCCTCATTCGCTCAAACGCTAAAATGTAGCTCTGGTGATGTGTGTGGGCGGACTTTCATTTGTGATTTAGATGGCGGACACTGACATTTTTACAGAAAGCTTGTCTTCAGTCTAAGACAGTTTCCGACTTGTTGATCGCGTATTCGGCCGATACCTTTTTAACTCAAGGGATTGGATACTACGGAGGCGGATCTCTTAGTATTCTGAGTCAGGGCACTCACAATTTCTATCCCTATGTTGACGGTAATGTCATCAAGGAAGACCCTTACGATCGTGGAGTACAAGTCCCAGCCGTGTTTGGATCAAGTATGTACATCATTATATCTTTTCTACGTCGTGAAACCTCGTTGACCAGGTAATCTACAGATTCCAATGAGGCTATCGTTTATACTTTACAATGGGCCGCCAAATACCAGCAGAATCCAACGAAATCGGTATACAAAGATTTCCTTCGCAGCAATTTCGGCAATGCCGCCTCGCTTGTTGGAAAAGCCTATTCACCATCTTTGTTCAAGTCGGAGGCCAAAGCCATCATCGCAGCTACCAGTCAGTTTGCTCAGCTTGGCTACAACACGACCTCGCTGGAAATACTTTTGGCTATGACACAGATCATAACCGATTCCAGCTACAGGTGCTCAGCATGGTACGGTGCGGCACAGGCCGCTCGCAATAATATCCCCGCATGGACATACACATTTTCACACAATCCTACATGTCCTTGGCTGTTCACAATTGATGAAAGTGATGTCAGCTTGTTCGGTGGCGCCCATACCGCTGAAATTCCCTTTGTTTTTGGCAATTTGGACAACTCATATCTTCCCAATGGGACTTGCAATTCTACATCGGGGGAATGGCATCTCGGCGACCAGATGATGGACTTGTGGACTGCAATGGCAGAAAATGCTAAGCCATCAACTAAGGAGATTAATTGGCCGCAATTCCAGACCCAAGGGAAGAATCTTTCGACTCCCAGCCTGATCTTTGAAAATTCAATTCTGGCTGGTACAATCGACTACACTGGATGTGATTTGTGGGTCCAAGTCAATGCGATGCTGTCAGCAAGCAACGCCACAGCCACGGGGACACCAACAAAGGCCAACGGCGATCCAACGTTTTCGCCATCTTCTCTTCCAAGTAACGGGGCAATATCCCTTCTGTCTAGAGTCGAAGGCTATCTTGCCTTTAGTGTTCTGTTCATGGGACTGGCTGCAATCTGATGGCAGTTCAGGCTTGAGCATCTCAGGAACTTGCCTATCTTAGCAATCCGTCTTTCTTTTCTTTTTGCTCTCTTTTTCTGTCTGCCTTCACTGCAAAGTTATTCGAATTCAGGGCTCCTGGTAACAATCATTTGGGTGGTTGATTATTATGGGTTGTTGTTATTGCATAAACTAGTGCCGATATATATAACTATGGGGTTACCCCAGACAGTTTGGCTTGGCAGATATAAACCTCATGAATTATATTTACCTGTTCATATCCCTAGTAAATTAGACGTGTCTAATGGTTAAAGTCGAAAGCTCTGAAGTCTCCGTATTGATATGTCCAAAATGGTATTCACAAATCATTCTGGAACGAATCCTAATGCCAGTTTGAGACTTATAGGATTTGGCTGGCCAACAACGTTAGGATGTATTAACCGAGTAAGCTGAGAATTGAGACCACAAGGCAAAAGAAAATGCCCTAAAAGCTTGTTTACAACATGGAAGAAAGCATGAAGCCTTTTGTGGGGTAGAATTCCGCTTCTTTCAATTCCAGATGCGTTGGAGTCTGCCGCACATACGATAAGCTTAAATTCTACCTCTTTTCCAGATTTACCTCCAGGGCTAGTCCGAGTCACCAACTCGAGGTAAACTTCCAAGGTTCCAAGGGTAATTCTTGTTTTATGGGGCTACCCGTCCGGGCCGCTAAGGTTAGTCCCCACACACCCACTGGGTGGGACAGGACCTTACAATAAACAGACGTTCCACCAGACTTATTGCACAAGTTTGAGATGGACAAGTATTCCATTCGTATGTGATTATATTGCTCGAGAAACATATTAACAGCCAATATTAGACAACTTTCCAGATCCCCCTTCCCGCACAAGGCCGAAAGTGGATATTTATACAACTTAGCCAACCTCGTAGAACCTCCCCCTTTTCCACTGCAACATGTCCATCCGACACGTGCGACATGCCAACAGACCCCAATAAGCGAGGCTTTATTCAAGCATCGTCATCAGAGATTTTCTCGGTAACGGTACCATCGTCTTGAACAACAATCTTGTGCACATTGAGGGAAGCCTTGACAGGGTTGGGCTGCTGGTAAACCCACTCCAACTGTTCGAGAGTACGGCCCTGAGACTCGACACTGTAGTGGCAATAGTTAGCATGGGAGGATCTGACATGTAAGAGGATTGGAATCGGAATCGGAGGAAACATACCAGAAGAAGTACCAGAAGACGGACTCAATAACATCCCAGCCGACGAAGATCCAGAAATAGTTGGTAGAAACGTTGGCGAGGCCGATGGGCGTAGCGAACTGACTGATGAAACTGATGCTGGACACCATGAAGCCAGACAGGGCCAAACCCTTGGAACGAGTGGTGGTCTCCAGAGCCTCGGCGGGAATGACACCCTGGAGGGGAGTGTAGGTGAACGAGAAGACCACGTTGAAAAGGTAGTAGAAAGCAAGAGCAGCCTGACCCTTGGTCTTGCCGATGGAACCGGTATTGGCGACTTCTTGCAGGATACCAGCGTTGATAGCAAGGGTAACAGCACATGCTATATGTTGATTAGCCGAGTTGGTCTTGATGAAGCTAGAGGAGAAGACGAGACTCACCAAGGGTACCGAAGATAAGAACAGGGCGACGGCGCATTCTGTCGCAGAAGTAGACGGCGGTCAATGCACCCACAGCTGAAACAATAGAGTTGACAAGATTAAGCAATAACTGGGTTGAGCTGGACTCGTATCCAATAACCTTGAAGATAGTGGCATTGAAGTAACCAAGACCGTTTCCAGACCACTGTCCGAAGATGGAAATCATGATGACCTGGGCGAAACGCCAGCGTCCACTCTTGGTCGTGAGGAATGGGCGGTCTAGGGAGTTAGAAACATTGGTCAGTTGCTATTGGGATGAATGATACTGAATAATGCGGAAGGGTAAAACTTACAATCCCACCATCTCTTGTCAATACCGTCAATTCGGATACCTTCCTTCATTTCCTCAATCTCAAGACGGACCAAGCGGGCGTTGGGGTCACCGTTGCCGTGATACTTGACCAGGAATGCTTCGGCCTCTGCGTTGCGGCCGTTGGCGATGAGCCAACGGGGTGACTCGGGGATGAACCAAACAGAACAAATGACAATGATGCAGGCGAAGCACTGGCAAATGAAGGGAATGCGCCACTGCCAGTTGTTGTTGATCTTCTCGGTACCGTAGGTGAGAGCGGCGGCAGGGATGGAGCCACCGAACCAACCGCAGTTGTAGAAGCCTGTTCTAGCGTTAGGACTGATGTACAAAATTCATCTGTTCCAGCAAGATTGAGATACTCACCAACGGCACGACCACGCCAGTGAGGCGGGGCAATTTCGACAGCGTAGGCAGGAGCGGAGACGACCATGACTTGAATGCCGAGACCGAGAACAAATCGGCCGACAACGAATTGAGGCAGGGTCATAGCGCTGGTAATGATGACGGATCCAATGATAATGACCCATGCGCCAATAAACATGCACTTGCGACGGCCAAGTCTATCGGAAATGATAGCACTGATAGGAGTGCAGACCATGGAGCCACTGGGAAGAATTCATATCAGTTGCCGTATTGTGTGGGGGATAGAGAGCAAGCATACACTGTGTAGAGTGAAGTAACAAGGGAGACCTTGGGGCCGTCCATTCCAGTCTTGAAGATGTTTTGATAGTGGTCCATGGCGAGGATAGATCCCATCAGAGATCCTATGTTTGGTTAGTCAATGCCATTTTTTGAGGTTGATGAAATACGCACCATCATAACCGTTGGCACAGGCACAACAGAATGCGATGAAGATACAGACTGTAATGATCGCATCAAATGTTAGTGTCTGGACAATATTTGCTGTATCGAAAGGTCATCCCTTACAGTACAAGTGGATGGATTCCTTGCTCCATCTCTCGATCTTGGTCTCCTCAAGGGCAGCGAAGAGATCGGCCTGTATTTTTCGGAGGTCTAGATCAGTATTTCGCCCGTGAAAAATTGAAAAATTGGAAAGTCACTGACATTAAGGACCTCCTTGGTCTTTGCGCCGTGACGCTGCTTGGTCTCTCCATGACCAGAGGCAACCTTAGAATGGTCTTCGACGGCAGAGGAGATGCCGTAGACCTCCTCGTGGGCGTTCTTTTCGTCCGACATGATGTGATCCCGGTATTGGAATCGACGATCTCGGTAGATGATCCGGTCAGTGATAGACGGGACTGGCGCGATGAATCGTGAAATCCATGAACAGCGGGGCAGGATGTGGTTCTTATAATAATGTTGAAATGTCAGATCGAGTAATTAAGAAAATTGACTATAATCCATTTTGGGAACTGGGTCGAGTCTCCGGTTCCCCAGACTCCATTTGCCTTGTGACCCCGGCACCCCCTGTTCTCGCCAGTAATAGGCGCCTGTAGTTGGTGGCTTTTTCAAATACCTCCGCGTCCTGATTGGAATCGGGACATTCCCCAATCATACCATTATTCCCCCACCATACTCGCCAAATTTCGATTTACGCATTGAAAGAAATTAGGGTCTGATACCTGGATGATCGGCCCTGTGTCCCGTTTAGAGAAACTAGAAACTTGTTCGAAACGTCAAAGCTGTTGGGGCCAGAAAGCCCCTTTTCGAATTTATCTAGCTAGTCTCGATGCACACGGAGGGAGCCTCGCAAGCCTAGAATTCCAGGCCAACTACTTACTACAATGGTATTAGACCAATGCTAGCTACATATTCACATGGCCTTGACAAGATTGCTTAATTTACTCGACACGCCTCTTAATACGAGTGGCGACGTGGAAAATGTATTATTTTGGGGGTTGTTTAGTCTATTCAGCTTGATAGCTTGACATCTATTTGCCATCTAACAAGGTCGCGTGTTCCAAAAATGACCATTCGCATGATACGATCAAGAATTCTATATTCAATTCCATCGTCTCACAGGGAAAACAAGTTGGAAACGTTGCACGGAGGCCATTGTCAGCGCGGAGGTCACTCCGTGTTGTATCCTTCACGGGTCCTCCCCCTTCCCCCACAATCCACTAAACTGTTTATGGTCAACTTGACCTCTTTTGTTCGCTGGTGCTCTAGTCTTTTCTCTTAGATTATGGTGGAAATATGCAATTCCTTCGATCATTACGCTTCATTGAATTTCGGCCCGAATCTCCCAAATGTACCCCGGAATTTCCACTCCATCTAGACCGTGCGTTGCGTTAGGTTTACACGAACACCAATACAAAATTTAGATGCATCTAAACTCGCTTGACAGAGCGCCATTCTAACGGAGGTTGGACCGAAGACGAGAAACGAAATCACAGCTCCGGGCCGAACTGAGAAGTACTAGAGGCGACACTTCCGAAACGGAGATGGCCACGGAGGTGGGTCGTGAGACATGCTCAACAAGGGTCTAGGGTGATTTCAGCCACTCATACCTCCGTACGGAGCACTCCCCAGCGAGTAATTTCTCAAGGTCACCCGTGATGTCTTGGCAGCTGGACTGACTGGAATCATTAAAAGGGGGTATGCCCCGCCAGGAGGCTGGGAATTGGTACAAGACTATTTACCAACCATTTCTCGGAATAAAACTCCCAAATCGTTAAGCGCATATCGAAAGACGTTGTGGAACTAGAGAGCAAAACCCCGCGGGTGGATATCCTGGAGTCCTGGGGTCGGTCCACTCTGACAAAAACAAGCTCGCTAGCGACAGGTCCCGATAGTCATCGGGAATCAGCGGGCCTCGGCCCATTATTTTTCGAATGGTCGGAGACCATGACTGGTCTTGGCATACATTTCCATTTAGCATCTTGCCGAGAGAGGCAAACAACATCATATTTTTATATTCCAGGCGTTGTTAGTAGTTTAGTAGTCACCTTTGCTATCTTCACTTGAATAGATGTCGATTAATTGATAGAAAGTCTCATTATGTCAGATGAGGTTGAGTCAAGAATCGATATAGCATTATTTACTGTATGGATGTATTGTATTTAGATCCGCGCTCGGCAATCGTCGACATCCCGCCGTTTGTGCCGGTTATCAACCTCGTATTATCCAATCCCGGAGAAGTTGAACTACTCCGTAGGTATATTGGGCTAATACAAGTCCGTGTATGTTCAAGATTAATTCCCAGCCATATACTCCGTACGGAGTATGGAGTAAACCATAAAGTCAAGCCTCTTTAGGCATCGGCACCGCGCTATGGAGCTAGGCGTACATACACACAGTTGACAGGTCAATCAGAAATTCCCAAATCTCCACCTGCGTATTTTGTCTTTCTCACCTACCCGAAATAAGACAACAAAATTTATCATGTCGAGGCAAGATGGGCTGATCACCAAACCAAGACGGATGTGCCAGTGTTCTACTCCGTACGGAGTACGGTCTACTAGTTCCAATGGCTAAAAGGATCTGCCAGGGGTGACAGGCAACCATAGATCATCCAATTGGCCGTGGTCACAAAGTGTTATCAAGTCTCTCATAGAGCCATCAAAGTCTGAGCGTCACTTTCCGATCCGTCTTGGGGTTTCTTTCATGCTATCGATCAACCAACGGACCATTAACATGTTATGTTGATTGAAGAGAGTGCCTCACTCTCTGACGCTTTTGAAGCAACCAAGCTCTCCCTATGATCATAAGTCATACACACCGACTTTTTCTCTATGCCTTTCTCTGCTAACTCTCTCTGTTGAAACAACCATCTTGACAATTCAACAGTGATTTCCCAACAAAGCTCACTTCGATCATCTCCACTTGCAAAATGCATCCTGCGCCCGACGATATCATACCCTAGCGTCCTCCCCTCAACTTTCCCACGTCCTCATACCATTCTCTCTCCCGGACCGCAACATACACAACTTACGGCATATAGACAAGATGGCAAGGACTATCCAATGACGCGGGTTACGGTGAAAGATCTTTATTTACCAAATGACATCAATATAAGCATGTGTGCTTGCAAAAAAGGTGGACTCGGGTAACCTAAACACAGTACCGGAAAGTTGCCAGATAAAAAGGACTACATCGGAAAGCGCCAACTGCAAGTTCAATACTCACACGTTGGTGGAGAGTTTGTTCTAAGGCTTCTTAGAGGACATTGACGACAGGGACTTGTAGCTCACATGTTGAATGTGGAGCTCGACTTGTGGCCCTCAACGTCCAAATTACCATCTCCAAGCTGATGGCCATTTAGAGAAAACAAAATGAACCTTCGAAATCGTGCTACGATATCGGGCCGCCAATCACCATGATTCGGACGGCCCCAGTCACTACATGAGGACGTGCTGCCATTTATTCGGGCCATCCCAGACTTCCCCCAAGAACAGGCCCAGTTGCTTGCGCGTTAGTTGGTTCTATATTGGCAAGACACCAATACCTAGCTGGGGAAGATAGGAAACCTAAGCTCTTAAAAGTTCAATTGGCGTAGTCTCGACTTTAGGATACATATCATTATGATTATACAGACACATTGATTACAGACCTTCCCCTTCGCGAGCTTCCTCATTCTCATACAGGCTATCCATATGGTTAGTGGTCGAATCATGAAACAAAACGGAATTCGAATATCGTACCTTGGGACCAACTTGTTTTTTGCAATACAGGGCCCCAATGTAACCACCGCACGATGGCTTGGCGGGAGCTGCAGGTCGATGCCTCGCGTGTGTGCCTCATCTAGGAAGACATGACTCAAAGACTGCCCCACGGAGATGTCCCATATTTTCCTTTATTCTTCCATGTAGACCCGCTTCATCAGCATGGAAGGACCTCTCGTTAGTGAGATAGCGCGTTGCGATGTTGAACTGAATGATTGTATCGCTACATCGCTGCTAATTGTAGGTAGCTTCGACCAGGCTTGCAAAGTTCTGCGATGGACGCAATGGCCCAGAGAAAGGGATTTTGTGCCTTGTAGTAGAGTGTTTTTTCCGATTTCGGGGCGGAATCGAAGAGGGAGCGGAGATACCAGGATGTTATGTATCGAGGGGGTGTATCTCACTAGCGGTAGTTTGAAATGGTTTGTCCACTGCTTTGTAAATGGTTGATGCGGTAGCGCTATTTTCGGATGTTTCCCAACTCTTCCCGGCGCGGTGCCATCTCTGTTGCTGTGATGTTGCGGCGACAAGGGTATGGGGGAGGTGCTGGAGTTTGGTTGAAACTAAAGCGGCTAATATCAGATGAGAAGATGAAACTCCGGGAAATTTTCAGAATTCATGCTCAGTTTATACCAATCTCTCCCTCACTTGGGTAATGACCTGTGGGAAACGGCCCTGAAGGCTATCCCCATCGACATGTATCGATGGGGTTCAATTGTATGTGAGCTGTTGGCATATGCCGATGTCTTTGTCCTTATTTCTCAATTCATATTTGCGTGTGTGCTCTCGACACTTTGCAGGAAATAGCTGGGACAAGGGTCTCTCAAAAGAGAAACGCTGAAGTGCACTTGCAATGGTGTCATATGGCCCGATTTGGAGGGAAGCGGACTTTCCTCCGATGTTATAGGAGTTTCAGGATCTGATTGAAGTTAGAACGTGAATCTCAATTTCCCCCTATCCAAATGTTTTTCCTATAGCGTACTCCAAATGGCCAAGACGAAACTAACCTTAGAGATCATACTTTTTATGCTTAGTGTAGCAGAGAAATACCTTCACTTCACTGTCACTTCACTCTCACTTCAATCTCACTTCCTTCTGAGTAGGCATATTAGACGAGTTCTCACATGGATAGCGAGACCGGAACCCCATACGATACTGACACCTTGCCTACCTACTCTCCCCCATTCTCACAACTCCTAACATCGAAAAATCCTATTTCCTCTTCTCCAACTTTCGCCCAACTGTGAGAAACGTCCCTCAAGTGAGCACCGTGAGAGCTAAGCATTATTATTACTAGTAAATATCCTAGCCCCCGCCAGACGATCCGGCGCCTCGACACCTTGCCTACTATCCCTATCAGTACAGATGCCCACCCGCCTGTCAAATGGGCAACCTACATAAAGATGACGAAGTGGAAAAAGGCCAGAGAAGGGCAAGCGCCAGAGAAGGGAAAGCGCCAGACAAAGCAAAGCCCCTGTCCTCGCGGACGTGCTATCACAGCAGCCGGCGTCGCAGGGTTACCTTGACAGCCCCGACCGATTTGGGAAGCTAGAAGACAAGATTTGGGTCTCCAAGAAGAACGGAAAGGATTGAAGACGTGTCCTGCCGAAGCCCAGGCTCTCCAGAATGAGGTGACGAGCCGAGTTTTCGCATTGAGCCAGACGTTCTTTTAGCAAGGACTAGACTCAGGAATACGTGAGAACCCCTGACAAGAGTGATACCGCCTCGCAGAGCGACATCGAAACCGAGACCGCTGTCTCCGAGCTCCTTGTCAACAACATGTTATGCTGGAGACCATCCTCGCTTTCTACGATCCTCTACAGTTACAATAGCCGTGGAAAGAATCACACACTACGAAAATAAATCTTCTATATACCGGAACACCTGATAAGCCCTCCAGAATAAAATGAAGAGAGCTTGCACGGTACTTACAGTTGTTTGATTTGCTGCACTAACGTCCTTACTGCTTGCTAATGCAGTTTGTTATGCCTTTACCTGTTTAGGAGTTCTTTGTTGGCTTTCCATTTGCTAGCCTTATCTTCGTGGCTTTCTCTTGGTCTCTATGAAGCTATATAGATGACTTCATGGGCCGCAAGCTCTCTCTATCTTTAAGAATTTCCCTCTTTGCTTCTGCACGTAGATTCTATCTACGTGTAGTGGTATATCAATTTCACTGCTGTACTGACTTGGAAACCTCGCCCTACCAAGGGCTGTATATACTCCAATGTCCCCTCTTTTGCACTTTGATATCTCTTGGGTTATTCTATGAATACCTCTAGTTTCTGCAGTGGAGTCCGCCTACAATATCTACTCCGGGTCGCATTTGACGATGCTACCACGTTCCGTCGCCAACGTTCAATATGCATCCTAGACACTAGGTGCTCCTGCGAGAACTGCATTTCTAGCTGCATTTCTTGCTTCAGGGTCCTAACCACCGCCGGTCTATCCCTTACTATCAGCCTATCACGAGATACCTTATCATCATGTCAGCCCCCCAACCAACCATATGTCGGTCTGTATAAAGCAAATTTCTCCATAACCTGCCGATTATAGACACATGACTAGGTTCTAACAGGCTTTAAGGAGTAATGAAGTGGTCTTCACTGGTGACGGCAAGCTTTGGTTCGGTGTAGTGGTACTCTCTGCCATTTTTCCATCTTTCCCATAATCCTTTTTTCGCACATATCCGTGACCACTTATTTCAAGCCCCACGCCCCGTGTCTTTCACATGCGTGACACCAGCCTTCACTCTCTGGGTGCGTATTCCACGTCAACTGAAGGTGGAGCGTGAATAAAAATGACTGACACAATCTACAGGCAAACGTCATCTTTCCTCAAAACTTCAAGAATTTGGATACTACAAGTGACACAGCTATCATTACTTCCTCTATCTTCAGGCCAGCCTTCATGATTCATGTTCGTATCCTGGATCAATTACATGTGGGCCGTGCAGGGTGCTAACCTGAGCTATTTAGGGAAACATTCCAGGCCAGCTGGAATCTGGTAGGTCACTCTTAAAACCTTCTCGTTTGATATCGCCACTGGACAACTAACGGTTTCGTCATTTTATAGCAGGAACTGAACACTTTGACCCTTTCATTTCCAGGGTAAGCCCCTACGCATCCTAATTCCGAATGGCCCTGACCTTTCTAATCTTTGCGTCTACCTGTGATAGCCACTGTCCTGTGTCTGCTGTCTATAAGGCTATGCATATGGCTTCATGGCCCCGACTGCTCTTTATCTTTCAAATGTTGCTAATCCCTCCTTTTTGTTTCCATGCGTAGATACCAGTCATGTGTATCAATTACACTATTCTACACTTACTTTGGGATCCCAGCCTATCCAAGGCCATATATACTCAACTTCCCTTCTTTTAAGGTCACATATCTCTTAAATTACTTCCACATATACCTCATTCACTTTTTCAACAGAAAAGTGGGTTATAATACTATCTAGTTCTAGGATCTGTTACGTGCTCTTGAGGGAGAACTCTCGCTGAGGGTGAAATTTGCGTTAGTATAGACCGTTTGCGCGTTGGATGGAAATGCGCGTCTTACCTATCATCCTCTCTCGTTCGTCCTTCCCTTTTCCCTTTCTTCTTCCTTTCTTGCTAGGCTCATTTCTTATCTCTCGACATTCTTCCATCTTTACATTCTTTCATATTCACCTAACTTTGTCTCTTAATCCTTTTTAATCCACAATCATGTCTTTGACTCGCACCACACCAGCATTTACTCTCTGGGTGCATATTTTATATGAAAGGAATGAACCTTGAATCACACTAACCGCGAGAATCTACAGTCCAACATCCGCGGGCCACTACAGGCTGGTATGCCGCTACTTGAAGCCCCTCATTTAACAATGCTACTGGATCACTGACAGTTTCGCCGTTTTATAGTCAGCACAGAATTCTTCCATGGCTTTGTCGCCGTGGTAAGCCACCAAGCACCCCTCAGACCGAGTGACTCCCATTTTTCTAATGTCCCCGCCTACTGCGATAGACTGGCACTCTCGCCAAAATTGAAAGTGCGCCTAGGTTAACCGTCTGTATGTGGAGTACAGCATTAGCGAAGTTATCGGTTGATGGTCGGCCAGAAAAAAGAGAGCATACCTGCGCAGCACTACTTCTTGCATTTTTATATTACAAAGTTCATGATAAGCTCGGCAATGAGTCGAATATGCCATCGTTGATGTGATTAGCAGTGGTCAGTGAAGGACGAGAACGAGAGCGGTCTTGGGGAAAAGGCTGGACTGCCTAATCGAAAAGATTAGCGATGTATATAAACACTCACAATGGAATATAGTACGGAGTAGACATGCCGGGCTTATCTGCAGCAACGTAGATAAAACGTAATGAATCAACTGTATGGCCTTGTTACATATAAGGGAACTGTCTGACTTTTCCAACTCAAGTCAAGTCCAGTGCCCAAAGCCTCCAAGGTCCCCTGAGGGTAGGCACGTGACGAAGTCATTGGCTGTAGGTCTCGTGAGCACGTCGATCCGGGGATATCACATCAACTCTAAATTGAGTAATTTGAAGTGATTTAGTCCGTAAATAAATGAGATCATTTATAAACTCTTCACTCTTCATTCTTCACTCTTCACTCCTCACTCTTCCTCAAGTGTTTCTCTAAGACCCTCTGATTGGTTATGTGAAGTTCGGCTGCCGTACCCGCCTAGTGACGTGACCGTGCAGATAAGATCCCAAAGGCTTCCAAGGAAAGATTCTTTTCATCAACTTTCGACTCTTGGACTTGGTTTAGAGGACTCATGCAGTCAATTTTCTTGCTGCTGGGCCTCTTTGCCGACGCCATCTCCGCCAGTCCCTTGGGGCAACATCCGTTGGGATACCCAACGGAGCCTGCAGGCCTGGCGGAGGGTTTGCGCAAACCTGTACGCGGACGATTTTTGCACATAACTGGTGAGCGGACACTTCTCTTTGTCCAGATTTATGTTGTGTAACTCCATGCTGACCAACAGATTTTCATCCCGACCGCCTCTACAAGCCCGGAACCTCGATCGATCGCTCGTGCCACCACGGTAACGGCCACGCGGGGTATTTTGGAGCGGAGGGCACAGATTGCGATTCACCCTTATCACTTGTGAACGAGACATTTCGCTGGATCGAAGAAAACTTGAAGGATGAGATTGATTTTGTGATTTGGACCGGGGATTCTGCCCGACACGACAATGACGAAAAGCTCCCTCGCACAGCAGATGAAATTATGGATTTGAATGCATTCCTGTCACAAAAATGGATCAGCATTTTCAGCGAGGAGGGGGTTCGTGAGACCTCGAATGCTGTGCCCAAAATGTCGATTCCTGTGATCCCGACATTCGGTAACAACGATATCATGCCACACAACATTTTCAACGAGGGCCCGAACAAGTGGACGAAGCGCTTTGCGGAGATATGGGGCCAGTTTATCCCAGAAGATCAGCGTCATACCTTTGTTGAGGGCGGTTGGTTCACCGCGGAGGTGGTCCCCGGTCGGCTAGCGGTCATCAGCCTCAACACCATGTACTTTTTCGATTCCAACAGTGCGGTGGATGGATGCAACGCCAAGTCGGAACCTGGATACGAGCACATGGAGTGGTTGCGGGTGCAGTTGAAAATCCTGCGCAGCCGCAACATGAAAGCCATCCTCATGGGCCATGTTCCCCCGGCGCGGTCGAGCGAGAAAAAGAACTGGGATGAGACATGCTGGCAAAAATATACGCTCTGGATGCACCAATATCGTGACGTTGTGGTCGGCAGCTTTTACGGCCATATGAACATCGACCACTTCATGCTCCAAGATAGCAACAAGGTCAACATTGATTCAACGGCCGATGGGAAAGTGTCCGTCAGGTCCAAGACCGACTACCTTGAGTCGCTTCGAAATCAATGGTCCTCATTGCCATCGCCTCCATCGGGCATTTTCGAGGAGCTTGACTCCATGTCGAGTCTAGGCGATTTCTCAGAAGTTGAATTGGCGAAGAAAGACAAGAGGGGTAAAAAGAAGGATAAGAAGAAGCAAAAGTTCTTAGACAAGATTGGAGGCCCGTGGGCAGAGCGATACAGCGTATCGCTAGTAGCTCCCAGTTTGGTTCCGAACTTCTTCCCCAGCCTGCGCGTGATCGACTACAATATCACGGGACTCAACGGTGTCGCACATGGGGTGGATTTGTTCACACCTAAGGTTGACGATACAACTTTTGAACTTGAAGATGATGCGATTGATACGCCAGCACCCAGCGACGATTCTCTGCTATCTCCCGAAATTCAGAAGAAGAAAAAGAAGAACAAGGGCAAGAAAAAGAAACCCAAGTTCAAGGTCCCCGAGCCCCCATCGTCAACCGCTCCTCCCGGCCCTGCATACTCGAACCAGGCGTTCACGCTGCTTGGCTACACTCAATACTACTCCAACCTAACCAAACTCCACGAACAGATCGCGGCAGGCGAACGAGGCAAGAATCCTCGTCTCGACTACGAGATCGAATACACCACAAATGATGACGTGTATCAAATGAAGGACCTGACAGTCCGCAGCTTCTTCCAATTGGCCAGCAGAATTGCCGAAGATGGAGCCGAACAAAAACAGACGGATGTCAATATTCCAGACGCATCAGCGTCTGCCAAGAAAAAAAGAAGAAGCCAATGAACGATATTTGGCGGGCTTTCTTGGGGCGCGCCTTCGTTGGATTCGAAGTTGATGACCTGGATGTATAGGGCGATTTTGTAGCATTTTTTTGGATACTTTTGCATGTACGATACATAATAGCTCTCAGGCTTATACAATGGAGACTTGTGGATTCACAAGATGTTCATTCTAGATTATATGGATATGAGAACATGAGATTGGAGTAAAAAGAACAAATCAAATTCAAATTCAAATTACCAAGTCTTTCATTCGTCTTATACTCTACAAGAGGCTTGTCTAATTGGGTCAAGGACATTCTGGCGGTGTAACTTCTGTATTGGGAATACGTCAACTTCAGTAAACTTCAGTACAATGTAGAATGAACACAAGACTTTCAGAGTGGATTTCTACAATACCCCGTACCTCCAATACACAGCCACTGCCAACGTGGCAGTCCGTGCTCCCGAGCACTTGGGCTATTATTTTAGGGCCTATGATAAGTAAGGCGTGAAATCATCGTTTTCCAGCCAATCTGCTCTCTTGTCGCAGCCGCTGCCACGTAGCAATCCCCGTCATTACCATTTAACAGTCATGGCGAAACTTGGCCCAGGAGAGTGAACAGCACATCAATTGTATGAGATGGCTATACAATTATAGGGTGAATTGTACATTTAGTTTATAGTAGACCGTTACCTCTTTTATCTCAATCAGTTTTGCTGGGATTACTGTGGGATTCCACTAGTGTCCTTTACTATACAGTACGCGCATATCCCAAGCTCATATCAGGGGAAACTTGTAGGACCTTGCAGGGAAAATCTCTCTTTCCAATTCTCTTCTCCATGGGCTTTGACTCCTGCCCTAACACCCCCAATTCCAATTCTAACCCAACCCGAGCTCGAGCCTCCGAGCTTCATACCCGAGAATCCCCAATTCCTTCCCCGCACAGAGCCCAAAATCGCATTGCGCCCACTCTATCCCCTACTTTTCCAGCCGCACGATGCGTCAAGTCTACTTGCAATTCAGCTCTGAGCTCCGTCTCTACTCCTTGCGTTAGCCGAATTTCTAGAAAATTATTCCGAAGTCGCCCGTCGCTAGATCGAAACAGGCAATATTGATTCGATTGATCGCGCGGATAACATCGTTCCGTGTGTCGACTACAATTCAACCGTTATATACTCTGTCGCAATTGGAGTTGGTACCCGCGCTAGGAACGAAAGCTATTGGCTGTGATATACTCCGCGGTCTGAACAACCGCCCCCTCGGGTCCCGCTGAACCTTGCAGCTTGCGCGGAGCTCGCGACTCTCGGTTTCGGATATTCCGTGTATTTTCCCTTTTCGATTCGGTGCGTCGCTGGAACAGTCTGAGATTTTTGGACGCCAAGATCTTGATTTCGCAGGTCAATTGGTCCGCGACTTGGGGATACGCGCGTGGTTGGAGCATGATTCAGTCGCTGCGTTTGATTATTTGAAATTCTGTTTGCGCGAATTTCGGTAAGTCCGAGCTGTCTTCGCCTATTCCCTTGCCTGTTGAGACATTCCCAGCTTCGCAATTGAATTTTCTTTCGGTCAATTGGTCTTCTCCGAACTTCCCCCGCCTGCTGCTCACCAATATGGCTGACTCCATATCCCCAGATTCCCCGAGTTCCGGGTCCTGGGCTTTGTGGATGGCCTCCTCCGAAGTGGACCAGAAGGCCCTGGGCAATTTCGCCGCCGTCATGGGCCTCGAAAACCCCCTGCTCTCAACAATGCTATACAAAGTCCTCGGCGTCTCCGTCATGCTATCAAAAAAGCTTCTTAGAGCCCGCAAGCTGCGACGTCTCGATACAACACGCGAAACAAGATCCCTCCAGCTGTACCATCACATCATATGGCTCTCCCGCGAAGGCCTACTAATACTGGAGGGTTACATCCTCCCCATGGTAGACAGATTTGTCGAGCTAAAAGTGCTTGCCTACAAACTTCGCGCTTCCTTCTACCATATCTTCGTCCTATTCCACAATCGTCCAATCTTCACTCCAGACACCGACATGCCAACCCGCTTCAAACATGACTCAATATACGGTGCAGATGCCCTAACCGCTCTCGGCGTCACAGACTACAAGTCCAAAATGAATAGCACATCAACACCAACATCCAGGCCCCCAGGCCTACCAGTAATGCAACCTGTCCAGTCACCCCAACCAGCCTCAACCTTCCTCCTCCCCCCGCTGGACTACACAGCTACCGCAACAGCCTGCTTCAACCACGCAGCAACCCTCTCCGACAAACTTCTCCCAGGCTCACACCCCCTCCGTCTATCCGTCAAGCTCGAATACGCAGCTTATCTATACGACTGTCTTCAAGACCCCGTCGCATGCCGCCGTCTCGCAAAACAGGCCATCGCAGACGTCTACAATGCCCAAGAGGGCATGGACGACGAGAGCTTCGAAGACGCCGCAGAGATCGTCAGCGTGTTAGGCAAGATGGTCAAACGTGGCGGGAAACCAGGTTCCAGTACTGGCACTCCGGGGAGCAGTGTCTCCCGCACTGGTCGCTCACGCAGTCGCAGTAGTCTCGCACCTAGTCATCTTGATACTAGTGTGCCGACGACCGTCTCGCCTGTGCCGGTTACGAAATCCACGCCTGTCTCTGATGATCGGGTAGGAGTGAGTCGTCCGGCTGTTCCTGATGCTTCTATGATGAATCCCATTTGATGGGGATGGAAATGTGCATGATTATGATTTAACGGGGATGAAACGCAAAGGATTAAAGAAAAGCCGATGATCTATATTTTGTTGTCTTGGCGTGTTGCGCTTTTATGTGTGGGATGTATTGATTTCTTTTTGTTTTTGCTTTTACTCAGCATGTGTGTAGATGGACATTATGCATTTCTTTTGATATCTGTAGATATACGCTACGCTTTGATGACTTTGATTCACTACTGACGAAGGAATGACATGTTTTGCGCCTATGCTGTTAATGATGTCGCGTTGTACAGGTTGTTACAGTGATCATACATATCGCACTACCTGCACGCAGAATTCCAGAAACAAATATTAGACATGGTGATTTTCTGTTTGGCCTGCCGCAATATCTCTGCTATAAAAGCAGTGTGAAGGTAGAATACGTATCACGTCTCTTAGTTATATTTTTATTTTCTTATGTCCACTTGACATCTCTCTCTTTGGACCCACGGTCGCCACCAATGATGGCCTTCTATATCAATATACAAACTGTATATAAACCTAGCCTCCGAAATCTTCTTCTCTTCTATCCATTGGATGCTAGTTGTTTAGGAGCCAACAACCCCGATGCAGCTGATGTCCAAAGGTTGTCGGAGTTAACGTCTCCAATACGCATGATGGGCCGGCCTTTTGGAGGGGCTAGTAATATGAATGAAGTATGGATGAAGGCATATGCCTACTGATGAAAGCTCACCTGAGTTTGTTAAGAGATCTGTGAGAACTGACAACAATCCGAGAAAGGTAATGGGAATGCACGAAGTAAGAGAGATCCGAGAAAGGGCAATGAATCATCTCGTATCCCCCTTTTCATTTTGAAAGCTCTCTATAACCGTCTCTATGGGAAATCCACGCACTTCATACACACAACTAACTTTGCATAAATCTCAGGTCGGAGTCTTCCCTCGTTGTTGTCTTATTCAACCACCAATTGTCTTCTGCAAGCACTACGATGCTCTGAACACGGTTTGTAACGCCTGCATCATCTTGTATAACGGGCGAAGACTTACAAGCTGACTCGACTGGCTTATTTAGGCGAAATCCCCGCCTATTTAAAGGTCATGGATCCTCCGTACCAGACTCAAGCCCGAAATCTGATCCAAAATGCATATCATCGGAAAGCAGCGGTGACCGAAAGTGCCCCGGTCACTATCCAAAGAAAGGAAAGCAAGGAAAATCTACCTGGCCCCTCCCCGGGGTCATTAAGTAACCAGCTGGGCCTAGAAGGTCGTCTACCATGACCCGTTTCTCATATGCCGAGAAGGAATAGATGAAGAATGGAAACCGAACGGCATTCGTGGCGATACCAAAGAACAAGGTAAAATAGGTGGATATACAAGAGGGAGAGAAAAAAAGTATTCACGGAGTCGAAGAGACCGGTCTCGTCATGGACTTGATACTCAAAGACGACACTCGATAAAATCGTCAACTAGTAATCAGACCATGGGCAACGGTATATGAATCCGAATCATTTCAATCGTGTCTAAATGAGCAAAGTCTTACTACTCATTTGGACTGTGCCAGCTAACGCACAGACCATTGCAGTCAATATGTCGACTGAAGCCATACGAACTCCCTTGATACAATCCCGTGCAAATCTTGGCCATCGATCGCTACATCAAAAGCCAAGTTCTGGGACGGTTGCTGCGGGCTCAAAAAGGTGAACCAACATCCGGTACCACCCAGGAGACTCGGTCAAGCGGTCCAAATTGGTACTCATGGAGACACTTCGTGGTGTGTGGAAAGCCACTGACGAGAAAGTCAGCGAGAAACTGCCCGAAGTGCAGTTTGTGCTGGCAATCAATAACAAGCCCTGGTTTAAGGCCTTTGTGGGTACACTAGAAACCGATTATGACCAGCCATGCTTTATGGGCGTCATCTGGGACGAGTTCATTTCCTCCAAGAGCAAGTATGGGCCTTGACACAGGGAAGAAGGAATACCCGAGAAGAGAAGAACTCAGAGAGTGTCTAAAGAAAACATCTAAAAGGATATCGGAGCGTTATCTTACATATACATTCCTTGTAGTGGGTTAAGCTAGTCTTGGTCTGCAGACGGATACTGTGAGTAGGGTTTCATCCGTGAAGTGTCATCACGCAGAGTGCTCTTAGCTTAAGGCTACTCACAAGTCTGTTTGATAACTCGCCAGCTGGTCGGTGATGGGTTTCAAGGTGGTCATTGAGAGAATGACAAAGTGGTTCTAGATATTGCAGGGAAGTTGATGAAGTTGATGAAGTTGTGATAGTCGAGGTTAACGTTGACGTTGCCCCTGTCTTCATAGTGTTATCCATCCCGTTCTCAGACTCGGCTAGCAATAATCCCCTGTGGCGATCGTTAGAAGCGATTACATGCAGACTGGGGCATGATCTTGCCAATTTGATGTATCCACCATTCCACCAGGTTTGGTCGGATGAACACGGCCCAGATGGGTTGTGGGTTCCCCGTCTGTCATTCATGTATTCAGTCCGGCAAAGGTTGATCTTCGAAGGGTGGCTGGCTAAAGCTGTAAGGTCTGAAGATCTATAGGGAAGGAACCTTTCCCATCGCTCCTGCTTAATTGTGTTGATTCAGGAGATTCCCAAGGTCCACAGGACTTCGCTTTTTCTTTTGTGATTTTCCTGTACACTTACCTAGGTATTTATTGTCGGTTTTCCTTGGAGATAAACATGTTGGCATTGATATCTCCTATTCTCGTATGTTCTCCTGGTCATTTGGAATAAGGTCGATTCAAATAGAAGGCTAATCCGTGGATAGAGAATGATGATGTCTTGGACCGGAAGACCAGATTACTGTATTTATGATAGATAGTTGGCAGGAAGAGAAGATATCAGAAAATATTACAAAAAGAATATCTGAGCAGACTGCCAATAAAATTTCGAAACCAAAACGTACTGAAAAGACTTACAAGGGTGCATAAGCAGCCAGCTACTCTTGTCTGTTATGTATTGGTCAACAGCCTACCCGAAACTAGAGGAATATGCAGCGATCCAACAACCTTCTAAAATGAAACAGGGAAGACATAAAGTAATAGACCATGATCAGCTTCAGTACTGTGTAGTCTACTCCGTACAGAGGTCAAGTCATATCAGTAGGGCGCTACACGTGGGCCTCGATGCCGATCAATTGCTATTGTCGAATGTTGATCGGGTTACCTCGATAGACTTGGCTCACATCACTATATGCAGAGGGGTAAACAAGGGAATAAACAAATTAGCCGGCTAAAAACCAACGGAAGTTCGCGAAATCCTGTTTTCCTGTTTTGGAGTGATCGACATATTTAAATGCCTCAGGCCAACATTGCTGGAAACAGAAAATAGAAAACTTCAAACTGTCAAAATGTCCAAAATGTGGCCAACGTGGGAAACATTCTTCGACATTTTGACATAGGGGGGTTTGTACACTTTCAGATCAAACGGGAGATTCAAAACAAGAGTTGATAGTGATCGACGTCATACTCGGAGCTCTGTGCGAAAAAAAAAAAAGAGCCAAGACAACCGCATCCGACCTTTTAAGGGCTCCATATCGTTCTAATAATCCGAATCCACTTGAATCCACCGCATCTGCCATTTCACGTCTTTTCTCTCCAGCTACACACCTTCCCGACCACCTCCCCGATCCACCAGCCCCCCTGCGCGTCGTCGCGTTGCTCTGCAGAAACGCTGCATCCCACGGAACGTTGCATTAAACGCGAAACGGTCAATCCCCTCCATGGCCTTCAGATTGTCATTCTTGCTTCTTCTCGATTCTCGTGAACCTTGAACCATAACAAACCCTCTGGAAGCTCCTGGACCGAGTCAGGGAGCAGGGATAATGCGGTCTGGCTTTGATAAACCTGGCGCGCTCCCACTCCTTATCCTGATTGTGTTCTCGCTACTCACATTGGTGCCATCGCTACCGAATCTCTACCACTCCAAGTTTGCGGACTTCAGCTTCTACACTGGTGCAGCTCGCCGTATGTACCCTTTCCGCCAAACTCAACCTCAACTTCAAGCTCATTCAAGTCAACTAACCAAGCCGACTGTCCAGAGGTCCCTCTCCTTCAAGATAGTGTCACCGAACTAGCACCGAAAGTACACCCGCTCAACGAGCCTCGCAAATCATGGGTTCTTACAGCATCACATCGATCGCGAGGCAATCGCCCACCGATTACTGCACGCGTTGGAAATGACGCTGTGGTCCCAGCCAGCGAAACAACCACAGTCGCAAATAAAAGTCGACTCTCATCCTTCACCCGCGAATCCTCATTTTCATTTGGCCGCAGAGCCCGCGCATTCAGAACCTACTTCATCCAACAATTAGACGACTACCCATTCCTCACCTCATTCTCCAACCGCAGCCTTGCAGGCTCGACGCATCCATATCCTACCATTACCATCAACGAATCTCTCCCAACCTTCGACAACAACTCTCCTCCCAGCATCCCGCCATATAATCATTCCTCCGACAGCACCCAGGAGCCATTGCTGCCCTTTCCTGCCTCCCTCCGCGATATGTGTCAGCAGGCCTGCCACGTCGCCCTTGATTTTGGAAAACGCGTCGGACTCCATGGAGCAAATTATGCGAAATCGATCTTCCTCCCGGACCAGATCTCAGGGGCTCCCACAACATTAATACCCCACCCCACAATTTCCAACGACGCCTCAAATCAAGACCCATTCATCCCATCCGAGCAAGCACCGCCCCAACAGAAAGTTGGCGCTGAGGATTCCACTGATGCTGCCGCTGGTCGGCACTCGCGGGAGCTCCATGGAAGCTGCATGGCTGTGGTGATTGGTCTTGTTGCAGGCATCATGTGGTTCTAGAGCAGGCTTTTTTGGGTACTGCTACTTTCATGTCTGCTGATATGAGTGATGACCTTTCTTGTTTTTATTTGGTTTGGCGCATTGTATTAGATACGTGTAGACAATTGGGCCGGTGGCTCTGGTTTAGCCTCCTGTTGGAATCTAATAATCACATTTACCATTTCTCGTCTTGGTACCAATTCATCTCTCTAGGGTATGACTTCAATGGGTCCTTGTTGCATCGATATCTGTGCATATTATTTTCTATGTTACTATTTCTTATCAAGAAGGGCTCCTTCGGATCTTGCAGAACCACACGCACTGAGCTTTCAGCTTCTGTGGCTTGTTCACGCTGGGGCTAGACAAGTCTTGGATATCAAGTCCAGGAAACTAATCGGGGATGGATGGGAGAAATCCGACTGTGGTACTTCCACCCTTCTACTCAGAGCAAACTACGGCGGTTCCCCCTGAGAAATCTCTGATATGAGGTAATTCTCCCTACTCAATTAAGAACATCATCTACAGTCGCACAAGGGTACATGTGCAACCCAGGCGGCTTTGTGCATGCGTTTTGGCCCGTTAGTTCCCCTCAATTTGGACATGTTGCTGTTTACTTGTCTTGAAGAACGAACCCACTACCTACCTATCTCTTACTATCGTCTTTACTTCATTTAATCAGATGCAACTGTAGTATAATATCATACTTGAACGTGTTCTGATATTGGATTAAATCTCGTCTGCAAATGGCACAATTTATAGGAATTAACGGAGTTTTTATCTTAAGTCCTCCACAAATCTCCAAAACTGTATTCCTGGGATGTTCCATCATCTTCTAATCGCTCATTAAACCATATCAAAGAAACAACCCGAAGGACTTGATACTTGATGACATTAGGCTAACCTGATATGGTAAGGTCCGGACTCTAGTGGAGACTTTTATGAACGTTGATTGGCCGTTCCGAACTATACCCACGATGCACTGAAGTACACTTAATCCCATTATCACCGAGAGCAAACGTATAAAGGAGACCACTGTATCTGGTTCAAATGGAGGAGACATCAATCAAACTTCATTCCTTCCTTCATTGCTCCTATCTTCTATCCTCAAACACCTTCACCCAAAATGTCCAACAATCAACAAGTCCTCCGCTCCGAGGTCGTTCTGGAGAAATATGGCAAGGCCCTTGCTGGAAAGACAGGTAATCAAAGGCTATTTCCCATCATCTGTCAAGTAGCAAAGCACTAACAAACCCCCCTACTTTTTGTAGTGCTCATCACCGGCGTTTCCGACGACTCCATCGCAGGCGAACTCGCACTTCAGCTTTCTGCCGCCGATCCAAAGCTACTCATCCTAACTGCCCGTTCCGGCTCAAAGGTGGCAGGAATTCAAGAAAAGATCAGATCAGCCAAGCCAAATGTGGAAACCCGCTTTCTCAACATGGACCTCAGTGACTTGGGCGCCGTGCGAAATGCTGTCAAAGACCTAGATGATGTGTCTCACATCGACCATCTTGTCAGCGTGGCCGGGGTTATGTTCCCACCTTACAGCAAGACAAAAGATGGATTTGAGAGCCAGCTTGGAGTCAATTATCTGGCGAACTTCTTGCTCGTGAAGTTGCTCCTACCAAAAGTCCGTGCTGCGGGTTCAGATTCGTCTGTGGTTATCATGGCCTCGTCCATGGTCAGACAAGGGAAGATGCACTTCGACGACTACAACTTCAGTGTGAGTTCGATAGGCATGTTATTTTTAACCCCGCTGACATTCCATTTCCTTGCAGGATGGCCAAACCTATGAACCGATGGTGGCATACGGCCAGTCGAATGCTGCCAGAGTCATGTTTGTGAAGAGACTGGGTGAGAAGTTGAAGAACGAGAAAATCCGCGTTTTCAGTGTTGATCCTGGTGGTATTTTTTGCTTCTCCTTAGTATTCAATGCATCTAGCTGACCAACATTTAGCCGTTCAAACCGGTCTGCAACGACACTGCCCTCCCGGATTTGTTGACCAGGTCGCCGAATGGAAGAAGGCCGGAGGTATGTTTTCTTTTCCTTGTGTATGTCTTATTTCTCACTAATCGACCTCTCTAGCCATGGTTGATATGGATGGAAATCCATTCGAAATTCCTCCGTGGACTACTACCTCAGAAGGAGCCGCTACTGTCATCACGGGCATGGTTGACCCTACCATCGCAAGTAAGTAGATCCCACATGCCCATAGTTCTACTGTCTTGTACTAATCATGTCCGCATATAGGGTACAATGGCTCGTACCTCAGCCAGAACGCAGTCTCCGACCACGAATTGCACACCCACATCAACGACGAAGACAACTGGACCAAACTGTGGGAGCTGAGCGAGAGCTTGACCCAGGAGAAGTTCTTGCTGTGAGAGATATAAAGTTAAAAAATACTCTGATGTGTTTATTATATAGAGTTTGTAATATCACTTGATCATTCTGAACATGATGGGCTTCTCCCCTCGCTGTTTCCTCCAATAATTAGAAGATTCAATTATATCGGGACAGTCTTTTACCATCCAACTCCATTTTTTTATCAATGACTCCGAGGCCTCGTATGCAGATGGATCCCAAGCTTCGCCCCAAACACGAAGTCCGACTTCCTGCGAAGAATCACGAGTCTCATAAAAGTCGCAGCATATTTCATCTTCGTCAATTTCATCTGTCCTAGCCAAGAGGGCCTCTCGTAGCGACAACATCGGAATCAAATCGATCCAGGGGTGGTGGATAATTTTCCTTTGCTTTTGGGATGGATAGAGGCTTGGTGGTAGATGTAGCGTTGATGGACCGACAAGGTTGAACTGCGATGCGAGGTCTTCCTCGAGAAGCTCGATCGTGAGGCCCATGAGATTGGCGTTGACTAACATCGCTCGAATTACACTGCACTGGGTGGCGTGCAAGGTGGGATTGGGCGAGAAAACCGGGTTCTCGATCATATGCAAAGCTTTTGCATGGAGATTTTTTATAGACTCATCATGCTGGGTAGAGTTGAAATGACATAAATATTCTTCATTTTGGCGGGGAGGCGATGATAATTTCGCGACTTGATGACTTGTTGTTTCTTTTGTGAATTCGTTCATTTTTGGAACGTTCGAATCCTCGATATAGACAACCCATTTCCTGTCTGGCGTTTTGTTTTTTTAGTCTCTAACGCCTTCCTTTTTCCTATATAAAATATCAGTATAAATAGTTGAAGTTAGGCTGGGAGTGGCGAATAGGAGTGCCACCTACTGCTCGCACGTTGATTGAGGCGATTTTGGAGTCGTCTTCGGGCTGCGGGATCTAACATCTCCATCGACTTCTCTGAACTTATTTGCTCGCGAGCAAGCGATTTATCATCTTGGAAAGTCATTTTTAGAGCACTGTAGTTGAGGGGACGAAGTGGTAAGACGTGAGAAGGTTTGAACCGGGGGGTTCGGAGTTAGGTATAAAGTCCGGCGCGTTAGGTCCGAATGAACGCGACAGCCTAACTGGACGACCTAATACAAATATTTTAGAGCTGAACTACACATCTTTTATTTTCGATTAAGCTGGATAATAATGATACGATATCAATTTACTAACTCTCTGGGCAACTCGGAAACACCTCCGATAATCTGTTCATCCCCTTCATATTCATGACGTAGCATAGTGGCCAAAAACCGAGAATAACATTCTCCTATGTCTTGGAGACAACGACCGTCTTTAGATATTCATTTGTCACATTAGACGAATATTTGCCCTTCATTTTATTTATTGCTTGATAGAATATGAATCTTTTTAAACTCCGCCGAATACTCACTTGTTGGCGTAAGAAAGGTTCAGATTCCGCAACAGAAAGCAAGCCACAAACAATTGCCGAGAATGACAAAGGAGATGAGGAACCGTACGGTGGTTTGAGCGAGGTCGCTGCTCCGATTCCGGTTGAACGCACAACCGAAGAGGAACAAGCGCGGCACGAATCCCTTGATAGCAACCTGTCTGGAGGGTCACATTCGCACCCTCATCTCTCCAATAATTAAATGATTTGAACACAGGTATATGTTTCGCATGCCCTTCATGCTCCTTCGTCGGTGGAATCTTACTAATTTACAAAAGAATGACTTCACAGAGTGCGCAGCAGTTTTTCTGGAAAATGAGTAACAGTGTTGTCGGATATAAATAGCTCCAAATATGCCATTTTTTGCCTCAAAAAACTTATACAGAAGGGAATACTGCCCCGCTTTGATCCGAAATTCCGAGGGGACTTGGATGAGCCTCTCTGTTTGAGCATGGCGGGTCGCTATATTTTGCACCTACAGGTGGTTATCAACTTGAGTATGAGCCGGATTACGGTCCAGCTTGCCACTTTTCGCATCGTAAAGGGGCTTACGCATATACTCAAAGCGATAAATTCAAAGCAGATCAGTGTTTGAAAGCCACCTGGGAATCGTGGGACCGTGGTGTCATGGGCAGCAATATGTATATACGGCTTAAAGGAAGGCCATTCAGCATACGTGATTAGATTATCTGCTTGAACACCTCAGTACTATCCGAGAGGATTTTGATAACAGAGCAGCTATTCTGAGAGGTTAGTATATGATTCGTATTTGTGCTTAGTTCAAAGATTATCCGTGGTATATCAGAGACAACGATCTCACTGCGTGGAGGAAAACATTTCTTGAAGAACGAAGGTTGATGAGGTGAAGGACAAAATCAACTGCATTGGTGGAACTTCAAAAGTTGTTATAAGTGAGTAAGTAAAAATGCCGAGTGTATTACGTCCATGGGTTTGCGTTCATGGGTCTATGAGCGACTCTACTGGTGTAGGGGAAACTGGATTAGAAGAAGCATCAACTGTTTGGACTCGAAAGAACGTCAGGTTAGGAGCCTCCATGCATAGTATATGCAGTAGCTGTGATGCAAGGTGTTAAAGAATCAATATAAAAATAATAACAGGGAGTCGAACCCTGAGTGCCTATGGTAATTGGCTATATATAGGTGACTTCCTAATCGGGAAGGAGGTCAGTTATAGGGAAGGTAAACATAACTCTACCTAAAGATCCGCCCCTGTTAGCTCAATGCGATGGGAGGCGCGCAATATACAGCCTACTGGTGCGGGCGAGGGCATGCTTGAGTGTGTCCCCCCCCCCCCCCCCCAAATCCGGCGTTGTAGAGGCGCGTCCTCTCACACCCCTGGGTAATTGACAGGCACTTAACCTGAGTGAGGTACTTTGTACTCTCGAATGATAGCCCGGGTGTAAAAAGTGGATACTGACTTTTTTTTCCATATTGATTTTAATTCACCTTTGTTAATCACTTCTTTCTTTGTCCTTGCTGCACCGACTAATTGATTGTTATCGGATAAGGTTCTAAGGCTGTCTTCTATGGCTTACATGAATAAACTGCATAAAGAGCCAAGGTTGGGTCCTGAGGACTAACACCCTTTTCCATCTCATTGGTCGAATGCAGTGACATGCCAGAAACAGTGAGGGCCAATAAAATGTTACAAAATATCGTAAAAATATCCACAAGTATGACGGAGTAGGCAGTATCAGATTGATGACATGCTGCTATGCTCATTGCGCAATATATATAATCACAGATGCTGCGCCCCTCAACTGTAAGAACCACTTCTCTTCCAACCACCTGTTCCGTCAATAAAAGTCAAAGTCGCAATATGAGTTCAAATTCCATCTATGGTAGTGTCCAAGATCGCTATGGTGAATTGGCTGATCGCTCTTCCACAAGCGAGGAGAAGAAAACCGAGCAAAGTATTGCCCAAGCATTTGGTTATGATGCTGCAGACCTCAGCTCAATTCCCCAGGCCGCAAACCTTGGAGTGAGCTGTGGAAATCCCTTGGCCCTTGCCAACTTGCGAGAGGTCAGTATTACCGCCACCTAGTCTTATCGTGCGACTTCCTAACATTTCCTCTAGGGTGAAACAGTGATTGATCTGGGTAGCGGTGGTGGTATCGATGTTCTACTGGCGGCCAAGAAAGTCGGTCCCGAAGGGAAAGCCATTGGTGTAGACATGACAAAGGTGATCCTTTTACTCAACTCAATGACTTGAGATAACCCAGCTGACACAAATAACACAGAGCATGCTCGAACTTGCTCGCAGAAATGCGGAGAAAGCGGGTGCTTCCAACGCGTCCTTCATCGAAGCCTCAATCACGTCTATCCCTCTGCCTGACGCCACCGCCCACTGCATCATCAGCAACTGTGTGGTAAACCTCGTTCCTACGCCTGACAAACATCTTGCGTTCAACGAGATGTTCCGCTTGCTGGGACCGGGAGGTCGCGTTGCCATCAGTGATATCCTGACTCGCAAGGAACTCCCCCAAGAAGTGGTCAACAGTCTATCCTTCTACGTTGGATGCATTGCAGGTGCCAGCCAGGTTAACGAGTATGAGAAGTATCTCTCCGAGGCGGGATTCAAAGGTATCCATCCAAGTGTAATTGTGCTTTATGCGTTTCGCTAATCATCTTTTTCTTCCTAGATGTCGTGATCGTCGATACCCACAGTGACATCAATGTTTACAAAGATTTGGTTCAAGGACAAATGGATCTTGGAGAGGCGAACGACCAGTTGGAACCTACTTCGTGTTGTGGAGGAACACGAGAGAAGAACGCCAGCGGAGGAGACTTGCTGGAGTGTGACTTTAATGAATGGGCTGGTGAGTCTTCAAGCCTTTTCGATTACCGAACCAACACTGACTTTGATTCAGGCTCGTTTCAAATTTATGCAATTAAGCAGTTGGAGGATTGAGGCTTAGTTGCAATCAAACTGACATATCTCAAGATATTTCCGTCAAAACTTTAAGAAGCACTTGGTTATCCACCCTGCATCCTTCCAACGGACCGTTCCCTTGCTTGAACCCACGCTCCATCCGAAAATACAAGACATCCAATTCCACGCCTTTGGTGTTGCATTGGATTACCCATTGACAGGCTAAAGAGCACAGAGTTGTATTCAGGTCGCTTGGAATACTTGTTTCAGTGCTTTCGGTGGTCCCTTGATACTGGCTAGCCTCAAGAATAGGCTCTGCAGGCTCCGGTTCTATCAAGGGAGGATCCAAATTGGCCAAATTATTTGTCTCGTTCGATAGTAACGGGATATTGAAATCCAGCCCCATGTTAGGCGATAAACCTGACGAATCCCATTCTTCCCAAAATGACAAGGGAGTTGGATTTATCACATGTTGGTGAGTCTTCACGCTACTAGTCAACGAGCCTGTAATCTGTAAACAATTAGAATCTTACGACAATAATTGTTCAATTGGTGACCTTACCGCAGATACCATATTTGGTTCGCTGTCGTGAATGCTTCCGGGGGTGCATCCAAAGAGTTGAAGTTGATGTCTAGGGTAGCCAATAACCCTCTCATCCAGGCATTTTCGGATTGCAATTTATCAAATGCTGATAGCGATGGTGAATGTGTCGATGCCATTAATTCGTCATATTTTTTGGCTTTTCCCTCTAATTCTCGGATATATTCTAGGCGTTTTGCCCTTGATCGACGTTGATTATTGCGAATGCGGGCGAGGTCTTCGCTCTATACGAATAGAACATGAGTGGGATGGAATAAAAAAAATAAAAAGATGGGATGATTTCTAGTAACCAACCTTGGTCTTGGTTTTTGGGCGAGGCATAGTTGAATTCGGGCAGTGGAATTCTTGTAGCAAAGGGCTTTTCTAACAACTGTAGAGGAAAAAGAGGAAATTGAAGACATTCAAATATAGATGAATGATTTGACGTTGAAATAAAAAAGAACTGGAGAACTGGAAGGCAAGTTGATGTTGTCCAATCAGACGAAAGTGGCATGTCACTGGTGACCCCGCAGATCGCGTGACTTGAACTTGATATTAAGGGCTCTCTGCCCAGCTGTCTCTCTATTAATTCTTAATATCTCATGTACATTTTGTTCTTAATCATCCCAGCCAATTCGTCTAGCTATCCATTTAACAGCATATACCAGACCCAACAGCACAGGAACCTCTATGAGAGGCCCGACAGTCGCCGCAAGAGCCTGGTTGCTATCCGCGCCAAACATCGCCACCGCAACAGCAATTGCCAATTCAAAATTGTTGCTAGCAGCTGTAAAGCTCTGCACAGTGGCCAGCTTATAACCGAATCCTAATTTGTACGCCACAAGGAGAGTCGCAAAGAAGATGATCAGAAAGTAAACGATGAGCGGTGCTGCCACTCGGACCACGGAGACGATTTGCTGGACCACATGGCGGCCCTGCGAGGCGAATAACACAAGGATTGTGAACAACAGGCCGATGAGAGACCAGGGGCTAAGCCATTTCAAAAAGGTTTCATCGTACCATTTTGCAGAAATTCGTCGGAGTACAAAACGCGTGACGATTGCGGCGCCGAGAGGTATTCCGAGAAATACCGCGACACTTTGGGCAGCTGTTGAATACTCGAATGTGACTGGATCGCCGCTGATAACGCTGATGAAGAACACTCCCATTGGAGCGAAAAGAACCATCTGCAGCACTGAGTTGAAAGCGACGAGGATGGCGCAATATTCGTTATCGCCTCCGGCTAGTCCTGTCCAAACCAGTACCTGATGCAGGCTGGGGGTTAGCATAATGTCGTTTATAAAGGCGGGTTGCTGATGGGTGTAGGCTTACCATAGCAATGCATCGTGCCAATCCAACAACGATCAGTCCCTGTCGCAATTCTGGCTCGTCAGGCAAAAACGCCCAAGCCAAGGCCAGCTAATGAAAGTAAGTCAGCAATTGGCTCTGTGCCGTGAGAGTGTTGGAATAACAAACCATAAGAAATGGAGCAATAATCCAATTCAGGAGAAGACTAAAGGCCATTTGGACCCAAATACCTTTCTCTCGGAAAACATGATGCAGGGATTCGAACCGAATCTTGCACAGGATAGGGTACATCATGACGAGAAGACCCACAGCTGTAAATTCATACTCAGTTAGTAAATTCCCCAAAATTGTTGGACTTGCACGTACCGATAGGAACAGAGACTCCCACGAATTTCCCCCTTTGTAGGGCAGGACCTGTGCTTGGGACAAAATTGCCCAGGATGATTCCAATTGCCATAGCAAGAAAGATCCATAATGCCAGGAATCGGTCAAGGAGACCGAGACTTGAGAACATTGACTGTTTCTCCGATGGCTCATCTGGAGAAGAGGTTTCATTTTGCTTTTCAATGTCGCATGTTTTTGCCTGGCCGTTGGGGGCACTGGCGGAGCATGACTGTGGTCGTATGGACGTCATGGGGGATAATCGAAATGGATCGATTGATATTCTATTGAGTAGGCAACGGGTGTCGGTACACGGGATCGCAGAGCGTGGGTTTTTATATTCTCTCGTGTTTCTGGATATTTTCCATAGAACTAACTGGCGATGATATGTCACTAGCGGGCGCTGATTGGCTGAAGAATTAGACTATCAGCGGGGCCGTGAGATGTGTCTCAACCAATGAGAATGAGGAAGTGACATTCCTCACAGGCGAGGGGTATTCGAGGTCTTCTAGCAGAGTCGACAGTTTCAGTATCAAGTCATTTACAACCAAAATGTCAACCGAGCTTCCATGGCACGCTGCATATCCCGCACCAAGGAGTGCGGCGCCCTCCATCTCGCGAGAAGAGCTATTGCAATGGATTCGAGAGGGTAAACAAGCAGGCAAAGACTTTGTACTTGTTGATTTGCGTCGCACAGACTATGAGGTATGGGAAGTTCAAAACAGTGACGTTTTCGTGCGCTGATGTGTCAAAGGGAGGAACGATCCAAGGGTCATTGAACTTGCCCGCTCAGAGTTTATACCCTACGATCCCAACATTATATTCTCTTGTGTCAAACAGCTCCGTGAAATATGTGATTTGGTATTGTGGTGAGATTTACTCAATAAATATGATAACGACTTTCTGATACAGGGATACTGATCTGCGTTTAGGATCATCTGGAGGTCGGGGTACTCGTGCAGGTGGCTGGTTTTCGGATTATCTCGAAGATCAACACGATATAGAGGTCAAGAGCTTGGTCCTTACCGGAGGCATCAAAGGATGGGTGGCGGCTGGTCCTGAGTATACATCCTTGATGACTGGTTATGATCCCTCTGTCTGGACAAGTAAAAGTAGCTAGTTGAGGTTAATGAACATTGAATCCAATGGCGTGAAGTTTATCGTCAACTTCCCATTTCTTAAAAGTATAGCAAGTGGAGTCATAGAAAGAGGTATACAAAAAAAGAGAGGGCGCCAATCCACGAACCCCGTCCCGTCAGGACCGCCACCCCCTTCAGGAGGGGGACCCAGTCATAATGCAAAGTCGGGTGTGGGAATTACCTCCATACACCTCGGTCAGCCTTCGCAGCTATACCGACCGACCTAAGCCAGTTGGCCGACCGGCCTAGGCAAAGTGATATAACCAGCAGTCAAAGAGGTAGTACTTCAGATGCCCCATCCACTAAGCTAACCAGGGTGGATTGGCTGATAGGGGACCTTTTACCTTCCCTATATAGGACATATTTCCTAATTGGGACATATGGTAATATACACTACTCAGAGTTCGATTCCTCCATAAGATGGCTTTTATTTTAATGCTCCTACCTCTGGTTAACCCCCTCCAGGGCTGTAGATCTAAAATCCTACTCAATCATCCCTTCGCTCAAAGACTTCCGTTCTACTCACGATCTTGGGCTAGACGTTCATACTTCTTCTCCCTTTCAAGAGTGTAACCATGGACCTTACAAGCCCTTCACTGTGGCTACAGGTTGACGCCAAGTGTTAATTGAGATTCAAGGACTTTCGTGACTAAGGGCACACATACATATAATATAACATGCACATCTGTATAAAGTGGAGTAATTTAGAACAAAGGAGATTTCCATTTGGTAGCTACTACATACATAGACTTATGATCGATGTTGATATGAGACATGGCCCCGAGATCTAACCTTGAAGTGAGAACAGAGTTACACATCCTGGCTATCCATGTCGAAAGGTAGGCTTTCAAGCCAGCCAAAGGTCATTCTACGGCCAGTTATCTTATCACTGGCTAGCCGCCCATTAACGAACCTCTCAAAGGGAATATCAATTCCCAATCGATCATAGATTCGGCCCCAGACATTGCGCGGGAGCGCGATATCACAATCACAAAGAATAGTGTCCACAGACACAGATTTCAGGCGCACTAGACTAAGAAAGTTGCGGGAGCGCTCGAGGCGTTGCTTCAGGCGGGGGGCCTGTTCGCATTTCCCTTCGTACTGGTGTAGCAGATTCTCAACCTTCCGGATGTCCTGAGCCATAGTGCTCATCGATCTGTCCATTGGGGCTGTTGGAGATGCGCATTGCTTAGTTCCATCCATAAGGCAGGGAACACTCATAGTCGCAATCAGGACAAGACTAGCAGCATAGAGATATTCTAGCTGTTCGCACTTGCCATTGTCATCGTCGTACTTCTTGAAAGAAGCATAAAGCGTCTGGACAATGTCCTGAGCGGCGACGAGACATTTGATTGCCCCATGGTACACCAGGGCGAGAAGAACAGACGAGTTCACCGAGTCCAACTCCTTGCCGGTCAGATGAGGATTTTTTTCACAGGCACACGCATGGGAAAATCGCAAGGCTAGTATCAAGAAAGGCCGGTGCTGGCGAAGTCGGAAGTAGAAATAGCGTAGATGGGCGAGGAGGGACATGCGGTGGATGCTGGCGTCCTTCCGGGTGGTAAACTCGATGGCAGCTCCCTTCCATTCCAGACATTTGGGTAAACCATTATACCAGCTAGACAAACTTTCATTCAGCTCCTGGAATGGACCTAGGTCCACGGTGGAAAACCATTTGATGGGGCATTCCATGCGCGTCACACGTAGATTGTTTTCAACGGTGATCAGGTCATCGGTGTGCTTCAAAAGTGAGGCACAGGCAATGAAGAAATAGGATGCCACGAATGATTGGCTGCCGCCAGATGATCCGATAGTCGTCTCAATGTGCGACTGCATCGGCATTGGTGAGATGTAAAAGACGTCGAGGTATTGATTGACAACACCAAGCTGGAGGGCGAGAAATAGTTTCTTCGTCCAAAGGGACTGCCATATCACCCGGACCTGTCCCAGCGATTCTTTGTCAACGGCGAGGCATCCACCATGCATCGTGTGCATCTGAAGGGATTCCGCTTTGCTGATAGCCAAAGATAGGATCTCCCAGCCCTTTTCCAGATGACCAACCATGTGGACATACTCGATTTGGAGAATCCGTCGGTAGAAGTATTGAAGCGAGGTGGTATTGCCTTCGTCCCTCAGTGTGGATACAGCGGCGTCGTTCCATTTGCGGCCTTCCCAGAGGCTCTTTTCACGAGTGAGATGACAGGCAACTGCAAGACAGAACCCGAGGATTGGATCAATGGCCTTGGGCGCCAGCTTGCCGTGGTTCACAGCCATGTTGAAAGCTACTTTCAGTTGGTCGAGATCAAGAACAGGCAGTAAATGACCATATTTGTGAAGGAAAATGTCCCAGAGCATCTTGGGAATTTCGGAGGCGAGTGGTTGGCTGCTAGAAGCAACACCCTTAGAAATCGGGGCGAGGGCATTGATAGAGTTAGACGACTGGGTCCCAGAAGCAGCTTCCTTAGGAGCCCGGGGGTGAAGTCATTGGAGTTGGACAACTGGGTGCCAGCAACAGCACTTTTTGAAGATGGGGCAGTGATGTCCTTAGACTGGCTGTCAGAAGCAGGACGTTTCTTAGACGCAGACTGCGTGGCAGGAGACGCCGCGGTGTCGTTGGATTGCGACAACTGGCTGCGAGGAACCGAAATGCGCCTGATCTTGTGCTTCAAACTTGTCACAGGAATCATGGTGTCGTCAGTCAGATCGACGGATTCCAGATGTGGGATGGATAAAGATGAATGAGATGGAAAAGGAGGGGGATGGGTTGGTGAAGGAGACAGAGGGAGGGGAGGGTTTTGTTTACGAGTTGGTCGCGATGGTGATGCTGGCGTGTATGAGGAAGGCACGCGTGGAGAGGTGGGCTTGGGTGGCACCTTCCTTTTTGGAGTCGCATGTTCTGCTTTGACACCTGGACTGTCCAAGGTGGCATTGGCAATATCTCCTTCAGGGTCTAAAAGCTCCGCGAATTTCCTACAGTTCGCACGACTCAGCTTGGATTTGGTCGATATGGCTGTAAGGAGATGGTTGCGGAGGAATCCGATGCGTGAGTCTTTCTTGTCCAAGCCATAAGCATCAGGATGAGACGTGAGTTTGCTTAGGCGATGGAGGAACAGCTCGTTATGGTTGGATGTTGGTTCAGCCGATGTACTTGACAGACACTCTTCAACGCATATGATTTGCTCTTGTATCCTCTTCTCCTCAGGGCTCATCAATGGCCCGTACAAGAAGTTCTCAAAGCGACTGAGAAGAGCACGAGAGCATCGGCCACCCTTTTCCAGCTTGTTGTATGCAACTTCCATGAGATCATCTTCTTCGCGCCACTCGTCATTAAATTGAGTATCCCCCAATCGAGAAATCGTAGGATCAGTGCTCGGGCGTTCAATCTTAGCTTTCTTTAGTAGCTTTATGATGTTGCGCAAAGGCTCTGCTGCAAGATTGCGATGCTTCATTCTCTGAACGTTGATTTCGGTGGTCAAGTTGCACCGGAGCTCCGTTTCATCTGCACGCAGAGTAGGAGAGATACTGCGCATGCGGGGTGGAGGATTCGGCCTACTTCCACTGGGCATACCGGTGTCAAATGGTATGACCTGACCTTTTGCTAGCGCAGGTTGCCTAGCGGGACTTCCAGAGCCAAGTTCGGATATCTTCTGCCGCTTCGCAGGAGACTGCTGGGGTATCTCCGTCTGCTGGTGGCTGGAATCATTTTGGATGGGTAATCCAACCACAGCATTGACAAGTTCAGTTCGTTCAGGGGCGTCTATAGCTCTTGGTCTTTTATCGCCCGTTGAGGGTAAAGCAGAGGCATTATTGCACATTGGCCCTGAGAATGGAGCACCAGTCTTCTGGGTGATTCTATTCTCGGCACTAGATGATATAAAATTAGTCTTTTTGACTTGCCCACACTGATAGCACGAGCCAACATACACTGGTAAATCTGCAGAAGGATATGAGCATTCAGTTGCAAACCCCGCGCTCTCACATGTGTTGCAGACTATGTAAATAGTCAGTCGTCAATACTTGCAATCCTCGGTGCCCTCTCAAGTCACAGAGTACTTACCTGGTTTAGTGCGGTCACAGCGCCTGTGTCTTGCCTTGCATTTTGTACAAGGAAATCCCAGCGGATGGTTTGACGGTGCTAAATAGGTCGTTGACAATGGAGCGGATGGTGACCGTGAAATGTCAGTGCCATTCACCATTGGCGTTTGATCAGCCATTGTCAGGTTCAGTTCAATGCATCAGTTGATGAGGGATAAGATCTATGAATGTATCAGTATTAGTCTACGTTGCTCAGACTTGGGACGATAGAGTTGGCCTGGCTGGTTTGACTGTAGCTTGATAGAGACCGTACAACACCGCCATAAAGCCAGGAACAAAGAGTAATATGAGGAAATCACTCACCAATATCAACCTGAGTTGCATGAAAGGATCAAATGAAACTGAACAGGATGAACATGTCAGTTGTTGGTTGGTTCGCGAAGTACATATGGTTCGCGGTGAAGTGAGAGTAATCATTTGCGTGGAATGCGAAAGATGTTACGCCAGAACCACCGGTCGGATTTGACGACTTCTTACCGAGGAGTTCAATAATATGTTGTTCTGAAATGATTCACGGTGGAATAATTGATGAAAACGCGTAGAGACGCGTGGCAGAGCCGTGATGGTCACAATATAGATGGTTGTAAAGCTCAAGTTGTGACGGGAAATTCGAGGTCAAACAAGAGTTCAAGATCAAGTCTAACCTTGCTGCATCAAATCAAACATCCTGGATAGTATGCCGCATCTTCTTGCGTAATGACGATGATGTCAATAAAGGCCTACTAACGAGTAGTAGGGGTTAGGGGTACCTAGTTGTTGCTTTACCGCCTTAGCCATCCATATCTGCTAACTCGCGATGCCTCGGTAGTAGCCATGCGATGCCCTCTACTAGTGAATAAAGGAACTTAGAAACGGGTCCATAAAAAAATACATTTTCTGATCACTGGTCGAGTCTAGTTGCAGTCTAGTTGCAGACAAGAGAAAATGACTGAGTTGTGGGGAATACCTCAAGACATTAGTACCAAATAGCTAGGATAAGTCAATTTGGGAAGCAAAACTAATTGGAACTACAGACCAAGTATATAATCGAGGCATCAAGACCCCTGGGGAACAGGAAAAACATATGTTATACATTGATAGGGCACCTAGGTACATCGTAGGTGTATCTGCCATCATCCACTGATGGTCAACGATAGTTCAAATATATACAGAAGTATACCCCTTCTTGTGGAATGCATGGTGTAGCTAGGTCCTGCCAGCAGGACTGAAAAAGCAAGTATGCAGAGATAATGCAACAAGAGCCATGTGCATTACTGTGTCGGTATCACGATGTCGATGCCTCCATATGGGGGTTCCCCAGTGCACACTTCCGGTGGACCATGGCGATCGGTATAGTTGTACATATAATGCTCATCCAAAATAGAATCATCGGGGCTGTGCTTTCTCCGCTTCGTCTACCAACCGCTCGAGTTCTTGCTCTGTCCATCGATGGAACAATTTGCGCGCGTCGGAGAGATTGGCCTCCTTGGGCAACCCATTGTGGACTGACTGGACGTGGAGGACGGGAACATCAAACTCGTAAACATCCTTCCAAGATTTGTTCCCAGGTTGCATGATGTCCGTTTCGACATACTCAAAGGAGCGCCGTTTCTGGAGCTTAAGCACGGTGTTTTTAGCGGTGTCGCAAAGGCCACAGCCCGCACGTGTAAACAGCGTCAAGCGGGCTGAACCGAGAAGGGCACGCGTAGGAAACATAGAGAAACAATGGTCAATTATGCACGGAGTGGATGCAACGGAGTTTCGAGATGGGCGTGACGCGAATGCGGTCAGGGAGTTCTCCGCGATGGAACATTCGAGCTTCCCCGCTAAACCCTGTTAGGCAACCTGCGCCATTCTCTCCAGAACACATTACAATCTTCTCTCTCGACTCAGTTCTGTCAATTCCCTTATAATCTGTCTTATCATACATCATGGCAGGAAAGTGTGTCCACAAAGCGTGTGGAAAGACCTTCACCGACCCGGAAGAAGACTGCGTGTATCATCCGGGTCCCCCAGTGTTCCACGAGGGGCAGAAAGGTAAGTACCTTGGTGTTCAAGCTATGCCAGATCTGTGTCCCATGAGTCAACCAAGGGTTCACGGTGGACCATTGCGGCAACGCAATGTGACACTTGATCTTGTCTTTGGCTTTTGCTACGTTTCTACCCCGCGACACCGCTAACTTCTCAGGCTGGAAATGTTGCAAGCCCCGCGTCTTGACCTTTGAGGAATTCCTCGACATCCCGCCATGCACAACCGGCAAGCATTCCACCGTCGATGACACACCTGCGCCCGAGCCCCCCAAGGCTGAGGAAGTCATTGCTCCTCAACCGGCTGAGCAGAAGAAGTCCGAGCGGCCACCCATCTCCGCTACCCCCACTATCGCAACTGCGGCGCCGCCTGCCAAGCCAGTCATCGAAGAGCCTGAATCTGATGACCCTGATGCGGAAATCCCGACTAACGCAACATGTCGCCGGAAGGGTTGCGGGGCGTCCTATACCGGGTCGGCTGCTCGCGATGAGGAGAAGTGCGTTCACCACCCCGGCCAGCCGGTCTTCCACGAGGGCAGCAAGGGGTGGTCCTGCTGCAAGCGCCGGGTTCTCGAGTTCGATGAGTTCCTGAAGATCCCCGGCTGCACAGAGAAGACAAAGCACTTGTTCGTTGGCAAGGCCAAGCCTCCGGGTGAAGAGAAGGTGGATACAGTCAGGTGCGTATACGACAAGACAGGCGGATCAACTCTATTTTGTTTTGAAAACAGCCAACTGACATGCTTTCGCATTCTATAGAAACGATTTCTACCAGACTCCCACCGCCGTCAACGTCTCCCTCTACCTTAAGAAGATTGACAAGCAACGGGCCAAGGTTGAGTTTGCTACCAACTCGATTGTCTTCGACCTCCCTACCACAGACAACAAGCGCTACCAGGATACATATACTCTCTTTGCGCCGATTGACGCGGAGAATTCCACTTTCCGCGTGTTGGGCACCAAGCTAGATTTGAAATTGGCCAAGGCCGATGGTACTAGCTGGCCGGTGTTGCGCAGTGATGACAAGTGGACTGGAGAGCGCATCCAGATTGGAAATGCTGGACATGCATGATTGGGGACATGTAAAAATCTACACGATAGAAAGTTTCAAAAATTATGACGGTGATGACAATTGAGATCTTGGCTCTAGCTGTACATGTAGCTAATTGTACCTAACGGTAACTGGCGGGACATAGCGTGAGGTGTTCGGCATGCCGACAACAGCTAATATCTCGGCAAACAAAATCAACATCATAGATTTTGTCTTGACGGGATACAGCATCGCAAGAGCTCATAAACCTAGCGAGGCTTCTGAAACTCTTTTTATGATGGATTGTACAGCAGAATGTACGTTTACACCGTATGCCAATTACCAGTTGAAAACCGCAAGATATCAAATGCTAAGACCGTTGCAATCCCTGATCCAGTTTAAAGACCAGAGAAAAACGTAGAGTAACTCAGATCACATAAAAGTGGCTGAAAAATTGGTATGTGACGCCCTCTCCACAGCTAGCACCCATGGGGCTTCCCGAAGGATACCCTAGCATAGCCATAAAGTGATTGGGAAAAAGAGAGACGCCTTTACTCTCCAGGGCCGGGAACGGAAGAAAACCCATGTTGGCCGAAGCCATCGGATAACCCTCAGCAAGCCACATTGTGGAGCCCCGTTGAAATTTACATTAAGTTATGTAAACCTCTACTGATGATGGAGAGAAAAGAAAAAAGAGTAAAGGCGCGGGCGATGAGGTCCCTTTTATGTGTTTGGAAGTCAATATACGCTAGAGCCGATTGGGTGTCGGTGAAAATATTTTTCCATTTCGTTGACTAATATTGGATTTTATGACTAATTTCGCTTTTTTGTTGAGGGATTTTATCGGATTTGGTAGATAGGGCTAATCTCAGGGCTTGTTATCTTCATGTGACCCTTTGACTTTCAAGGTCTTGCATGTGATCGTCCCGTGACTTGTACTTGGCAAAAGCAACAAGCAATCTACATCATACCGTGAAGATGCTTTAGTACCACGCCACGAAATTGTAATTGAAATAAAAAAATATGATATCAAGAAATTATTCTACAGGTGTCTAACCTTCCATTAGACTCCTATATCAAAAAAAAAAAAACACTAGAACTTGAGACATGTACAACTTAAAGTAGTGGCGGTGGACAAGGTTAAAGTACCCAGATAATCCCATCTTCCAATCACGGGTCGGGAGCACGAGACCTCCCCTCGCTCTCATAAACCTCCCCGCCATCGATAGCCAATTTCTCCCCTGAATTTTTGTTCTACCTTCACCATAATACAGAATCGGCCATTCCACATTGTCCTCTACTTCTTTCTAGCATTTAACTCTCGCACATTACGCTAGCAGCCTGACCTTGTGCAATTGCCTAATTCTTGAATTCAAGGACCTCGTCATTGATATAGAGGCGGCGCCTCTCAGTTGTGCACTAATTAAATAGCACAAAATATTCCAAACCAAATCGCGCCCTTACCCCTTTTTCCCATCTACGCTCAACCCCAACATGGGCTCGACAGAGACTCAAACGGCCATGGCGCCAGATTTCCGATACATTCCCCTATCATACAGCCATGCGGACTCCCAAGCGTCTGCTCTCAGGCTAATCCTGACACTCAACCCGGACTGGGAGGGTCCTGGCAACAACATTGAGTTCGTGCGGTTCACGGATGGCATCACCAACACCGTGTGTTTCTCTTTCCCAGTGTCGCATCCTACAAGACCAGCGATAAGGTTGTCCGAATCCAACTGAGACTAACGATTCCCTAGCTCTTGAAAATTATCAACCTGAGACCCGGCCTGACGGAGGAACAAATAGACAATGAGGCAGTACTGATGAGAGCGTACGGAAATGGCACAGAGATCCTCATAGACCGCGAAAGTACGAGCAAAATCCCCCGACGGACAACCTTCGTCAAAACCCCCACTTCTCAAAACACAAAAAAGCCCCTCCGCGCCTCCCTTGCCCATTGCGACATATGCTGAAGTAGATCAATTATCTTAGGAGAAACCAAGTCCCACGCGCTTCTGGCCAGTCGCGGTCTGGCCCCACCTCTCCTCGCTCGATTCAAAAACGGCCTACTCTACCGCTTCATCCGCGGCAGACCCTGCGGCCACCTCGATCTAGTCTCCCCGCCCATCTGGCGCGGTGTCGCCCGCCGCCTGGCGCAGTGGCACGCCATCCTGCCTAGTAGCGGAGCCGAGCCCAAGGATGCTGTGACCGAGACCGCGGACATCCATGATGATGATATTACCGTAATCAAGCCCCGGTGCGCGGGCCCGTCTATGTGGGCTGTGCTGCAGAAGTGGGTTCTGGCTTTGCCAGTCACCACGCCCGAGCAGCGTGCTCGCCGGTTGAGCCTGCAAACCGAGCTGCAGTGGGTTTTGGAAATCCTGGACGATGGGAAGGGTATTGGTGAAGACGGAGTATGTGGTTTCCAGCCTCGATCCGCTGGAAACAGGGATTGCGTTGTTGAATATGGCTAATCTCTGGATTTCTAGTTCGTCTTCTCGCACTGCGATCTCCTCTGTGCAAACGTCATTGTCCTTCCGAGCGAGAACGGTGTCCCAACCCCCAAAGACGGTATCGCGCCTGTCAACTTCATCGATTATGAATATGCGGTTCCCGCGCCCGCGGCCTTTGATATCTCGAACCACCTTGCCGAGTGGGGTGGTTACGACTGCGATTACAACATGATGCCTACAAAGTCTGTGCGTCGTCAGTTCCTCACTGAGTACACGAAGAGCTACTGCGAACAGCGTGGTCTCGATGCGTCGTCCCAGGCTGAGATTGTTGACCGGCTGTACGAGGACGTTGACCGCTTCCGTGGCATCCCTGGTCTCTACTGGTGAGTCCAGCGAACACAACCGCAAAAACAGTGTTACCGCATCATGCTGACAATATCTCCCAGGGGCGTTTGGGCACTCATTCAAGCGCAAATCTCCCAGATCGATTTCGACTACGCCAGCTATGCTGAGACCCGTCTCGGCGAGTACTACGCGTGGAAGCGCGAGGTAGACGGAAGCCGTAAGCAAGCTGGAGAGGAAATGCCGCTACGCGAGTCCCGCTGGGCATCGGAGGCGTAAAGCCATCCGCAACTCCTCCCTTTCGGATCGCGATCCTCTCCTATTCCTATGAAATGACGAAAATTGATTTTCCGGCACTTCATTTTCCCGAACACTACGTCAGCGCTATCAATTCCCCATGATCCTGACAAAATCCCACGCCTCTGCCTCTTGCAATTGCAAGAAACGCCCTACATGGCACTCCCAGAAATTCAACAATATCCTCGGAGTCCTACGCCGAAACCTAATATAACCGATGAAAACAAATCAAAAGTTGTGGTCTTGGACGACCACGGACGAACTAGGTTGGACTAAGAGGTCCAACCCAGAAAATAAAGAGAAAGATAAAAAGCACAAGACTCTACTCCTGCGGTGTAGGGTCGGAGCAAAGGTCTCAGGTATCTGTCGACATAGATGGTGGTTTATCTCTTTGCATGGCCATTTTTTTCTCGTGGTCTTGTGTGTTGTCTTTCAACAACGTCATAGCTGGGGTGTTTTAAGGTTAATATGGTTTCTTTATTTCCCTATCTTTTCTTATTTATTGAATAAATCTATCTTAAAGGCAGTTCGCTTGTATATGTTGTAGTAATCCAAAGTTGTATCAGCTAGTCTTCGGGGGATGCTGTGCGCTTAGACAAGGGATTTCTCACTCGACGCGAGTATCTCGAAGATGAAGTTGATCCCAACCGATGGTAGCGTAAATATCGAGCTGTTTTTAATTCATGATATTTACATTTTAATCGAAATTTGTTGTGGGAATATCAAAAATCGAAGTTGCAGAATGAATCTGAGAAATATATATCCGCTTTCAGTCCTACTATATACATGCACCTCCAACATAATATATAGTAACACCATACCTTTGATATTTCAGTCACTTAACGGACGTAACCATTCTCCAACCCATTTCTGAACCCAATGAGGCATACTCCCCACTCCCTGAATATCCCTAAGCTTTTTACTGATTTCCGCCGTTCTACGCGTATCCAAGACATTACCCGACCCAGCACCAGTCTCAGCAACAACACCTTCAAAAAATCCCAACAACTTAGCAGCCGGATTCCTCTCCAAAAGACCCTCCAACTCTCCCTCAGAGATTTCAATATCCAACCTAACACGCTGCACCCACGCAGATAAATCAACAAACCCAATCTCCTCACCACTAACAAGAGAAAGCATCTCCGCTACAACAGGCGCAACAACCCCCCACGCCTCGGGATACAGATTCAACGGATGAAAAACACTAACAGACTGTCTCTCCCCACGAACATCACCATCCAAATCCCCCAGCGCAAGATCAACCAAAACCTCCGCGAGCAAATCAACAGGCACCCAATCCACCCGTCCCAAAGTGGGTCCCAGAGTCTCCGGCAACGCGCGCACTTGCAAAGAACTCCTCACCAAGCTCGGGAACCACTCATTCCTATTCCAGAGACCGCGCGAACGCGCCGCACCGGCTATCTGGCCGACACGCGCGAACGACGCGTTTATCGAGCGCGTCTGCGTCCCGTGTGAGAGTAGGTGCTCGGCGATGTATTTGCTGTTTGCGTAGCCATTTGGCGCGGGGTGGGTTGTTGTGATAAGATTTTCGGGTGTTGTTTGGGATGGTGTTGTGTGGCCTAGCACTGAGCTGATGGAGGAGAGGAAGAAGAGGTGCGGGTTGTTGGGACTGGTGATTGTGATGTTCATGAGGTTTGTTATGCCGTGCAGATCGGGGGTGAAGGATGAGAGGGGGAGGTTGAAGTTTACGTTCCATGCGTTGTGGATTATCACGGTTGCGGTTTTTTGGAGGGTTTGGAGGGATTCTGTTGCGAGGCCGAGGTCTGGTTTGGTGAGGTCGGCGTGCCAGAAGGTGACTTTGGAGGGATTGAGGGTCGAGTCAAGGTGGTAGAAGGTGTTTTTTTGTTGCTGGATTGTTGCGCTGTCTTTTTTGCGGTTTAGGCAGTGGATGTGCGATACTGATGGGTCCTTTAATAGGGTGTTTAGGATGTATGTGCCTAATGTCCCTGTTGAGCCGGTCAACACGACAACTTGAGACTGAGAGGCCGCGTTGGACTGGGCAATCGTGTGCGGCGGAGCACTGTCGATCATATCTGTGAAGTGCCTCAAGAGATCGTCTCGCTCTGCGAGCATTGCTTCCCTGCCTGCTTCTTGGGTGACAGCGTCATCTTGGATGAGTCGAAGGGTGGCTTGCGCAAGAGCCGACACCGATGGGTTGAGGTATATTAGATTGGGGGCGAAAGAAGGTAGGTCAAGACCACGCTTGATACGGCGAGCAGCGGTGATGGTTTGCAGACTGTCCAATCCGATGGCGAAAAAACTCTCTGCAGTGGACACTTGATCTTCGCTCCAGCCAGTGACATCCACCAGGGACCGTTGAATGAAGTCCGATACTTGTTGAAGATCACTAACGCGCCCAGGCCCGCTATTATCGCTGTCCTCTCTTGCCGCCAACTGATCAGCGTTTGCATACAGCGCATCCAGTTCCGGGGCGTAGAGAGCCAGAGTTCCCGCCCGCTGGACAGTGCCTTTCGTTGCGCGTGGAATAGGCTTGTCGGGTGTCGTGAACAAGATGTGCGTCCGGGCGATTCGGGCATGTGCCGGACAAGCACGATTTGCTTCCTCGATGCTAGGCCATATTTTCTCGATGGCAGCAGCTCGCTCACTTGGACCCATATCCCCATCACCACCGAACTCGATGATAAGCGAGGCTTGGAAGCGTTGAGCGCCCGCGACTACTACAGCTGAGACTTCAGGGTTCGAGACGACAACGTGCTGCTCCATTGAAACAGGATTTGTTTTCTCCCCATTTAGGAAAACGATCACATCATCCGCACGCGCGCTCCATCGCCACAAATCCGACTTTGATCGATCGGGGTGGCGCACCCACAGATCACGAGTCGAGTATTCTTGCCGACCGGGAAATATGGTAGATGGCATCTGATGCGATTCCCGCTCTGGCGTGTGCACTATGACCAGCTCATACTCATCTTCCGTGAAAGGTCGCATCTCGACTCCTAGTTCCGGGTGGAACTGGGTATATCGCCAGTCTTGGCGAGGGTCCCTTCTCACAGGGTGGATAGAAGTGAGCATCCCGACTTCAGTCGCAGCGTACTGATTTACCAACTTGAGTTTGGATACCACTGTATCGCCGATTTCCTGTGGTAGATCGCCGCCTACGTATATGAGATATTCCAGATGCTGGCTGCAGTAACCCAAAAGGTCGGGTTGCTGAGCCAGCTCATGGAGAATAGACGGCACGACCAAGGCGATTTCGAAGGGTGTTTGCTTTCTGGCTTCGACCAGGGCTGCGGCGGTGGGGAGTCCACCAGACGTGGGTACAATGATCGTCATGCCAGCGGGGACTCCGATGAAAAGCATGACGGCGAGTCCTCCCGCATGGAAGGGTGGTAACGTCAGAAACATTCTCTTGGCTTGACTCCAGCGGTGTTGCTCTTCAAAGCCCTCTGGCGGACTGAGGGCGACCATTCGCATGTGTCGATTCGTAGTTTCAAATGTCCAAGAAATGGGCTTGGGAATACCCGTGGAACCGGATGTGTGTATCGCAACGAATCTTGTATCTGCATCCTCAGGATACGTTTTGCGATATTCAAAATGAGGGTACTCGTTGGCTAGCAACTCCTGCACGCTCGGCACCTCATACACTTCTAAAGGCATGGAGACACTCAACAAGTTTGTGATGGGGGGTGACCGCGGTGTTGTGGCAAGCACCTTGGTGCAATTCAGTGATCGCAACAGGCTTTCGTGAGCAGCAACACTGTTGCGGGGTGAGGTCAGGAACATACAGTATCCCGCTTTTACAGCCCCGATGACCAGAGCGGGATACCGCAAGTCATTTGGACCTATATAAGCTAGGACATCGCCTTGTCCCGGGCCTAGTGTCTTGGTCAACCACCAGGCAATGCCGTTGATGGCATTCGCAAAGGTGCGATAGGTGATGGGGACGTAGCCGTCGTCATAGCTCATGGGGGACGTCGGATACTCCGCGTAGAGGGCGTCTGGTTTCACCCTTGCATAGTGATCAACTGTCTGCGGTAGCAGCTCATTCTCTGGATTAAATTCGGACATGATGATAGGTGATCTTGGACGTCACTGGAAGTGCTACGAGGAGCATAAGGATAGGAATAGAAAATATTCTTAAGTTAATATCAGATATGATGATCCTACCCACGCTCGTACCCACCCGCACCCAGGTGCTATGCAACTGGACCCACATCGAACACGATATAGCCAATGATAAGTGCCCTTATGTAGATCATTGAGGCGCCAAGAGGCGTTTTCATACATCCGGGGCCGCCTGACTCTGCAAATTACCAGATAGGGCATATAAAAGGCGCTGGAAACGATATGGCGGATTGTATTCGGGGTCTCTGCAATATGGCATCGTCTGGCTCTTGGAGGGTTGGGTCGGGTTCCACTGTGGGAATGTTGAACCACAGACACGCAGGTAGAATTATAGCGAGGAATGTAGGGAAATGCACATATGCACTCTTTCAGCCGTAGCTGAACACCTGTTCAAAATCCGAGAGTCGTTCCGCCGCAAAGCTTGAGCTTGTACGGAGTACGCCAGCGAGTTTCTGGCGTGTTTCAAAAAATAGTATGAGCTGTAATATAGCGTGGGGTTTGACCCCATCCAGACTCTTTGGTCTTCTTATTGGATACCTCTCAGAGTGTGCTCCTCTTTATTAATTGAAACCCAAGTCTGGTGTGGACATATACAATGGATGTCATAGATAGTTTGTTTACATTTTTATCACCATCATTACGAATATATACGAAAGACAAACCGAACATAGACGAGCCTATCTTTTCGACTTGGCCTAGGTCAGATAGAGCTACGGGCGATTAAGTGTGCCACCTGGACACAACTCTTTCATTGGATTATATTGCCAGGTGGCACACTTAGTCACCCGTATAGAGCGAAAAGCAATTATAGAAAGAAAAGCAAAAAAAAAAAAACATACAGTGAGGATTCGCTGGTCACCCAACTAATAACTCACCGGCATATGGCCTAAGCTCGTGCCATGGTCGGGTGTCGCCTGAGCAAAATGACGATGACGCTTTCGTTTCGCATCCACCCCTAGAGAATGAAGGGAATAGACAGAGTCGCAGCCTTCGCAGACAAAGCCCAGCATTAGATATCATCAACGGTTCAATTGAGAGACTAGAGTGTTCCTTGTAAGTACCGCTTCCAAGAATGCAGAAGCATAAGTTAAAGGATCACACTAATTTCCCAGCCATTTGATGCAGCCATAGTTTGCGGTCGAACCGCTGTTCTAATAAGGCATTTGCTTCGCCGGCATACACGAATGTCTTTTCTGACGCTTCGGCAGGCTCTTCATTATCAACAAAATAAATCAAGCAGTGTGCTTCTTTATAAGCATTTGTCTCATAATACGCAAGTTTCTGGGCTTCTTCCTCGTTCTGCACAATGTACGCGTACCCAGGAACCTCCTGTCCTGGCTCTCTGTTTATCAACATAGGATAATCGCCCCATTTCGCAAGCGCGTATCCGATAAGCTTCGCTTTCCGCATTTTTGGCTCCTCGGGTAGGTCGATGATTCGTTGAAGGGTTACCGGTGCTGTCAATGTCCCGTAGAAAAAGTAATAGACTGGGTATTTGGGGGTAAATTCGTTCAGGTCTCTTTTAATATTGGTGAGATAGTCGGGCGCGGACGGCAACTTGACCTCGTCTGGTATCAGCCCCTCATTCCGCATCCATGATGAAGAATCTGTATCTTCTTGGCCCCGAGGATGCTGCGACATGGCGATTCACGTAGTATTTGAAGTTTTTGAGTGGACTATAAGAAGCAAGATCTCGGGAACCTTGGAACCTTGAAACAGGGCACCCGTTTGATTACCAAGTAAAGAAAATAATTAGCATACAAACCAGGCTGCATCCCCATTTTACAGCAATGGAGGCTTCGAGGGCATTTCTACATATCCGCTACATCTCCGAAGAAAAGCGAACAGTACACTCCTCATATGCCTTCAGCTGATCCATCTTGATCTGCGTAAATGACCCCATCTCTGCACGCGTCTTGTCATCAAGCAACTCAACACCCGCACCGTCATGTAATGCAGCCCAATAGATGGTGTCCACATCAAAACTCTTCCTTGCTGCATAATCGAACCAGAATCGCCCAGTCCTCCATAAATCGCGCATTCGGGTAGAAAGAGACAGTCCAGGTTGCTTGCACTCTAATTCGAATTCATTTTCCACTCGTTCCAACGCTCGCAAGAATTGCTCCATTCTAGGCTCGTAGAGGGTCACGAATTCATCCATCAAGCAGCGGTCAAGCCACATTTCCGGTCCAGAGAGCAACTGCCACCAGGGTGGGTCATAGGTGAACTCAGCCGGCATGGCATTCGTAAACTCGAAATCCAGCACGACGGTAATCTGGAGTGTTTCCGGATCTATAAGCATATTCGAGGGTCGCATGTCGTCACAGAAGGGTATAAATGGCCCGCTGTCGTCAGAATAATATTTTGAAATGAGCTGTGCGAACCTATGACAGGCAATGAACCGCTACCGAGCGATTTCTAGATCATCGGCAAGGTTGCGCTGGGTCCAAAGGTTGGTCAGGTGCTCGTTCGCGATTGATCTTAGATAATCGCTCGCACTATCAAACGGTGCGGTTGGAAATTGACTATCAGGGTAGCCGGCGACAGTGGCTAACTCGTTCATGTTGCATATCAGGGGACGTCCGGAAATACCCCATGCACCTAAAGCGTCCTTTGAGATGGCTCCGATCCTAGGAAACGCAAGTTGAGAGAGCTGAAACAGGTAACTGGCGATTTGATGATAGATCTTATCCAGTGTGTTGTGTTGTCGATGTGCGGGTTTAGAACCACGCCTTCTTGGTCTAGTTGCTTTAAGACAGTCTATAAAAGCGTTCCGTTGACATAGTCTATGATGATGAATGGACCAAGGTGTTGTGGACTCTCAGCAGTTAAGCCCCAGCTGTGAACACGAGGGATAGGAATATCGGTGTTCTGGCGGAGGTATTCCATGATCTGGGCCTCATTCACGACCTTTTCGTCCCTATAAGCTGTAGCCGTGTGTCCTGGCTTTGGGAACCGAATGATAGCATCCGGTCCATCGCTGAAGCTGAAGCGGAAGCTTAAGTTGAAGAAACCCTTGAGAAAACCAACGTATTTTCCGATTCCAATTCATCTCTTGAGTCAAGGACTCTACCTAACCAAGCTTTACATTCATCATCACCTTTGGTCTCTTCTATCTCGTCAAAATAGGTCTTCAGTGAGGATGTCTTTTGTTGAGGCATCTGAGAAATTGGGATGTACAGGAAAGATGCAAGGTAGAGTAAAGATTGGAAGAATGGCTTTTTGGAAGATTAAAGGTGACAAGAGAGCTTTGTATCAGATAATTTAAGGAATATGCCGCCTTGACCACCCCGCTGTTAGCCTGTAGCCGGCCGGGGGTTGTATATGACTTGAGCGAAGGTCCTCACAACCTTAAGGCATCATGGGTTGGTACTAAAGATGAAGAGCAAGAATACTATCATCCTAAAAGCCTAATTTTCATGTGCTAAATCTTACTATCGAGACCTTGTTTTCCTCCAATCCATAAACCATTCTGCAAATCGCGGGTAACCATGATCTTCAAGTTTCACCCTGAGTCGCCTTCTCCATTCGGTGTCAGGGATTCCTGGAATTGGCGGATGGAAGTCCAGCCCGGGAGAAACAGAAGGTTTTGTTGAAATCCAGAAACGTGGGTAAAATCCAGCGGACTCCCAGTCAATGATCGCCGATAGCTTCTGATTAGAAACAAGTATGTTCCCTGGTCCTAGATCAGGGTGGTATAGAAGGAACCTCTCTTCAATCTCCGGATTAGGGTGAAGATCCTCCCGAAAGAAATATCTCCTACTCTCATCCACGCTTAGCTGCTCTAGTGAGTTCCTTTCCGAGTGAGCAAGGTAAGGTTCTAACACTGGACCACCGTGAACATTCTGGAGTCGGTCCGAAGTGATAGAGGCGAGTACATCGCATAAATGAACAACCTCAGCTAAGATAGACTCTTGCTGAATGGCGGACATAGTTGCCCAAGCATCTCTCAGCGTTATACCCGGGACTCTTTTTAGCACCAAGAATGATCGATTCCCATCCACCCAGGAATAGATCACTTCAGGTACAGGTACTTCGGGTGCCCTTTCTTGAACGAATTTGATGGTTTCACTCTCCGAAGTGACACCGGAACTCCAGCGGTGGACTTTGCAGATAGCATCATTTCCAATAGCCCATACTGCCGACAAAGTGCCTCCTTCATGAATCAAACGGACTTCATCCGAATTTGCAGCCGTAGGAACAGGTGGTTGTTCAGAGGTTATCTGCCGAAGAATATACCAATGCTCCCCATCTTTCCAGGAAGCAGCGGCGCATGTGCCATCGGGTTCTGCAATCCTGTCGCACTCGATTGTACAGCCAAGGCGCCAAGCGGAATCAGAAGTCTGTATAATAGAGTTCCGGATAGGCACTGATGCTGACATGATCCAAGCGCATGGGGTTTTTCGATTGACTTTTGGGGCGTAGTTATAAAAAAAGAGGAATCACTTTGAGGATTTGGTTCTAAAGGGAAGCGTGTTGGAATTCAAAGCATACACAGCATTAGATAGCCCACAATATGATCAGCAGCCTGGAGCATAAGTAGATTTTCCACAGTTTAGATTGGCCATTGGGAGACAAAATATCATAAGGCCTAGCCTCTGGTCGGCCCCTTCACCGCTGGTTAACCCCTGTTACTGGGCGCACTGGCGGCTACATACTGCTGTACTGCGGGTTATGTAGTGGAAGACATGTACTTTTGCCAATGAAACAATTGTGAAGTAAACGTGGGAGAAAAGTGAGGGAAGAGTCATAGATCCTTCGCTAGGCTAATTTTGTCTCGGAATAGGTTCATGATTTACAGTACACCGTATGAAGAGGTGTAAAAGGGGTGGTCAATATTCAGGCCAAATTTAAGCATTCGAAGTATTTCAGATTCCTAGCGGCATTTTATGGTTTGTAGATGGTTTGTAGAAAAATCATCGGCATAATATTTTGGAATGTGTAGATTCTACCTATCATACAATGAGAATGTCACACTGCGAAGATTGAGATTGCTCTCGAGCCATGTCAATCCAAGATGTATGAGTACCAGGGTCATTCCACCAAGTCTCAACGAACGAGAGAACACGCGCTCTGTCTAGAGTGCGGCTGATACGCATGACATTGCCAAAACATTCCTGAATAATGTTTTGACCGGTAGGATGTTCTCGGAGTTCGGTCCCTGCCATGAAAAGTGGCCAGACAAGATCCTGGGCGAACATGCCGTCTCGAGTCTCGGAGAGAAATTGTACATAGCGCAGGATTTCATCTCGAGACTTCTGCACATGATCACTAGCAGTACTATCCTCCGATAAAGCTTGATGGCTGTAGATGAGAGTTGCGTGGTAGTACATCCACACTACCAGTTCGAAGCCATGTTGATCAGCTTCAGAAGAGAAATGAATGGATGCACTGAGACGCATCATGCTGTTTCTAGCTGACTCAATCTGGGACTGGATATCTTGCATCGGGCCGTATGATGAAGCCTGCTCGATCGTCCCTGAACAATATCTCAGACGCTCAAGGCGTGTGATTTGGTTGATGACCTGAATGAAGTCGGTGAAGACCGCGTTCTTGCCGCTAGCAGGAGGAGCCTTGATCGTCATGTTGTAGTTATCAAATGTCGTCAAATCAGCCCAGACCGAGGCCTCATAGAATTCTAACCTGAGAAACTCTTCGATGGAGGCTAGCTGGTGGTGCCGGCTCGGTCGGTTCCCTGCCGCCAGGATGATCTCCCTCGCAGCGGAGAGATGAACCCTCCACCCGGCGCCTTGTGGTTTCATAAACTCATTATTGCAGAGAAGAATCACAGATGCAAGGGTGTAGGCAGATGTTGTGCTCGCTTCCAACGCCGATGGAGACGATGTAGAAAGACTACTCAACTCTTGAGCTAAAAGGGCAAGAGCTTTATTTTGATAGTTTTTCGACATCTGCTGGAATGTTCCATGTCCCAGGTCATTTGGAGGGTACTCCGATGCCAGGTCATGGGCGGCGATGGCAAGAATGGAAGAAAGGACTGTTTCAGAGCTCTCGGCCATTGGCAGAATCATCTGACGCCATGCATTTTGCTGCGGAACCCATGCAAGTCGATGGGCGACTCGGTCGTTGAACCAGGAGAGCAACCGCGAAACATGCAGTGGTCGAGCTTGCGAAAAACAAAGGTCCGAAACGGGGGACGGTCCCGATGGTGAGAAACGTGTCGTGGAATGGCTGTACCGATCCAGAACGGTTATGCCGCTGCCACTAGTGCGGGTCTCTGTTAGAGTCTCCGACGAATGATGAGGCGAGTTTGATACTCTCATAGGAGCATCGAGGGAGGGAAATGCTCTGCCCCGCAGACTACCGCGGCTGGCGACGCCATGGACCCATTTGAGCTGTAGGCCGTAGCCCGGGCATTCCAAATTGCGCTTCCCGCATTTACGGCAGCTCGGAAGGCCCCGGTCACACTTGATACGTCGTCTTTGACATGTTGGACAATCTGGTAATGTTAGGACCCCCGCTTTAGCACGAGGTGAGATTCGTACCTTTAACAGCCAACTGTTCCGTAGAACCTGCGGACATTTGTATATCCCATTCGACTTTATACTAGGGACCACAGAGAACCTTGCAAAAGAGCGAGGGCGTTGATATAGACAGTGCTTGTTTTCTGGTCAGAGTCATGTGATACACACAAATGGAATTTGATGCCTTTGACAGAGATGAATGGCGCTAAGCCTATCTGGGCTTTTTAGTCAAGCGGGATTGGCGCTCTCCACTCGAGTGGACGATCCCAGCAATATAACAACCATTTATACGGAGTATAGGGGGAAATGCTGATCAATTGATTGGCCCTTCATACAAATTCAGCCACCAAAACTAGTTAATCTATAGCGCTCACGTTTACACGAAATAGCCCCGGAGGATGTAGACATCAAACATTGATACCAAAAGCGGTTAGTGGGCCCGCAGTAAACTCAATCTTTCCGTCTTGGCTGCCTCTTCTGGTAAGGATCGCTGGTATCAATAGAAGTACAACATACAACATACAGGACTCTCTCGTTCTTTCTGTCTTATGTCCAGCATTTAAATACATAACAGGAGACAGGAATTGCGTGTTCGATATTCTGCGTACTGTCATCATGTCCTCTCTCAATTTCGAGATCGTTGCTCCCTCTATCTACCATGTCAGTAGCCAGTGCCATGAAAAGCGTGACATTTCGGCTTTGGCAGGGCATGTCGCTCTCTCAGCGACTTCATCCTCACCCCTGGCCAGTGTGGCCCAGATCCACGTTCGGCTTATCCAAGTTGTGACATCTATAACCGAAAGCAAAAACACTCGGCGGATCTTGTGTCCTTCATTCTGCATAACGAACGAATCGCCCCAGCCGGGTTCAAGGATTGAACGAACCCTTCGAGAAGTTGCTCTGTCAATATCCTCCAAAGAAGGATTTGAGACTTCCCCAGGGAGGGTTGTCTCGAAGTCCTACTTCCACTTGGACATTCCAATGAACATACCTGCAACGACAAAAACACCTCTTGGGACCATCACTTACGCGATAGAAGCCACGGCAGCGACATCGAAACATGGTGTTATCACCCACCGTCGACCCCTAAATTTCAACCGCCAGATGATTCAGTCCAACCCGGCAAAGACTCAACATCACCTATACTTTCGAGCCTCGAATACCATACGAGGAATGACCCTCTCACAAAACTCGACACCTAGGTTTGGGCCAAGGATCTCATTCTCTGCTACAATTCATACCCACTGGGAGACAGCCCCAGCGGATCGAGGAACAGAGCTCCGCCATATTGTGGTGCGAGAGCTGAAGTGGCAAGCTGAAGAGATTGTCAAGTTCATGAGCAAACCTAATAGTTCAGACGATAAATATTCCATCTGCGAACGACAGTCGGTCCGCAAGTTGTGTGGTGGAAGTACAAAAGGATACTGGGGATTTGGTTGCAATCCACACGTTAAGCAACCACACGGACAGAGCGTCGACGAAAAGGGACAAGCACAACGAGCTATTTATATCCCATTTGGTTTTACGATTCCAAAACGGGCAATGGTCGTGCATAGCATAGACCTGGCCGCATATGAGATCGGCGCCGTTAGCGCTGACCATAATCCACAGTGTGGTCTTCCTGGGGATATTCCTTTCTCCAAACTGGGCAAAATGGTGAAGGGAATCACTGTTCACCATCAGTTGAAGGTTGAACTTGTTATGGGGGAAGATGTGTTTCATAAAGGCACTGGCAAGCTTGTGGAACGGAAACGGTTGCGGACTGTTGTATGTCCTGCAATTCCGTTGAGTGTTTGTGAAGTGTGTATCTAGCTGCAGGTATAAATGACTCTGACTTGGTCAATTGGCTTGGTTATATGGGGTTAACCTGCTGTTTGTACTAGTTTTATAAGAAGCCAGTCAGTTTCCCACTAGAGTCTGTTTTACATGGGCAGTCCTACTAAAATGTTGTACATCAATTTGACATTCTCACCCTTCAATTTTGGTATGTGCTAGTATCGTAGGCTGTGAGGTAAGCCCGGGGTATAGATTTGACCAGCGGTATTGTTCCCACATGAATAATCACGGGTTATAGATGGAAAAGTCGTTTTCGTAAATTAAGTCTCGAGAAGATATCTGAAAAAAAGATATAGAACAGAATTTCTGAAAGGACCACTGAAAATACATCACCAGGCCGCATAAAGCAGCCGACTATTGTTAATCTCAATGAGATCATCTGAAAATTATGCGGTTCCAATCCCGTCCAATAAAACAACAGCAATATGACCGATGTCCCCACAAAATCCGCGGCAAAGCGCTCTGCCGGGCAAAATGCGGAGAAGACCAAAGGAGAAGAGTATGAAAAGAATATAACCGAGCACCCAACTATTACTTCTTACCTTCAATCTCATCTCCAATATCCAACCTCTCAATTCCAAACTCCCCACAAACACGATCAAATCCCTCAACTTCACCTATACCCAACCACCAAAATGGGAAAATCCATCCTTCTAATCAATGGCCCAAACCTGAACCTCCTGGGTACACGGGAACCACACATCTATGGACACACCACACTCTCCGATGTAGAATCAAACAGTCGCGAGGTTGCCGCCAGTCATGGGGCTGTTCTCGAATCTTTCCAGTCGAACCACGAAGGCGCGATCGTGGACCGCATCCAGGCGGCGCGTGGCAAAGTCGACGGTATCATCATCAACCCGGGCGCGTATACACATACCTCCGTTGCGATCCGCGATGCTTTGCTCGGTGTTGCTATTCCCTTTATCGAGCTCCATGTGAGCAATGTCCATGCGCGCGAACCGTGGAGACACCACTCGTACTTCAGTGATAAGGCTGCGGGCATTATTGTTGGTCTTGGGGTTTATGGGTATAAGGTTGCCGTTGAGCATGTGTGTGTTAATTTTGAGGAGAAGGAGAAGGAGCCCAAGGCTGCGTTGTGATTGAGTTGGGAGCTCTTTTATGATGAGATGTTTCGTAGCGACACGAGCATCGCCAACTACTGGTGATGCATTATCTACTTGCTTGCACGCAGTTTGGCAGTCCTCTTTTTGCATATTTGAGATTCTTTCTGGCTTTCAGGCCCTTGTCCCTTTGTCACTATGAAGCTATTTAGAGAGGGCAGTAGATAGATCATCATCTTCATCATTACATTCGGTTGAACACTTCCTCACTTTTTCTTTAGACATGCAGGGGTACGTGCACCCACTACTCGGCCAAGCGGTAGTCAACTATTTGCCTTGCACTTTGAACCCCACTGGTGGATTTCACGAGGTCATCTACATATTATGGACGTGCTAGATGCTCCTAAGGTCGCTCATGCTCGCTATGATCTCCTTAAACCACACACTGGTCCTTTCAACTAGAGTTCGTATAGTCTTGCATCTTAATAGCCAGCCTGGACTTCAATACCCTCTTTTATATAATATATCTAGCACGTAACACACATTGAGAACCTGGGAAGGTCAAGTGACCTCCCATCCTGTGTTCCAAACCCGAGCGAGAGGCAATATAGTTGTCTCGTTGTTTGCCTACCATATGTACACCCTTCCCTTTCCACATTTTTTCTTCTTCCTATTTTTCTCCTCACTTCCACATCACCCCATCATCAATCCTCCACGCATATCTCAAGATCTACTGAGAGAAGACTTCTCCGATGCCGCTGTAAGTTACCTACAACAAGATTCCAGTATGGTGAGCACTTAGCACTAACAAATCTCCCCAGCGTCGATACGGAAAATGCTTTTGAGGCCGAAGCTTCCCGGAGTGAGGCCCTCGCCACCATTAGGTCCGAGCAGACCCGCCTACAGCGTGAAATCTTCCTCGCCTATGGCGCCGAACGACAGCTGCGAGCCAGCGTAGGCATTCTAGAAGCCACATTTTCCTCTATAAACAAGCGATGATGTCGGAAATCCAAGAAAATCGTCTCTCGTCAACAGCAAGCGAGAGTAACAACAGTCGGTCAACTTCTCTATATTGATTTACACCCAGTGAAACCAAAGGGTATCAGCAAGGAAGGCAAAAACGACCGAGAATATGCCTTGATAATCACAGACGACGCAACCCGCTTTCGTGCTATGATATGCATTGCTAAGAAAAGCGATTCGTCACCCACTTTACAGAAATGGACGAAGCAGTTTAAAGACCGGACGGGTTACTATCCTACGGAATGGAGACTCAATAATGCGAAGGGGTTCCTACAGTTATAGCATTGGCTAAAAGCGAGTCGATGCTAATCAGTCCATCGGTCCCATACGCACACGAGCAAAACGGTGTTGCTGAGTATAGCGGTCACTATATCATGCAAATTGCGAGAACGATGCATATTGATGCAAAGGCTCGCAGTCAATACCGCTACCTACATCATAAATCGACTGACTCGCTCAGGGGGTGAGACCCCTATCATCGCATGGAGAAAAGCAATAAAGCTCCGTGGAGATGAAGCAACAATTCTCTCGTTCCTACGGGTGTAGTATTCTAAGGCCTACGTACACAAACCCAAGGAGACTCGGGTTTGAAGCGCCAATATAGACCCCAGAGCATGGATTGGGTATCTTGTGGGTTACGAAGGTGATAATGGCCATTGTTTCAGGATCTACAACCCGAGGACGAAAAAGGTCTCGATTCATAGAGATGTAGTCTTCTGGGAACCACGTTCTCCACAAACCTACGATGGCACTTCCGATATTCAAATCGGAGAAGAGATAATTGACGGACCACCACCAAAGAAGGTCGAATTCTCAGTCGGAGAACCCCTTTTCAAATCAATTCGAAAGGCAGCAGAGAGCCTGGCGAAGAAGCCTGATGACCAGCAGCATGTTAGCCCAGGAGAAGAGCACTTTTCTGAAGCAGGTTCGATTGATACAGACGAGGCTGAACTGTTTTACAACACCCAAGAGGGGACCCTTGAGGAGAGACTCGAGGCAACGTAAATAAGCAGGGTATCGGAACAAGAGACCCCTATTCGCAGAGTCAGACTTGAGGAATTCTACCTAATTTTCTTGAAAGGATAGATATTTTGAAAATTCTTTTTCTAGACTACATGTAGTGATTTCATATCTTCATATCTGTGATAGAAAGTATGTTGTATTACCAGTTTCCTGGCCTGGAATTACTTTGTGTACTGTGGCAACATGTCGTGCGTGCATTGCCACATACATATACACACACACAAGAAAGTGAGACCCCGCTTTGAGGCTTCGCATGTGGGATTGAATATGGGAGCGCTGAGCTAGATGTGTAGCTCTTGCCCCTCAGGACCCAGATGGATGGACGGAGAGGCCAACAAGGCCGACCAGCGGCGAAAGGGTGCTCCCACGGCATTCAGATCGTCGGAAAGGAGTGATCTTACGGGACATCATCGCTTCGGGGTTCCCGACATGTTAACAGGCTGCGACTCTCGTTGCATACCAGATGAAGTGCCATTATTGGGTAGCTGCTGGGTCTGTGCCAGCAAGAAAGGCTCGATCTGACCGGAGAACGAGTAGAGCTCAGGAATGCCCGCATCAGAGACAAACCCTAAGTTCTGCATGAACTCTGGTTGATTGTCGGCCCTATAGGGAGCCAAAATTAGCCAATGTGCCGATGAAATATGAGATAAATGCTTACTTTTCCGCGCCATCTAATGACGCCAGCTCATCAAATAATGCATCGAGATCAGGAGCAATCCGCTGTCTCCGTGAGTGCGCATAGCTATCCATATCAACAAAGGTGCCGCCCATATTGAGCGATGGGTCGTGATATGCCGTTGGATGGTACTGTGCGGTTTGATGATATGATGGCGGAAGGTCGGCCAGCATACCGGCACTGTTGTGGGATTTGCTAGGCGCTGATGTAGGATGAGGAAGGACATTGCTAAGAGTGCCATCTAAGTGGCCCTGTGGGGGGAATTCAGAGGCGCCACCAACGGAGGTTATAGATGACGGCGTGCGGAGGAGAGATACATCTTCGATGTGTTGTGTGGTTCTGACCCAAGGCGTGGGGAGGAAGGGGTTTTCAGGGGCAGCGGTGACATGTGTATTATTTTGGGGCGGATGTGTCGCATGTGTGGCATGAAGAAGATGTGAAGGTGTGGCTATTGAGAGTGACGACGGGATTGCCATTTCTCCGCCGGTAGAGGCATCGATGTGCTGTGAGACCGCAGGAGAAGTACCCAATACCTGAGATCTTTGTGGTACATTTCGACCCACGGTTTGTTGGTCTGGAATAGTCCATAACACGGAAAGCTGAGAGGAAAGATTGTGGATGTTGTTTCGTAACCCTATATCAAGGTCTGACGGGAAGTCCCTGGAAATGGAATGTGGAAGGCCGAATCGGAGCATCAAACCGAAGGTTGGTGCGGTGGCTGAAAAGCTGTATGTCTCCATGTAGGCCTGAAGCAATTGCAACAGCCTTTTTGAGCTTTCTGTAGCACGAATTTTGTGAGGCGGTTCAGGTATATTCTGATCATATTCACGAATGGCAATTTGAGAGCTGAGAGCAATGACAATACTTTCATATGTTATCTCTAACCCAAAAATATGCGGGGAAGCCAGTCTCACTGGGCGACTTTGTAGATCGACACGAGAGCTCTTTGGTAATGCTGTCACCCAGCGCTGTAATTGCAACTCCAGTTGCTCGAGGTGTGATCGAGATATCGTTGGGTCGTGCTTGCAACAGCATAGATCGTTCAAAATGGATACGAGGCTGATCAGGCGGTTGAAAGTGCTCAATGCGTGAAGGGGACCACGCTGCATAGACGCCCGTGAGGATCGGGCGGGTCGTAACCCAGTTTGGTCTTCCCAAGGATGCCATTCCTCGAGACCATCTTCATTGATAGAGCCTATCCGGACCAAGTCTGCCTTCCGAAGCGATGGGAATTGTGAAATTGATTCCGCAATTAGGGTCTCGAGAATAAAGCAACCCAGGAACACATGCTTTGCTCGACCGAGCTGTTTTTCTTGATCTGGGGTTCTCGATGATGATGAATATGAAGGTTGATTGAGACCTAGTACATGCGCAATCCGAACAGCCCGACCAACAAGCATCCAGGCGGCAGTCCATTCTTGCTGCCCGAATTTGACCAGAGCCAGGATCAACAGTGCTTGCACGTGTCCGATTTCGTGCGGGCCACTTTCGGGCGGAATCAACTGCAGGGCAGTAACATGCATTTGGGATGGGGTAATCTGGTCAGTAGGCTGCTCTTCCACTTGGCTGGATGCTGAGATGGAAGCATATTGGAGCGAAGCCAGAGTGAGGACAGCCCACAAGGCCGCGTGCTCCCCAGACCCGGGGGTTACGCCAGATACGTATACATCGCCTTCGGTATATTGAAAAGCGGTGCGAAGTATGTCATGCTTTTCGAGTATGGGGAACCAGCACTGCGTGTAGGAGAAATACACATCAAAAAGGGGCCATGCGTTATAGGGAAGTTGGAGAGGGGGTTTCATGGAGAGCGATCGAGGGTAATCAGGATTCGATGGGAAAGTGACAGAGGACGAGGATTGGTCGTCTGGGGTAATTGTCTGAATCCCGCAGTCTGTAGTCAGGTGTGGTCCGGCAGATTTCATAGGCGACATGCCCACTGCTGTTCGAGTCGGCGATACTCTTGGTAATGGCGTCTCACGAGCCTCGATGCCTTCGGGGATCTGCCACTCCTGTGCTTCAGCGGAAGAAAGAATCCCTTCCACATCTAGAGGTGTATCTCCCTCGCCATATGCCTGGAGGTTTCGCTCCCTTTCCTCCTCCGGCTGCTCCAGTATTATCAGAATGCGTTCAATGTCTCTGAGTACTGTGCTGTTTTTGAAGGAAGCCAGCAATGCATCGGACCCATCCGTTTCCTTGCCCATCACGGCCAGGTGACTTGGGAGATTGATTGATCGCATCAAAGCTCGCATCACATCTTCACTACCTTGGATCCTTTGGAACGCCAGCCCCCAAAGCAATTCCAGCGATCGAATGTAGCCCGTGGGCAGGCCTCGCTTCTTCGGGTTGGCCTTGTAAGTACAGGGTCGGCAGAGGGATACACAAGTCGAGCACACTGGTTGTAGTCCGTCACATTTGTCCTTTTTCGACCTGCAACTATCGCAAGCCCGTGAGACTCGCTGACGCTTCGGTTCCCCCGTCACCTTCCCATCATCTTCTGGGTCGATCCATCGTCGTTTGGATTTGCTGCTAGCGCCGGTGGCTTGCCGCTGTTCCGCGCTCATGGTGATTGATTTTGCGATCCACTTGAGGATTCGGGCGCATGTTCCCGCAAAGGGATATGTGATGAATATTTTGCCGACGGGCGACTGCACAGCCGAGCGGGCGACTACGCCATGGGAATGAGCCCCACTGTAGGTATATTAGGGCCGTCGTAGGATGTTGGGACCGAAGCGCGATGTCGAGGGTACGTGCAGCACAGGGCAGGGTGCTTGCCAACTGGATTCTTCCGGGGAAGCTTGGATACCCAGCTAGCGGTGAGCCAGTCACGGTCTCGTAAAAGGTAATCGCGTACAGACTGAGCTTTAGGCCATGTGTTTAAAGATGATTTTTGAATAAGCGCAATTCAGAGTAAGCCACAGTAATTTCGATAATTTCCCCGGGCCGTTTTGCACGTATCTGAGCGCAAGTCCCCCGCGGGGAAGAGGAAAACCGAAAGTCCCCGGGTGAGTGCTCGTCCGCCTTATGTAATGGGAACGTATGGGCCCGGGGCGTCGCCCTTTTTGCGAATATTCCTTGTCCCCCGCAAAATTTGGGAAATCCCGCTTACCATATCGGCTCTCTCCACATCTCCGGATCCTCTTACACGTATATATCTCAATACCATACCGCAGCTCCCATCCCACCCTTCAGTGTGTGGTAATGGGTTCTCGACTACCCTGCTCCTGATCCCATTCACGCACGTGGGACCCTCAATGCGCCATGTCCATGTTAGTACGCCCACCGAAACGAAAGCTCCACGAGGTCGAGACTTTAGACGATGGGCCTCGAAAGTTTAGCTCAGGCGCCGTGCCCTCTCCCGCTGTTCACCATTCATCCCGACCTCCTTCCCGTCGATCGAGTGAACACAGAGAAGCATCCGGAGATTCACGTCCACCGTCCCTAAGAGAATTACACTCGAACCGTGGATCCCCGGTACTGTTTGAGAATGGCCATCTTCAAACCCCACGCACGTTCAGCCCGAAGGCATCCGTCGTATTGATTGGAATCCGTGGCACAGGGAAGTCAAGTCTAGCGGTCATCCTCGCGGCGACATCCGGACGACGATTGATTGATGCAGACCGCTACTTTCAGCAAAGTGTGGGATGTTCCCGTGCTATGTTCAGGAAGGAAAACGATGGATCCGTCTACCGGCAACAAGAGGCTCGAGTCTTTGAATCGATGCTGGCAGACAACCAAGAGGGATGTGTGATTGCGTGTGGGGCCGGATCGATGGAAAGCAACGGCCAAAGACTTCTTAGGGAATTTGCGCAGACACACCCGGTTATCCATGTTATTCGAGATCCAGAGAGCATACAGTCGTATCTCAAAGCATGGGATACGCAAAAGGTGCGACATTTCCTAGAATTGTCAGGCCCGATATATCGGGGGTGCTCGAATCTCGAGTTTTTCAATCTGTCAGAGGCCAGAAGCGATGATCTGGACAAGGACAGCAAAATTTCATCGCCAATGCACCGGATAGAACCTAGGTCACATACTCCCATTCCGTTTCTAACGTTGAAACGAGTTCAGCGGGACTTTCTCCGCTTCATTGCCTTCATCACAGGTGACATTGCCGAACTTAACAGCCAGCATGCATCTTTCCCGCTGTCGCTGTTGCCGGTTGAATCTCGAATGTACACATCTGCAGTATCAGTGCCATTTTCTAGGGTCTGTGAGAAGGGTATGGATATTGAGCAGCTGGAATTCACCGCCGATGCCTTCGAACTAGCAGTCGACATAACAGACTCTTCTGGTCAGCCTGGCCTCAGCTCAAGTCTTGCGGACAGTATCAGTCAGGCGGTAGCAGTCATTCGTCGCAACATCATTGTGCCGTTGATCTATCATGTGGAAAGCTATACCACCTCCACAGGATCTTTGTCTCCTAGCCAAGTTCCCGTGAGATGTACAGATGAAACCTACTTAAAACTCGTCCGACATGGCTTGCGGCTCTCCACCGGTTTCCTCACAGTAGACCTCACCCGTGATGACAATATTATTTCCCAGATCATCTCCGCAAGCGGGCGAACCAGGATCATTGGCCACTTTGAAGCCTTCCATCCTCTGCCAGGGGGCTGGGATGGCGATGAGTATATGAAAGTTTATGAGCGGGCCAAAAGCCTAGGATGCGATATAGTTCGTTTGTGCCAACCAGCCGAGACGCCCGAAGACAACCTCGCAGTGCAAAGATTTCGCCACCGCATCCAAAGCCTGCCCGTTGCTGGCCTTTCTCTGATCGCCTATAACACCGGCCCTCTTGGCCGCATGTCTCGCTGCTTCAACCCTATCCTCTCCCCAGTCACACATCCCTCTTTAGTAGCGGAACTTCCAACTCATCTACGATCATGGATCACAGCCCGCGAAGCGCAAACGGCACTTTACAGCTCCTTTGCCTTGGACCCGATGCAGTTCTTCGTCTTTGGCGCCAACACAACTTACAGTATGTCGCCCGCGATGCACAACACTGCTTTCAAAATCTGCGGTTTGCCGCATAATTACTCCATTCACCAATCACCTACCCTACGAGGGTTAAATGACCTTGTGGAAAATCAATATTTCGGTGGATCAAGTGTCAGTCTTCCATACAAAACAGAATGTATTCCTCTGCTCCACTCAATGTCTACGCATGCCCGAGCCATCGGCGCCATCAATACCCTCATCCCAATCCGCAATCTTGATGACCTGGATGACACGCGTCTTCAAGAATCTTCAATCTTTCTCCAAAAGAGCCGTGCCGGCCCCATCAAGGGCCTTCATGGTGACAACACCGATTGGATCGGAATCTGCAATTGTATTCGCCGCGGTCTGTCCCCGGCAAACGCAGTACGCTCATCATCGACAGGTCTTGTCATCGGATCTGGTGGCATGGCCCGCGCTGCAATTTACTCCATGATCCATCTTGGTGTGCAAAATATCTTTATCTACAACCGTACACTCGCCAATGCGGAGAGACTGGCCCACCATTACAACCGGCAAGATCTCCACTCAAAAGAGGCCAGAGGGTCAGGCCGTCCCACAGTTCGCATTATTGCTTCATTATCCGACCCCTGGCCTGCGGACTTCAAACAGCCGACGATCGTTGTCTCGGGAATCCCGGCTCATAGCATTGGCGGCGAGCCAGCACCCAACTTCCACATGCCCACACAATGGCTCGAGAGCCCGACAGGTGGCGTTGTTGTTGATGTAAGCTTACATTTATCTTTTATGCTAGTCTCAAAAGGTGATCTTTTGTTCCTAACAATGTCTTTAGCTCGCATACAAGCCCCTCAATACCCCTCTTATGAAACAAACACGAGCCCTATCCCATCGTGGTTGGGTAGCCCTGGATGGTCTCGATGTTCTGCCAGAGCAAGGTTTCGCTCAGTTCGAACTGTTCACTGGCCGCCGCGCTCCCCGGCGCGTTATGCGGAGCATTGTGCTTCAAGAGTACAAAGACGACGAGGGAAATAACGACCATCAAGCGATACAGGACCGGTTACAACAAATGGACGGACAGCCGACTTGAATATCGCCAACGGCTCTCACGAATGATGATCAACCGTAGCAAGTGGTGACACTGCTCAATCTGTGCCATGATGAATTCAGATTGCAATGAAGCTGTCAAGATCTTCCTGTCACATCTGCATCTATCTACCTAGCGAGGAAAGGAGGGATACCTGAGCAGCTTACCGCAGAGAATACGAACTTTGTTAGCATGCTTCTGGTTCAATGAATGTCGTGTTTTGGAGGACAATATACTCAATGTTGTCCAGATTCTGCCTCCGTTGTTCTGACAATACCAATTAATAGGCGTCGTATAAATGACCAAGGTTATGTAGGGTATATATACTTTTTATAGGTATTTAAAATAATACAGACATACCATAAGCATTTACGATACCCTAGCCTATCCCATGGCCTATTGTGTATGCGCTCTTGTCAAGATTGTAGTTTGAGCCCTCGAACATCTACCTACATATAGATTTGAGAAGGGGAGGAAGTATGTCCAAAAAGACCTCTGAAAAAGCTGCTTAGATTTCCTATTCGAATGCACCATTGGCGCAGTCGATTTCTCGCCTGCGGATACTCTAGATACCGAAAATCCTCATCTCCGACTCCGAATATGAATCTATAAAATCCATATAAGTGGGGAACCTCGATAACCACCGCTTAGTGGCGGCTATTTTGAACCTCCAATTTTCACCGGATGACTCAAGGAGCTAAAACCCTTATCCTTCAGTGGAATATTTCCTTATATTAACATATTTTATACGTCTCTTGTATCCACGCATCCCCATTAACCCGTTTCACCATGGCCGTCGGACCCTTCTCCCAAGATGAGCTGGATGAGATATACGCTTTCGCTATAGACCTGGGCCGCAAGGCAGGCAAGATGCTCATGGAGCGTGTTGACCAGCGTATCTCAGGCGGAAATGGCTCCTCTAATGCTTTTGAGGAGAAGGAAAGTGCAGTAGACATTGTGACGCAGACCGATGAAGGTAAGGTGGTCCAGCCGAGAAGGCATATTCTGGAGACATTCCAGGTTGTCGCTAACAATTCAACTTGGCAGATGTTGAAGTATTCATCCGGAGCGCCCTCGAGGCCAGATACCCATCTCACAAGTTAGTCTTTTTACTGGAACCCAGTGGCGACAAAACTAACGAACCCCTAGATTCCTCGGCGAGGAGGCATATGCAAAAGGCCAATCGCGCGACTACCTCATCGACGAGCAACCAACATGGTGCATCGACCCATTAGATGGTAAATAATAACCTCCAGCATCATAACCGATTGTTCACGGTTCCAAACCGATCAAGAACCTCAACTAATAACCTCCACTCCCAGGAACTGTAAACTACACGCACATTTTCCCCATGTTCTGTGTCTCAATTGGCTTCATCGTGCAACACAAGCCAATAATCGGTGTAGTATATGCCCCATTCACAGATCAGCTTTGGTCCTCCTGCACCGGGCGCGGGGCCTGGCTAAACGAGACTCGCCGCCTTCCGCTCATCCACAACCCAACCCCACCAATGCCCGCCAATGCGCCTTCACAATGTATCTTTTCTTGTGAATGGGGCAAAGACCGTCGCGATATTCCTGATGGAAATATGCATCGCAAGATTGAGAGCTTTGTTAATATGGCTGCGGAGGTGGGTAGTCGGAATGGGAGAGGTGGTATGGTGCATGGTGTGCGCAGTTTGGGTAGTGCGACGCTTGATCTTGCGTATGTTGCCATGGGATCTTTTGATATTTGGTGGGAGGGAGGTTGTTGGGAGTGGTGAGTTTTGCATTTTTTCCCTTTTTTCTGTTCCTTGCAGAGTCGGATTATGCTGGTGCTGACTATTATAGGGATATCGCTGCTGGCGCCGCTATCCTTTTGGAGGCTGGTGGACTTATGACTACTGCTAACCCCCCAGAGGATGTGGATACGGCACCAATCGAGGATGTTCGACTCGGCAGCAGATTGTATTTGGCTATTAGGTGAGTCTTCTAATTGTTTCCTGCGTGTTGGGTCTCGCTAATGACAGTTCAGACCCGCTGGCCCATCCGCCACCGAGACGGGCCGTGAAACACAAGAACGGACAGTACGAGAAGTCTGGCGCCGGGTTCGTAACCTGGAATATTCGCGCCCTGGAGCTTGAACAGCTCCACGGCGACTTGATCTTATCTTATTCTGTATAGACGTTTGATGCGATGTAAATATTTACATATTGAGCTTATGGTAGATCTATAGAGATGTATTACAAAATCAAAGACGCCAAAATGCCGATCGAGGTTTTCCCGATAGGGCGAGAACTTGCAACGCATGACGGATGTTTGCCGCATTTTCAAGGATCATAGCAATTCGTAGGGGGCGTACTATTTCCACAAGTTGCTCCAAATCATCTTCTTTCTCAAAGGTATACAACTATAGTAGAAACGTTAATTCAAGACTTGTGACGCAATTACTAGCTAACTCACAAAGCTTTCGTGGCCACCTGGATTCGGCATCAAACCAAATCCCATCTTAGTCACGATACCGTAGTTTGATTGCGAGAATATGCCACTAAAAAGGTATGTCAGGTAAATCCGGTCAGCAAAACCTTCAGGGTTAAACGTACTCGATGAAAGGACCAAAGCCGTAAGGAAACACCTGCCAAGTGTTATTTCCTGGTAGGGCGCCCATCCCGGTCCGGACCACCTCGCCGGTCGGTGTGACGACCTCAAGGCCGGAATGCATTGCCCAATGGTCTCCGTACGGTGTGTACCCAACCCCATGGTCAAGGGCATTCCCTAGCACGGAGCCACCCCCTAGGTCAGGAACGTCAATCCAGAGGTGCTTGTAGCCACGCCTCTGCACTTCTTCATATAGTGCGTAATAGGATACACCTGGTTCGACCAGGCAGGTGCTATCGTCGGGGTTGATGTCGAGAATCTTGTTCATGCGCTTCCCGAGGTCGATCACGACAGCCCCACGCACGCGTGGCGCCGCTCCGCCATAACCAACTATAGATAATTGCTGGTTAGGTGGTGCTATCACGTTGGAGAGAATTCGAAGTTGACATACAGTTTCGGCCCATTGAAATGGGGTGCAAAGGAATGAGATACTTGTTTGCCCAATGAACGATTTTCTGTACATCATCCGTACTACCCGGGTAGACCCATATTATAGACAATAGAACTGGCAACTACTGCGCTCCATACAATGAGTAAAAGAAAATCGAAACATGATCGTAAAAAAGAAATCACAGACTAGACTTCGCAGATGCCCGTTCCGAGATGGTCTTAGCAACAAGATCCTTAACCTGCTGCACAAGACCAGGGGTACCGATGACATCCTTTCCAGTCCAAAGGCGGGCCTGCTCAAGACCCTGCCAGATCAGAGCCTCGGAGCCAAGGATGACCTTCCACCCACCGGCGGAAGCCAGGTGAGCGATCTCAGTCCAGGGTGTGGGGTGGTAGCACATCTCCAGGATGACACCCTGCTGTTTTTCTGCATCTGCAGCAGTACCCAAGAAAGCCTGGATAATAGCGCGCGAGCGCAACTCCTCAGGAGACTTCGGTGGGTAGTTGGGGATACCGGAGACGATAGCCGCGGGGGATTCGAGACGGGCAGCCTCAGCAGGATCTGTGACGGGGATAAGAGGAGCCTGGGCATTGGGGTCAGGGTTTCGGCGACGATCTTCCTCGAGGATGGCGGCGACCTCTGCGTCGTCGCGGTTGACGACGTAGATGCGACTGGAGCCGAGCCAGCGGCGCATAACGTAGATGGCAGTACGGGCAGTGCCGCCACCACCGATGATGAGCGCGGGCCGGCCGCGGAAGCGTGATGGGTCAGGTGCGTTCTGTGTGAGGGCTTCCCGGATACCGTCGCAGTCGGTGTTGGTGCCGACGTACTGGCGCTGACCGGTTGTTGGGTCGTCGCGTAGGAAGATGGTGTTGCAGGCGCCGGCTTGGCGGGCGTGTTCGGTGAGATCGTCTAGGTATGGCATGATTGCGACCTTGTGAGGCATTGTCACGGACGAGCCGACGAACTTGGGATTGGACTTGATTGATGCCAGGTATTTCTCAATCGGTGGCGACCGTGTGTAAGGAGGAGGGTATGTATCTGATGAGCCTGTCACACTGGATAGGGGGATTTGGGTCCAATTGAGACCGAGCGCATTGTAGACGGTCTGGTGGAGAGGTGGGGAGAGAGAGTTGAGAAGAGGATGGCCGTACAGATAGGCGACGCCATCGCGGTTGGAGGGGATGGCGATGGGCTCTTCTGGTGGCGCTTGGTTGATTTCTGTGACGGACATGATGATTTGTGTATAATTATCTGCTTGGATATGCAGATCTAAAAGAGGGAGGACTACAATGTTATAAGATGAAATTCGAAAAGGGAAAATACTTAGCTCACTATACGTGCGTATGGATATTTCCTCTGCCGGGTGGGGCTTTCCTTTTTCGATTGTAGCTGCCGCCGCTTTTATAGAAGTCTGGATGGGGAAAGATTGAACCGAGTTATTGGAAGTATACTTCACTTTTCATACTCATATCTACATCTTGCCAAAGGAGTAGAAATTTTTAAAACATTGTAGTTGCATTCTTAATTGCGCTTGAACTACATGATGCATTGAAAATTTGCGGCTTTCTGCATGTTGACCGCTAGAATCTGCTGTCGCCGTCATGTTTGCTTTTTGCTTTCGGTCAATACCAAAATTTTGACAGAGAAACCCGTATATAAAAGATTTGAAATGCCTCACTTAAGTTTGACCCATCATCATCAACTTACTATCCTTTATTCTTCGAAAATGAATCCATATGTTACGGACCCAGGCCTTATCCTTCTGATCTTTATGCGAGCGTTCCGCTTTACAGTCGGTATTCTCCTAAAAGAGATGACTTTCGCATCGATGTACAACATGTCAACTCTCAGTCCATAGACTCATTACGATACTGGACTTCAGTACTCGATCTTTGCGATGTATCCGTGAGAATGTACCCAGGCGGTGAGACGGGAGAGCGCGAGCTGTTCGCCGTTGGCAGCATCATCGTCAAGTCGAGCCCCATGAGAGAAATTGCAGAGTGTAAAGAGATTGGCTACGCGTATGCCGATGCAAATGAGGTGCAAGCACGAGAGATACTCCGACAGCTGCACGACATCACGCCTGTCGATAAATACCAGATCCGCTCCCACTTCGTGTCTGATCCTGACATTCTCACCAATGGCCGTATCCAGCCCCTAGAACGCGATATTCTCTTCTCCGATATGAATCACGACCCAGGTATGAACTTCATGCACAATGACCTCACTATGTCCAACTTGATAGTTGACGACGACAAAATTGTGGGGCTCATTGATTGGGAAATGGCCGGCTTGTTTGGCTGGAGAACGGCTGGAGAAGTTCACCGCAAGGTCAGACCGCATGAGGATCCATTTTGGAAAGACCTCTATGAGGGAGACGTGCCTAATCCTTGAGGGATATTCGATGTGTATTTTGGGCTGCAGCGACATGAAAAAAAAAGCTATGTTAAGAAATGTTTCATCAAAAGAAGGAATGTTGAAATCAGAATATTTGTCTTAAACGGCCCCCCTTATCTTTTTTTTTCGTTGTCGGAGTATGAAGCAGGAAGAGAGATGTGAATTGTTCTGCGCCACAGAAAATCAGCCGGGCTGAATGCTTTCCCCCTGCAACAACCTGCACCCCACGGGGAAATTTGTATGGCATGTAGGAAACTCTCTGGAATCCAATGAAAGGACTGCAGATACCAACGATGAATGGAAAATAGACTAAAGCCCATATACCTAGGTAGGCAGTCCCCAACGGATATTTCGCAGTGGCCGCGTATGTCCATAAGCTTCCGGGGAAAGGCTTTTCCCCGCCACCCATGTCGCAGCAAATCGGTAATTGGCCATTTTCTCACTCCCATATTGATGGATCCATTCTGGTTTTCCAATCAGATCAATTGCCTTTCGCTATTTCACACCAAAGGGCTGGATCGTGCACTGCATTTGCCTCTGGGGTACCCCAGAGAGATCAAGCTGACATGCACGCTGTCGCGGGTTACTGGAAACCCGCCGGGGAAGTCTCCACACCTCGACATCGCTCCACAATCCAACATCTTAAGCGAATAATCGAAGCTTGTAGACTTGGCTATAGCCAAACAAAGTTTGCATATCCTTCTGAGTCACTTTCTTCTTCTTGGGGCAAGCCACATTGAAGCTGCCAAGAGGCGACAAAAGGCAATTCATCCTCACACGCACTGTCTGCGCCCAGAATATTCAAAATAATTTGGAGTATTCGTTTTGCCGCGCCTTGGCTGGATTTGCTTTCGCACCAGACTTCGACAACCTGCGCTATACTTTTCTCCGCCTTGGGATCTCCACGATTTCTTCCCCCTTTCTCAACCCCAGATTCTCTCCTCTCTTTCTCCAAGGGCAAATCGACGGTCCGGGGCTGAGCCTATTTAGATCCCGCCTATCCTCACTAGTCTGTTCTAACAAAACGTGGCGAGGACTTTCTTTTTGGTTTCCTCTCCCCTTTCCTCCCTTGCACATGCACCTGCATCTCATACATACCTTCATACGTGGTGATCGTCCTTCCTAGGACGTACATCTTACTATTTCACTGCATCCTAGCATTGGGGATCAAGATCATCTGGTTACAGGGGTTCTTGCAACTGTTCTTCAATTCTTCTATATTTAACCGCCACTATGTCTATCCTCAAGCTAGTCGAGGACCGACCGACGCCTAGTGCGGTCTACAACTGGAGAATCTATCTCCTGGCAGCGGTGGCCTCATGCACATCCTGCATGATTGGCTACGATAGTGCTTTCATCGGCACTACACTCTCTCTTGACTCCTTCAAGAACGAGTTCCACTTCGGCGACATGTCTGATTCTACCAGGAACCTGATTAGTGCCAACATTGTCTCCTGCTACCAGGCCGGTGCCTTCTTCGGTGCTTTCTTTGCGTATCCAATCGGTCACTTCTGGGGTCGTAGAATCGGCCTCTTGGCCGCTGGCGTGGTTTTCACTCTCGGTGCTGGCATCATGCTTGGTGCTAATGGCGACCGAGGACTTGGCCTACTTTACGGCGGTCGAGTTCTCGCTGGCCTTGGTGTCGGAGCCGGCTCTAACATCACCCCAATCTACATCTCCGAATTGTCTCCCCCAGCTATTCGTGGTCGATTAGTTGGTGTGTATGAGCTGGGATGGCAGATTGGCGGTCTTGTAGGATTCTGGATCAACGTGAGTTTTCCTTTTCGTTTGTGTCCGGCTTGTCTTGTGGATGCTAACACAGTATCAATAGTTCGGTGTCGACGAGACCATGGAACCTAGCCACAAGCAATGGCTCATTCCTTTTGCTGTTCAGTTGATTCCTTCTGGTCTCTTGCTAATTGGTGGCTGGTTCATCCGAGAATCACCTCGTTGGCTCTTTGGACGTGGTCGCCGCGAGGAAGCTATCAAGAATCTGTGCTGGATTCGCCAGTTACCTGAAGACGATATCTATATGATCGAAGAGATTGGTGCCATTGACCAGGCTCTGGAGGAACAGCGCCGGAGCATTGGCATTGGTTTTTGGAAACCCTTCAAGGCGGCCGGTACCAACAAGAAGGTCATGTGGCGTCTGTTCCTGGGAAGCGCGCTGTTCTTCTGGCAGAACGGATCTGGCATCAATGCCATCAACTACTACAGTCCAACTGTGTTCAAATCAGTAAGTTGAATCTTGTCTTGATCTGGCCGTTGATAACTGTTGCTAACAATGTTTCTAGATTGGTGTCAGAGGTACCAACACGAGTCTTTTCACCACTGGAATTTTCGGTGTAGTGAAGACCGTGGTGACTTTCATTTGGCTACTTTGGCTGATTGATCACGTTGGACGCCGTAACCTGTTGTTGATTGGTGCAGCAGGTGGTTCGGTCTGTTTGTGGGTTGTCGGCGCATACATCAAGGTCGCCAAACCCGAAAACAACACGAGCGATAGCTTGAGCGGCGGTGGTATCGCCGCCATGTTCTTCTTCTACCTGTGGACAGTCTTCTATACCCCAACCTGGAACGGTACCCCATGGGTTCTCAACTCGGTAAGCATCCCCAGGCATCAGTCATCAGCCATTGGAACATTGCTAACAGCATCTGTAGGAAATGTTCGACCCCAACATGCGTTCTCTGGCACAGGCCTGTGCCGCCGCCTCCAACTGGCTCTGGAACTTCCTCATCTCGCGCTTCACCCCGCAAATGTTCACAGCCATGGGATACGGTGTATACTTCTTCTTTGCGTCAATGATGATGATTTCCATCGTCTTTGTGTACTTCCTCATCCCCGAAACCAAGGGTATCCCTCTTGAGAGCATGGACCAGCTATTCGACATCAAGCCCGTGCGGCATGCGCATGGGAAGATGGTCGTCCAGCTGCGTGAGAACGAAGAGCAATTCCGCCATGATGTCGAGGCTGCCGGTATTGACGTGGGCAAAGTGCGCCCTGAGCAAGTCGAGGATACTGCGGCTCAACCAAAGTATGCTTGAACGAGACGCTGGTGAATCCTTTTCGTGCTGATGTCCTTTGCGGCATTTTTGTACAGCTGGTTGTGATTTTGTTTGCCGGACGAAGCGTCAGCTGGTTTTGGGATGATTTCGGATTGCGCATCTTGTGATCTTTGTGTACCAGAGCTGCCTGGTTTATATACACTTCGCTGAATGAGTGTAAAGAATCAAATAACCCAATGCATATATCCCTTGGTGTCTTTTCATCCGGCCATTTTGTAGTGATTCCGACATGTCGTAAGAAGATAAAATCATATCAGTATGTAGCTAGTTATTCGACTTCGCCAACAAGTTAACATCAATATCCACAGGCTGACCCGACCGCATAGCTCTCTGAACAGCCTCACAAACAATCAAAGCACGCAAACCTTCCTCGCCAGTACAGCTAGGAACAGCATCCCCATTGATAACATCAACAAAATGCGCAAGCTGAAGATCAAAAGGTGCCATATTATCATCTGGAAGCGGAATTCTCTCAACAGTCAAAGGTGAATTCCAGCTCTTTTCAGGGCTAGCATCATAACTCCAGCGAGTCAGATCTGGCACACTGAGCGAAGCATCCGAGCCAAAGATGCGATAAAAGTCCGAGTCACCACCAGTCGTCGACTGCGGGATGAGCGGGTTCTCACCCGTTCCAGTCTCAAAATTATGTGGCGACGGCGTCGCATCGCAGACCAGGAACGTGCCTACAACACCCGATGCAAAACGCAGCGTCAGAGCGGCGCCTTCGTCGGCATTGTGTGGTGGACTTGGGCGCTGCGGCAATGTGCGCTCTGCTGTCACACGCACGATAGGCCCAAAGAAGTGGTGCATGAGGTCGACGTCGTGGACGAGGTTAATGGGGATGACGCCGCCTCCGCGTTCGTTCGATGCGCGCCAGTCTGTTGGCGGGGCGAAGTATGCATCTGGCTTGAACAAGGTCCACAGACCGTTGATGGCGATGGGGCGGCCGAGAGATCCAGCGTCCAGGACTGCCTTCGTGGCTCGTACGTAGGGGTTGAAGCGGCGGTGGTGGCCGACTAGGAGCTTCAGGTGTGCGCGCTCTGGAGCTTGGGCGAATTCCAGTAGGGAGCGGCCGGTTTCTAGGGTATCGCTGACGGGCTTTTCGAGAAGAACGTGGACACCGCCTGCAAGGAGCTCCTTTGCGACTGGGACGTGCGTGTGGTTTGGTGTGCACACGATTGCTGCGTCGGGACGGTGGGTGGATGCAAGTAGTGAGGCCACAGAGGGGTAGTAGTTGGTGTTGAGGCTGGATGCAGTTGCTTCGCCAGTGGGCATTGGGTCAACGAGGGCAATCAGCTCTGTTGAGGGGTTTGAGATTACGGATTGGGCGTGACGAGGGCCAATGAGGCCTGCGCCGATAATGGCAACTTTGACGGGCATGGTGGTGATCAAGTGTTCAAAAGCAAATCTTGGTTCTGTACAATAATTAATCCGGTAAATTGCAGAGCTCAAGCGGATATTCAGTCCGGTGGCCTTCGTGTCCCTTTTAGTTGCGGAAAGTGTGTTATTGCCCCGGACTCCGGGCAGCCTCGACGATTCGGCGCCGGTTCTCCGGTCAAATTTGGACCCATACGGAAAAGATATTGCCGGCTATTTGCGGGAATTTTGGTTTGAAGGACGGGAAAAGCATTTCTAATGAGGAAGCCAAAATCCGCTGTATGGAAGGAATAGTGGAGTCGTTGTGATGAGGAAGTGGAGTTGGCGGGAAAACGAAAAGGGGGAAGCGCTTACCCGGACATGTGACCTGCCTGTATCAGGCTGCCTCGTCATCAAGACACGAATCACAGCAGACCAGGGAGAACGTTAAATCTCAGAAACTACTGTAGGGGATAACGTTTTGTCGCAATTATTTTGGTATCTTTCTTTTTGATAACATAGAAAACCCCTAATATCGTTGGTCGTCCACCTTGAAGTCATTCTCGCTCCCTTAAAATCTCTCCGCTTGGAATATTTCTTGAAAAGCAAAGGCTGGAGACAATATTACCTCTGAACTTTATGATATCGACATAGAAAAGAAGCATTCATCCGCATAACTCCAAAATGGCTTTCAACCGCCCCGGTATCGCTTCAATGTCCCTAGGTCGGCCCTGGGTACACGACCTACCCGGCAAGCTGATGCAAGCCGCAGACCACGGCTTCGAGGGCATCGAACTCTTCTTCGACGACCTAGACTGCTACGCGCAGCGGGTGTTTGGCGGTGATCACCACGAGGCCGCACGGTCAACGCGGCGGATGTGCAAGCGTCTGGGTCTGACCATTATCTGCCTCCAGCCATTTTCCATGTACGAGGGCCTTATCGACCGCGCCGAGTCAGACCGGCTCATCAATGAAAAACTCCCCAAATGGTTCACCCTGGCGCGGGCGCTAGGCACAGACATGATCCAGGTTCCGTCAAACTTCCTAGGCCCAGACCCAAGGACTGGTGCTGCTCGCACCACTGGCGACCGCACTGTCATTGTTCGTGATCTCCAGCGCCTAGCTGACTTGGGTGCCGGTGCTGGGTTCCGGTTCGTCTACGAGGCTCTCTGCTGGGGTGATCATATTGATACCTGGGAGGCATCGTGGGAGGTGGTTCGCGATGTCGACCGTCGCAACTTTGGTCTCTGTCTTGACTCTTTCAATATCGCCGGTCGTGTATATGCCGATCCTGCTGCTCCTTCAGGTCGCACACCGAATGCTGCGGCGGATTTGGCTGCTTCGTTGCAGCGCCTGCGCACCGCCAACATCGACCCTGCCAAGATTTTCTATGTCCAGCTCGTTGACGGTGAGCGTCTTTCTGCCCCGTTAGATGAAAAGCATCCGTTCCACGTTGCCGGACAGCCTGTCCGCATGAATTGGTCCCGTAACGCCCGTCTATTCCCCCTCGAGGAGTCGCGTGGTGGTTATCTGCCCATTGTGGATGTCGCTCGCGTTTTCTTCGAAGATCTCGGCTACCGCGGCTGGGTTTCTCTTGAACTCTTTAGTCGAACTCTCGGCGAGACCGATCCATTTGTTCCCGCCGACCACGCTCGTCGTGGTATCGAGTCATATAACAAAATGGCTCGTATCTTGCGCTGGGATGAGCCGACCGAGAACACCTCGTTGCCACTCCTGGCGCCCGAGTCACCTGTCCAACACCGCCTCTAGGTATTCAGTCTTCACTCTGCTTTTTCTTTCTTTTTGTATATAGCATGTGGCATCTGTACATACACCTGTTAACGACTTTTGACGATTTTTATTATTTGACATTCCGTGGGTATACTCAATTGCATGAGCGTTTCCCAGGGCAGGAACGCATTACCCAACCCGCATGCTTTACCCGTATTCTACAATGAACCGCAATCCAAGGATTCGATTGTACAGTGAGACAGTGGCAAAGGAATCATATGGTAGCGAATGTAGCTGATGATGTTATAGTTGTGTGGTCTGCTTTATTCAATTGTTTATTTAGGCGGTCTTGCCGTTGATCTTAAGGAGTTCGACCTCGCTGCGAGATAATTAGTTTCCCGATGACATTATTTCCTTGCAAGAACTTACAAAATCAGAGTAGAGCCTGCAGGAATCTTGCCAGCAGCCCTGTGTAGAGGAATGTTAGAACACTTTCGGTTGACGGATGTCATAGCGTATGTAGTAGTCGCCTGTATGTTTCGTGTGTTCACTTACTTGTCACCGTAGCCATAGTCACTGAGAAACCATGTTAGTATTTGTCCAATTCGTTCTTGTTTGGTATGGACTTTACTCACGGGGTAATGGTCAGGGTTGCCTTCTCGCCTAGGGTCATCTGGACGACACCCTCATCCCAGCCTAATCGGACAGAAAGTATTAGCATCCAATTTCAAGATTACATGAGAAGGAATTCAATCATTGCAGATATGAATGATTCCATTGATTAATAAGAGTAAAGAGGATGAGATACCCTTGATGACCTTTCCGACACCAATCTGGGTATTAAAAGGGCCACGGCCAGGGAGTCTGGAGCTATCGAATCTATTGGCATAGATAATTAGTATTTAAAATCAAGGCATAAGTTAAATGGATCTAGGGTATGGCAGTCGGCTTACTGCTTGCCCTGGAAGCCCTTGTTAGACTTCTTGGCATCGTAGAGCCATCCCGAGTAGTGGATAGTGACCATGTCGCCTGAAACAGGCGAGCCAGAGCCAGTACCACGGGTAATAATCTTTCTTTCGACACCCATATTGAATTCTGGTGTATTAAAACAAAAATGTAGATGAAAGAAGAAGTGAAGTTCGAGGGGCGACGTTTGATTCGTATTTTTTCTGATAGTGGGGTGAAAGCGGTAGCGGCCAGCCTATGAGCTCCGATATGCGCAAGGACGTTTTGATATTTCGGACATCGCACATTATATTATTATGTCATGCTGAGGAAAGATTTATGGGTTAAAACATCAATTTGATCTGTAGCGAGTCGGAGTTCGTTGGGTTTAATGTGTGAAACTCCTGAAGAGCCCGAGCCTCGACTTGAGCACTGTTTGAAATAGCATGCAAAAGTAGTTGTGAGATCTTGAAAAAAGCACAAAACACGCTCAGCATTCATCTCTGTGGTTTCACTATTGTACAAACACGTGCAAAGAACGGTTGTCTACATGGCATAGAAGAATTGATCATCGATTCATCCACGCTTTATGACCATCGATTTCTAGACCCAACGCAATTGCAAAGTGCCCTCGACTCTTCCACAGTTTGGCCGAAGCAAACAGAGCACTATATGAGAAGTTGGATGTTAGAGAACTGTATTTATTACGCTCGGCGCACATTAAGTACTTACTGGGCTAGCATTGCCCAATCTAGTGGGTACTCTGTCTTTATTCGAGAAATGCAGATATCGAGCATCTCTTCCGCTTTGGCGTATTCATGAAGGCGCATGAAGTTTTGTGCATGATCCAAGATGTGTCGAGCTGGACGATCACCGGATTCCTCCCCGTTCTTAACTGCCAAGTGCCACCATTTGTCGGATATCTCGAACCAGTCCTGCGCTTTTTGATACAATTTGGCCGAGGTATTGGATTGGGCAACATTATTTGCGGTACAGCAGAGAGCCCTCATTTGCTGTGGGCTTTCGTCGAACCGCATCTTGTAAGCCTGCTCATTCAACTCAATTGCCTTGAGTGGTTCCCCTAGGCTTTCAGCGGCTTGCGCTTGATGGACCGAAATTAAGACATCCACAGTCAGTAGTTCCTTGTCACAATCAGCCATAAACGGAGCTTGACGGTTGATGGCACAAGTCATCGCTAGCTCTTTCAAGTCGTTGCCTTCGGGCAAGTACCTATTCATTAGGTCAATATCAAACGCACGGGGGCTTGGCTAGAGCAACTACGCACCGTTGATACCATTTAAGTAGCCCACAAAACTGCCATGGTGGTTTGAGAGACCAGCGACTCACGAAAGTACTGGAACCCATGAGCTCTGTAAAGAAATAGTCTCTGAGATTCAGGACGTGGGGGACATATCGATGGCTGTCTCCCATTCGCTAATCAACCATGGGTTCTCGAGCCAATCATTTTTCCACACATCATGGAGTATGAACGTAGCATTTTTGAAGCTGCATTGACGATCATTTTCACTGAGAAGATTTTTCAACTCATTGTGGATGACTTTATCGATCGTGAATGTGTACGAGTCTGTCTGCTTCTGGATGAATGTCAAGCAGAATGGCAATTCCGGAGAGTAGTTGCCGCGGTCGCTAGCCTCAAAAAGGGCCAGGGAGATAGAATCCGGGTTGGGGAATAGCAAGGCTTTCAATAAACATCGACTAGTAGCGTCCAGAGACTCGAATATTGTGGACGTGGACGAGGCAGTAGTAGCCTCGTTTTGCGATGTGTCTTTGTCCATCTGGTCGCGGGCTGGGCGTGTTGGAGAAAAGCTACACCAAACAGCGTTGGGAAAATGGCTGGTCTCTTCATTCCCGGGAAATCTGTTCATATAGAGATAATGATTCCATTAGCGTTTGTGATATCATGCGCTTTCCCGTTGGGATACACGCCGTTCACAAGAACAGCCTAGATTGAAATGCCCTCATCAAGACCCAGGCTACCCAGGCTATACCTCGTTTGTAAAGAGGAACGTTGCATATAGTTGATAGCTTCGATCGGCTACCAACAGTTCTCAGCCGACAGGCCCATCTCGGTCTAGAGTTGAATGCCATAAGCCAGAATTGATGAGAATTGATTAGATGTAGGAACAATAATATAACTATCTATCCGAACACTATGCTCGGGAATGGTGGAAGCAAAAGATTAAAATGATCAAACGCAGTAAGCCCGTCAGATGCAATCCTCGAAATAAGACCAACAAGACAGTTCTAAAGTCTTTAAAAGTATGACCTATCACTTTCCCATATACCATTCTAGAAGTTTGGTTTTTTTAGATCCGAAGAGACTCTTAAAGCGCCCTCAAAATTGAGATCTGCAACGGCAAGTCTTCGTACACCGTGTTTGGCGCAAGAGAGCGCAGTTGCCTTTGCAATTCCTATGTCTTAATCCGGCTGGCTAGATAGAGGTATTGATAGGCCATGTCCGAAGTATCACAGAAGAATCTTCTTCGTGTCTAGGGTCACTTTTCACATCATCCAGGTCAACCCCCCACGCCTTTGCCACCCGACTATCTGGCCAATATAGGGGATAACCTTCCCATTCCAGGGTAATCTGGTCGGCCTTGCTCTGAAGAGAGAGGGTAAAACTATGATGACTTTCCACATGAATTTTCATGTTCTTCAAACGGGGCATGCGTTGGGCCGCATAACCGAGCGATATGAGAAGTCGATGGAAATGTTCTTCAGTCCGTAACTGTGGACAGCCCCATCCCGCTTCGACATCGCATATCACGAATCCCAATTTTGACTTTTATACTCATAATACTCGTCGATTCCAGCCTGGTCTTCTGGCGTGTTATGATAAGTTGGTTCTCCTGTGTGATTCGTTGGTTGTTAGACGCCTCGGACATACTTCACGTTTTTCTTGCTTTGTTACTTTCTTGTTCTAGGAGAGACCCTTTTCTTACCTGAAGGGAAGCCAAGGTGGTACATATGCAAGCGCCAGTGTCTCTAGGTAGGGCCAGTGCAAGTGCAAAGAGCCTGTTTCAGGCTGGCCTTTTTCATCCAAAGGACACAAAAAGTCATATGCGATGGAAGTGTTCGCCAACCTCAATTGCTGAAGGTGAACACTGAGATCTCGTATATTGGAGCTCACGCCATCAACCCCAGAAGGGATGGATTTGAGCGGGGGCATAACCGGCTTCCACGGGGCATCCTCACATTCTACATAGAACAGCACTCTTAGGCTCTTTGGAATAGAACCGATCAGAGAAGACAACGCTACATGGTCATTAGTAAATCCAGGTTCACAATAAAAAGGGTATATCTCTCCTTCGCGACATGCCTGGATATACTCCAAGTGGTCTGGACGGACAAATTCGTCAAGATCTAGCTCCAATTCAACGATATTTGTGCAAAGTTGAATTATAGTCTGCACTGCACCCGTCCATATCTGATGATGAACGTCCCAGGAGGGTTTACGGTTTAGAAAAGAAAGCTTCTCAGCACAAGGAATAGATGGTAGATCCGACATAGCCTTTAGGAATCGCACCCTATATGGGAGGATTGATTATGTACGTCCATCTCGGTAATCCCAACGATAGTCAGCAGCAATTTTCGAGTGCCGAGTATGTGGTTCCGGTGCAGGACCATGCCGACGGCCTCGAATCGCCAGATTTAACGTCAGACGGGAACTCCTCTGGTCCCATGACTGGAGCTCTTGGAAAAGGCTAACCATAGCCATCTGAAAAGCTAAGTCATTACCCTTTCGGATAGGGTTTTCTGTACTATACGATTCACCAGTCTTCCAGTGTTTGCATGCAACCCAATGTAAGACTTGGTAGGGGATAGGAATATTGTAATCAAGCTTTCGAATATAGGTTTTCCGTATGGCACGATCACCGGATGTGAGCTTTTGGAAATTTTGAAGAGAAATTCCACGTTGCCTTTCATCTTTGTGCTTATCGTCACTATACACAACTAGATTGGACTAGACCAATGGCGCAAAAGCCGCCTGCCATGCGCGACAAACAGAAGTGCATGGAAATAGCGAAGTTCGATCGTTTTGCAGAAAAATTGCGATCTGGAACAACAGTTCCAAGGGTAGTATTGCCACCGTCATTCTGGTGAGATGTCTTGTTAGAACATAACGTGCCAAGCCAACTGGGTCCTCTGGGAACTACAGATAAGCAATATTCGGAGAAAACCACATGGATTGTGAAATCTGCAAAAAAGCGGACGGAGAGAGGAGAGAGGCCTATCTGTAACTAATCCTGTGCTCTAGCCTCCAGGGCCCCAGGACTGCTACTAGGGATTACATAAGAGCATTTAACCCATCCAGGACTAACTAGGCCAAAAGATCATAACAGAACATATTTCTGTCTTTGCCGTATATATTAGGCCCTAACATTTAGGGACCACATATCTGATGTAGTGCCCCATATTATGCTCCAGTCATTTGACATTGATAAACACCTGGGCAAGTCTTTCTCCACATAAAAAGATGACATAGAGATGACGAAAATAGTCAAATACTTGAACTTATAGATAACGCACAGTTTATATGAGGCCTGCGATATTTCTCTTGGACATCACATTCCACACTCTCTTCTATATGAGAACAGCTTCAAAATGGGACCAATAACACGCGCCTCAGTCCGATCAATTCCTCTAGCCTATGCATCCTGCTCAATCGGCAGCTCCAGTGACACACTCCCCCGCAAACTTCAAGCAATTAGCAAAGCCGGATTCACCTCGATCGAGCTTTCATTCCCCGACATTCTAGAATATGCAGAACATCTACAGGGCAAACATATTTCATCCGATAGCTTTTCCGAACTTGTCAATGTTTCCGACGCGATCCGGGATCTCTGCCAGGCCAATTCATTAACCATCATGATGCTGCAACCGTTCACGAATTTCGAAGGCTGGCCGAGAGGGACAGCGGAACGAGAAAATGCTTTTGCGACAGCGAGGGCCTGGATAGAGATTATGAAGGTTCTCGGAACAGATATGCTACAGGTATGGATTGATCCGCGTCGCGATATAAATCCTCGATTAATCAGTTCGTTCAGGTCGGAGCTACGGATATCCCACCTGACAAAATATCAACCACCCGTGAAGCAGTCGTTTCCGACCTCCGTGAGCTAGCCGATATGCTAGCAAAACACAATTTCCGTCTGGCCTACGAGAACTGGTGTTGGTCAACCCATGCACCAGGCTGGAAAGACGCGTGGGAAATCGTCTCCGCCGTCGACCGCCCGAATATCGGGCTGTGTCTTGATACATTTCAGATCGCGGGTAGTGAATGGGCAGATCCGACGACGGAATCCGGTGTTATTGAAGAGGTACCGTACGGTGTTTTACGAGAGAACTTCGCCGCTAGTATGGATGAGCTTGCTCGCACTATTCCGCCGGAGAAAATATATCTGCTGCAGATCTCGGATGCATATAGGATGTCTCCGCCGTTGACGACTGAGCCTATTGAGGGGCTTAGACCACGCGGTCAGTGGAGTCATGATTATAGGCCTATGCCGTATGATGGCGGTTATTTGCCGATTGAGGATGTGGCGAAGGCGGTGCTGAAAACCGGATTTCGTGGGTGGTTCTCAATGGAAATCTTTGATTCCGGGCCAGACGGAACGGGAAAGAAGTATGAGATCAAAGCTTATGCGAAGAAGGCGATGGAGAGTATGCAGAAATTGTTGATGAATTGCACTGATGAGTGATGGTAATGCAGTGCGATTAAATATTTTATTTTTCGAAACGAAATGGATATACAGGCCAATTGCTTCCTTCAGTTTATTCAACGGAGGCAACGGGTAACCTTATCGCGAAGTATCGCAAAGCATTAACGCATAGTAACCCTTTTTCTAGAGCTAATTGAGAACCAATTGGTCCTATGTACAATGACAGTGTCACAGAGAGAGCATATTCAGTATAACGCTGCAGAATATCAAATAGTATCAGAACGTTGCATACGCTCGATACAAAGTCAATCCCTTTTTTGTCGAAAATTCCAACTCGGCGTCCTTTGCGGCAAAATAGACATCTCCCTCCCCAATATCATGGAGTGATCCATCACCCACATTCATCTTTGCAGAGCCTTGAGTCACAACTAAGATACTTGGACTTCCAAGCACCCGGTGCTTCTCAGACTCCGTGGGAGACAAAGTCACACCCAAGACATTGAACTCGCTAATCGGGGGCGCATATTCCACTGATTTTCCTTTCAGTCCGATCGAACTCTTTCTCGATTGGAGAAGAGAGTCTTGTGGGCTATGTGGCTTGAATGTAAGTGCTTGTGCGAATAACTCGACATCGTCACGGTCAGCGCGCGGGCAGAAGCCTGTGTTCAGGACATTATCAGACCGCGCCATACACTCAATAATGTCACCCGAAAGATACGCATGGATGCCGTCGGCTGGGACACAGATAGCTTCTCCAGGCTCCAGAACCATGTAGTTCATTAGAAGAGCGGCGACCAAGTTACCGTTGTCGAATTTTGAATATTGCTTGCTGAGCCGATCGAGGAGCCCCGGAACATTCTCATTGCTTCCAAACTCAGACAAAGAGATATCTTGTATTTTTGTGATTGTCTCTGATACAGTGTCCGGGGGTAAGCTTAACAATGTCTGGCATAGTTGCCGTAAAGCTTCATCATCAAAGTTCTTGTGCGCTGGGATAAATTGCTCCAATGGCTCCAGCCGAATGAGCTCTGCAATTTCGTGTAGAGGTTTGAATCCAACGAACGACTCAAAGCGAGATAATGCGATGGCGATCTCGGGCTTGTGGTTGCTGTCGCCAAATTTCTCAGGGTCCTTGGCGTGCAGCCGCTCGGCAAGCTCTTTGTCGGGATGAATTTGTAGTGGAAGTGCTTTAGCAAAGGAGAGAACCTGATCAAAGTTAGAACCACAGTGATCTTTGATACACTTGCACTATATTTTACCTTGGGAAGAAACGGGATGTCAGGCCCGTATCTAGATTCGCAAACTGACTGCCCAACAAGATCGGGATTGTTCTTGAGGTGCTCGGAGAGGAGCTTTCCAGTAGAGCGAATTCGAGATGGCACAGAAGGATATGTACCCATCCACATCTGAGTAGTGTGAACGTTGTTGCTTCATGCGTATAGATGGAAGGAGAAGTACTCACCTCAGAGTATGTCTCTGAGTTGTCCAGCTCTCCTGCGTCAGGCATATGCGACCAAAGGCGTCCAGCAAGTGAACTTTGGCCTTGTTTGCCCCATGGGTCATGCTATAATTGTATGTTTAGTATCCTCTAGGTTGCTCATGCCTTGAAGTGTTTTTTTTTTACCTTGCATTCGCACACGAGTTGCAATACACCGTCTGCCATTGTAGAAATGTGTATGTAATGGAGTTTTTCGTAATATGTGCAAATTATACGTTTCGATGGAATGTACTCAATCCCTTTTTAGGCCATTTAGATGACTTGTGAGATGGGACCCATTACGTTGATTCTCCGTCATCCATTCATAAACAGGTATCTCTCATATCAGGCCAAAGATTCCAAGTTCATATCAGAACTCCGGATTGATACTTCAAAAACCTGGTTCCGCTTTACCAAAATCTCCAATGCCCAGATCAGTGATGTCATTCTGACACCAAAGATTAGCTTTATTCTCCCGCGAAATAGGGTTACTACTAATATTTATATAGAAGTGATATTCGTACCATTGTGATCTGTAGCAACTGTCTGAACGAAAATCAACATGCAACAAGAAGTCGAAAAGCCCTCTCGGGGCCCTCAATCTCAGTTCCAACAGGGTAAGCCTATGTACAAATTTATATAACTACTTCGTGTTAATAAAAACTACAGGTCACCAAATCCCTATTGAGCATCACAAAAAGCCCGGACTACAGGCTGAGATGGAAGATCCAAAGCCTACCTCGAGCCAACTTCCAACCGATGATGGCGGGTATCAGACCTACAAAGCGGCGGGGAAGTTGTCAGGGAAAAGGGCCATCATCACTGGTGGTGATTCAGGAATCGGTCGCGCAGTTGCCATCCTATTTGCTATGGAAGGAGCTTCTAGCCTGATCACGTATCTTCCCGAAGAGAAAAAAGACGCGCAGGAGACCAAGAGACGAGTCGAAGAGATCGGGCAAAGCTGTTATTGCTTCCCCACCGACCTTCGGGATGCAAAGAATTGCCAGGCCGTGGTTGACGAAGCCCTCAAGAGCTTAGGCGGCATTGACATCCTAGTCAATAATGCTGGAACTCAGACAATGATCGACGATATCAAGGATTTGGAAGAGTACGTATCTTCTATTTTCGATTCTCGAATATATCATATTAACATATGCTTTTCAGGTCTCAATGGCAAAGCACATTCGACACCAACATCCATCCCATCTTCTACCTCTCAAAGTACACGATTCCTCACCTAAAGAGCGGCTCGACCATAATCAACTGCGCGTCTGTTAACCATTATATTGGTCGCCCTGATCTTCTTGACTATACGTCAACAAAAGGAGCAATTGTCGCCTTCACCAGGGGATTGTCCAACCAGCAAGTCAAAAATGGCATACGGGTGAATTGCGTGTGTCCCGGCCCAAGTAAGTCCAAATAATCACAGAAATAATCCTACAACCACTAATAAACATATAGTCTGGACACCTCTTATTCCAGCAACCATGAATACTGCCGCCCTGGAAGAGTTCAGCGGCACACCGATGGGTCGCCCAGGACAACCCAGTGAGGTTGCAACATGTTTCGTTTTCCTTGCAAGTCAGGATAGTAGCTTCATCTCTGGCCAAAGTTTGCATCCTAACGGGGGAGTTGTTGTCAATGGATAAGAGACAGACAGATATTGATATGAGTTCATATCTGAAAATGAAGCCAGAACCTCGACGGGGCCTACCGTCGTCTAATAATTTGTCATTCGCAATTTCAAGGAGAATGATACAGAAACACAGGAATAAAAGATGATAAGTAAACTGTTAAGCGCCATCAATACCTTTTATATCTTCTCAAGTATCCAATACTAAGTACTATATAATATACCCCAGTCTTTTGCTATCTAACATCTCCTTGTGACGTCATTAGACTTTATCGGTTCAACCTAAGTTCAACCGTGGATCGAAGTTTAGTAATATACTTTGTACTCCAGGGGTCCCGAGGTCGGCCTAATTACCGTTAACACCCGGCAAAGCCCCTGTTCCTTTGTTCTTCTATTCAGCGAAAGGTCCATAACTACATACACATACCCGACAAAATGGCTACGAACTATATTGTAACTTAACTTCTCTTCGCCTCCTACGACCCTCACTAACAAAGACAGGTAACCTTCAAAGACTCGGCCACCACTGAGCAGATTAATACCTATGTTGAACAGATCAACGCAAACGGTGGAACTGTAATCAACAGGTTCCCAGATATGATCGCTAGAGGATTCACGTATGTGCTCTGTCTACTACACCGCTTCATTGGATATCTTCTTAATTTGCCTTCCAGTGCCTGTATAACAGATTCAGTCCTCCAAAAGCTTCAGTCAGACCCTTTGATTGATCGTATCACACCTGATATCTCCAACTAAGCTCGAGGTTGGCTCGCCCTTTTGAGATACCTGTGTCGCCTGGCGTTCTTTTGCTTCGCATTGCCTTATTCTACCACAATAACAGCATCATTTGCGGCCACCTCAACGCAGTGACTACTGTGTTGGCTGCCTAAATATGTACATATGTAGAGGAAAATTATCTATAGCTTGGACCCCTTACCACAGAACGGATCAAAATTTCGTTGTACTTATGGATCGGGCCTGCTCCGAGCTACTGATCATTTCTCATTTGAAGGGTGCAATAGAATAAATAATAAGTTTTACCAAAGGTGGAATTGGACAAGACATTTATCTCTCAGTGTCACTACATACAAGTATGGACAAATCTGATGTAAAGATGTGCTTAGCTGTAGAGCCTCCAACTCAAGGTGCAAGTCACGTTTTGCTAGACATTGCCAAGAATAAAGCCACACTTGGCACACTCTCCCCAGGTAGAGGTAGCGAGTGGTGGGAACGAATACGGCGATGGGCAGGATCCTTCGTTGAGAATGCGAGAAATGCATTTACTTCCATCGTTATGCCGACTATGTAAAGTAAGAGGCGAAAAAAGGAGACCAACAAAAATGCGCTAAAGACTCCGGGGCCTCTTGATTTTCGCGCTTTAGGCACGTTTGGCAATTAACTTTGCAAGGTTGGAAAAGGTCTAAGCACATTGAAAGGAAGATGTCATGGACTGCCGCGTATAAACTCCACTCTTGGCGCCGATCCGCCAGATCTGGTATGTGGTGTCAACTAGATTGTAGACAGCTCTGTATATTAATATCGGGTGTTATAATTGCGTGTTATGAAAAGATAGTCAATAATATTTGCAGACCTTAGTTATCCGAACTTTGTCTATGAGTGATTATGTATCTGTAGAGATATCGATAATCTCCCAGATCTACAAAGTATGTGCCAGATAGATTGATAATTGTAAGTGGACCCCGGCGCCAGTATGTTATTGGCCACAGCTATCCATGGATGGAATACACACCGATATTTGCAATAAATTGTGTTGCATATTTCATTTGCGAGGCCGTTGACGCGTCCAGATATGTGCTTGGATTGGATAGGAAACCGCCTAAAAAAATCAATAGATCTGACACATTATGAGACAAAGTCTAAGATATCGGGAATTCTTGAGACTCAACCTCCCTCAACTCCAGTGTTTGAAATGATGAGGGCTATTAATAGGTAGATTGTAGAGATCAGAAGTACGAAGTACAACATAGCGTAAAAGGAAACGGCAGAGCCTTGGTATTAACTCACTATCAGGCAGCCAAAATATTAAAGTCCAACATTCAGCAAGCCCAGTGAACGAGCTGTGATTCGCAAGCCATTCCTCAAAGCCACTCCCCTTTAATCTGACTCGCACGTGACACAAGCGTTTCACAATTTCCAAACAGCGGGAGGCCTGAATCTCAGCTGAGATATGAAAGATCAGGGGTAACCCACCAGACTTATGTTTTCTGCAATTCGGTAATATTTTTAAACTCTCTAGACCAGATTGACTTCAGCCGCACTCCGGATTCTTTGTGAAACCACGTACAGGGCTGAAGATTAACTGGAGTCCGGAGATAGCGAAGTGTTTGAGACTAAATAGGCGTACCATGGTCAAAGCGATGGGGCTATGGAGCGATGATGGAATCAGATCCGCCTACAACATAAGAGAAGAGTGTATCTCTCCATGTAGCTTAGGCAGTACTTTGGGACGAGATTGTTGGGAGAATATAATCATATCCGGCTTCATTGGTATCATTTTGAGGAAGATCAAATCAGAGTCCATTTTCAGGGGTATCAGGAACCTCATTGGTCATTATATGGGGAAATGAAGGCCCGCACGTTCTGGGCGCGCATCAAAGTACAGTATATATCATAGTAAGGTAGGGAGATATGTAGACGAGAATAGGTTGGGCATTACCTATAAAATAAATTTGGGGAGGATTTTCGTAAGTTGTTAACGTGGGGAAGACCTTTTGTGGCAGAAAGCCAAAAGTTCACCTACTCCTTTCTTATCCCTCCACCCCCCTAATCCAACCTTCATGTTTCATTGCTTTTTCTTTTCTTGTTCTTTTTGATTGAATATCCTCTCGGATTTCATTTCCTTTGGCCTCGGGGCTCCCTCCGCCTGTCCAACTTCGAAATTAATCCAACGCCCGCGAGGGGCAGTCTCCCGTTTCCCTTCGCCTGTTGCGCTTAACGGTCACAACACCCGCGATTATTTATCTGAAACACTCCTGTAGCACGGCTAGCAGTGCCTGGTACGTCGAGAGATTGATATCCATGATCCCTGGTTGATAGGCAAATAATTGCCGTCGCTATCATCCCGGTCCCCATACCTGGTTAGCCCTGCTTGTTTTCGTTCGGGGACTGATGGGGAATACTGGTGTCTTACGCTTAAAACTAGTGTTGGATCACGTTTTTTTAATGCTTCGGTATTCTGCAGGTTCAGCCACTCTTCGCCGTTCTTTCAGGACCCCCTGTTGCATCTCCCCCTCCAAACCCGCACCGACGTCCCATCTCCCTAATTTCAACCTCCAACGTGGGTTGCGCTCAACAAACCCCATCTTGAAGGAATTAGCACCAAGGGCGCATGTGTCTGCAAGGGAGATCTTCCGTAGCGATCACGAATCGCCCGTATACACACGATTTTGGACTTGGTCTGCGCTACCCGCCAGACTTGTATTCGCAAGCATCAATATACGACCGTCGACCTTACATTTTGCGCGGTAGACAGTGGATCTAGACATGGAGAACCAAGGCGCTTACCCGGAGTCTCCTATGGAGCTGGACGAGTCCTACCCGTGCAAGGGCTGTGGAGAGGTAGGCACAATGTGGAGCGAGGGGATAGGACTTGACTAACTGTTTCGGCAGACTCTCGAAGAAGGGAAAGCGTTTGAGCTTGGTATGCCAGATACCTGCAGTTATTTTTGGATATTGTCATGTCACTAACTTCTGCTAGCTGGAAACCGATGGCACATCGACTGTTTCCGATGCAGTACATGTAGCACTCTACTTGACTCGGACGCGCACCTCCTCCTTTTGGGCGATGGATCACTTATATGCAGCAACTGCACATATAGTTGTAGCTCCTGCAACAACAAGATCGAGGATTTGGCCATCTTGACAGGAGACCAGGCTTTCTGCGCGCAATGTTTCCGATGCCGGAACTGCAAGCGAAAGATTGAGAACTTGCGCTATGCGCGCACTTCACAGGGTATATTCTGCATGGAATGTCATGAATCGCTAATGGCACGAAGAAGAAAAAGGAAGGCTGGCGGCAGTAGTGCGAAAAAACCAGCGGGGCCTAATGTGAAGCTGGACAAATCCTTGCCATCGTTGCCTCCCCACCTGCTTGAAGAAGCGCAATTAATGGACGAGGAGCCTAGTGAATATACAGGCACGCCTGACCCTAATAGAATGGCGGAAACGCCTGATCTAAACGACGAAAGGCCGGAAAGCTCAACCTCCAATCAGCAAGCAGATTCAGGTATGAAACTCTCTGGAATCCCTTCGCAGCCTAGATGTACAAACATCGAAGCCTACAATATGCCTATTGTTGTCCCTCGTGATCTATACACCGCCCACTATTCTCCCACTCCATTGTCTCCGCCTATACTTATTGTTGTCGCGTCTATAAAATAAACATTGTGTTCCCTCTTACTTACTTCTTCGCACAGACATTCTTCTTCCATCCAGCACATATCGCAGCAGTCGTCAATCAATGCGCAAGACTGACGCAGATGGTGGTGAATTATTGATTCCTCTTGCCTTTGATCCTTCAGCTGAGGGTAATTCTTCCCGTGGTCACTCACAGACACGGCAAGAGCCTACCCGCGACTACTTCAATCAAGTTCAATCCGGTGAATGTTCACACAGGGCCTCACGCGACGGCCGTGAATATCTGCAAGAATCTACTTCTCGAAAATCGTCAGAACATCATTCCCCCCATATTGCCTATCAGGAGAAGGGTTGGGAACGAAACGACGCCAATTCACCCGATAAAGCACCAGTGTCCGAGTCTAAGCTTGGAAAGGCGGGCTCTCCTCGCAGCTCATCCGATATACCGATCAGCTTCAGAGAAACGAGCAATCTTTCTGGGGCTACAAGCCCTGGTAGCACCAAATCAAAGGACTTCTCCAGTGACACAAAACGACACATTCCTATGGATAGCGTTACTTCGGCTCCAGCTCGTCCCTCGAACGAGCTTCGTCGTCTTCACGACCACGGCTCAACGGATTCGGCGCGCTCTCCAACCTC